GATTTTTGAGGGAAAAGTGGGAGACAGGGAAGTGCTGAGCACAAAATTCCAAGATTTTAGGGGGGAAATTGGGATTTGGGTTAGGCCAAGGTGAAAATTCCCAAAATTCCTGTTGGAAAGTGGGAATGGGACAAGGCCAGGCCCAAAATTCCCAAAATTCCTGAGGGAAAAGTGGGAATGGGACAGGGCCAGGCCCAAAATTCCCAAAATTCCTGAGGGAAAAGTGGGAATGGGACAGGGCCAGGCCCAAAATTCCGAGATTTCTGAGGGGGAAAATTGGGATTTGGGGTAGGCCAAGGTGAAAATTCCCAAAATTCCTGAGGGAAAGTGGGAATGGGACAGGGCCAGCCCCCAAAATTCCAAGATTTCTGAGGGAGAAGTGGGAGACAGGGAAGTGCTGAGCACAAAATTCCAAGATTTTAGGGGGGAAATTGGGAATTGGGGTAGGCCAAGGTGAAAATTCCCAAAATTCCTGAGGGAAAAGTGGGAATTGGGCAGGGTCAGGCCCAAAATTCCCAAAATTCCTGAGGGAAAATTGGGAATGGGACAGGGCCAGGCCCAAAATTCCAAGATTTCTGAGGGGGAAAATTGGGATTTGGGGTAGGCCAAGGTGAAAATTCCCAGAATTCCTGTGGGAAAATTGGGAATTGGGAGGTTCCAGGCCCAAAATTCCAAAAAATCCTGAGGGAAAAGTGGGAATGGGACAGGGCCAGGCCCCAAAATTCCTGAGGGAAAAGTGGGAATGGGACAGGGCCAGGCCCCAAAATTCCCAAAATTCCTGAGGGAAAATTGGGAATTGGGAGGTTCCAGGCTCAAAATTCCCAAAATTCCTGAGGGAAAAGTGGGAATGGGACAAGGCCAGGCCCAAAATTCCAAGGTTTTGGAGGGAAAATTGGGATTTTAGTTGTTCCAGGCCCAAAATTCCAAGATTTCTGAGGGAAAAAAATTCTCCAACCCTGCCCTAATTCCAAGAAATCCACCCCAAAACTTCGGGAATTTGGGATTTTCCTTGTCCCAACCAATAAAATTCCTTTTTTTAATCCCTAAATCCATTTTTGGGATTTTTTTCCCCCCATTTTTCCAAGCCCCGGGTGAACATTCCCAAATCCAGGCGTGGCCCAAAACTCCGGGAAAAAAAAAAATTCCTTCGGAACCGGAGAATCCAGGAGTTAAAAACCCCCCAAAAATCCCCAAAAATCGGATTTTTCCACTCGGAAAATAATTCCTGGATTTAAAAAATGTGGAATTCCGGCCTAAATTACATAAGGAAAAGGGGGGTGAGGGGGGAATTTTATCCAGGTGCCGGAAAATCCCGATTTTCCAGGAAAAAAAGATGGAGCAACCCTGGAATGCTTTTTTTAAAGGTCAGAACACCTCCAAAATACCATTTTTTTCCTCAAAAAAACAGGATTTTCCTTAGGAAAAAAGCAAATTTTTCATGCTCTAACCACCAAATCTCCCCTCGGAGCTGCAGAATTCCCGGAAAAAATGAAAATATTGGAATTTTGGGCTGGTTTAGAGTGAAAAACGTGATTTTTTTAATCGGGAAAAATGAGTATTTTATCCTGATTTTTCTCGGGGGAAAAATTCCCGGTGGGAATCCTCAATGCCACCGCCTGGGGGTCGGGATTTGGGAAAAAAATGGGAATTTTGGAGGGATTTGAGGGGGTTTTTCCAAGAAAATTCCTCCGCCGCAACGCGGGAAGGACGCGCCCAGCTCGGGAAAAAAAAAAACCGGGAATTGCAGGAGCCGGGAGGGGGAAAAACCGGGAAAAAAACCGGGAAAAATGAATTTAAAACCATCAAATGGGGGTTTTAACAGGGATTTTTGGGAAAATTTGGGGGAAATTTTGGGAAAAATTGGGGGAAAAATGGGGAAAATGGCCGAGGGGGGGGAGGGGAGGGAACACCTGGAGCGGGAACACCTGGAGCAGCCACACCTGGATGACACGGCGGATTTATGGGATGCTGCAAAAGCCGCGAAAAGCCCAAAAATGCCCAAAAATCACCCCAAAAAATCCCTAAAAAATCCCTTAAAAATCGCTTAAAAATCCCCAAAAAAACCCCCTTAAAAATACATTAAAAATCGCGGAAAAATCCCTAAAAAATCCATTAAAAATCCTTTTAAAAATCCCCCAAACCCCCAAAGGTTGGGGATCGTTCGGTAAACCCCAAAAATCCCAAAAAATCCTTAAAAATCCATTAAAAATCCCGAAAAAAAACCCAAACCCCAAGGGTTGGAGATCGCCCGGCAAAGCCCAAAAATCCCTAAAAAACCCATTAAAAATCCCCAAAAATTCCCTAAAAAATCCCCAAACCCCAAGGACCGAGAATCGCCCGGCAAACCCCAAAAAAACCCCAAAAAACCCAAAAAATTCCCTAAAATAAATAAAAATTCCCAAAGCCCCAAGGGCCGGAGGCGCCCTCGGTTATTCCAGGCAAGGGTTAAAAAAGCTGGAAAATTTGGGAGGGGTCGCCGCTGGAAAAGCGGGGTGGGGGATGCGTTTTATCCCCATTTATCCCGATTTATCCAATTTTATCCCGATTTATCCCCATTTTATCCCGATTTATCCCATTTTTACCCCATTTTATCCCGAATTTATCCGCTTTTTCCGCTGTTTTATCCCGGTTTTAACCCGATTTTTTCCGCCGTTTTATCCCGGTTTTCCGCCCATTTTTCCAGTTTTTTCCCCCTCATTTTTCCAGGTTTTTTTCCTCCCATTTTTTAATCTTTTCCCGTTTTTTTTTTCCCGTTTTTTTCACTCACCTTTTCCCGCCGGTGCCTTCAGGGGGGCGGCGACCCCCGCGCCCCCCCCGGGGGTCCCGAGCCTTCCATGGCCGGGAGCGATCCCGGGAGGAGCAGCGGGGCCGGGAAAAGCAGGAAAAAAAGCAGGAAAAGGGAAAAAAAAGAAAAAAAGGAGGAAAAAAGAGGAGGAGGAGGAGGAGGAGGAGGAAGGGGAGGAAGAGGAGGAGGAGCCCCCGCCCCTCCCCCCCCCTGCGGCCGCGGGAAGGGGCGGGGCCGAAGGAAGGGGCGGGGTCAGATAAGGGGCGGGGCCAAAAGGGGGCGGGACCAATGAAGGGGCGGAGCCAAAGGAAGGGGCGGGGCCGGGGAGGGGCCCCGCGAGAATTTTGGGAATTTCGGAGGGTTTTTTTGGGATGGGAACGGCGGTTTTGGGGAATTTTTGGGGTTTTTTGGGAATTTCAGGATTTTTGGGGGATGGGAACGGTTGGTCCCAAATGTTCCCAAGGGTCCCCAAATGTCCCCAAGGGTCCCCAGTGCCACCCCCAGTGTCCTAAATGTCCCCGGGTGTCCCCAGTGCCACCCTCAGTGTCCCCAAGGGTCCCCAGTGACACCCCCATTGTCCCCAAGGGTCCCCAGGGACACCCCCATTGTCCCCAAATGTCCCCAGGTGTCCCCAGGGCCACCCCCATTGTCCCAAATGTCCCCAAATGTCCCCAGTGTCACCCCCAGTGTCCCCAAATGTCCCCAGGGCCACCCCCAGGTGTCCCCAAGTGTCCTCAAGGGTCCCCAGGTGTCTCCCAATGTCCCCAAATGTCCCCAGGGCCACCCCCAGTGTCCCCAAATGTCCCCAAGACAGAGGGACAGAGAGGGGGACAGGTGAGGAGGAGGAGAAGGGGATGAAGAAGATGAGGAAGAGGAGGAGAAAGAAGAGGAGGAAGAAAAGGAGGAGGAAGAGGAGGAGAAGAAGAAGAAGAGGGAAAAATGGAGGAAGAAAAGGAGAAGATGAGGAAGAGGAGGAGGAAGAAGAGGAGGAAGAGAGGAGGAGGAGGAGGAAGAAGAGGGGGAAAAAGGAGGAAGAAAAGGAGGAGGAAGAGGAGGAGAAGGAGGAAGAAGAGGGAAAAATGGAGGAAGAAAAGGAGGAGATGAGGAAGAGGAGGAAGAAGAAGAGGACGAAGAGGAGGAGGAGAAGGAAGAAGAAAAGGAGGAGGAAGAGGAGAGGAGGAGGAGGAGGAAGAGGAGGAAGAAGAAGAGGGAAAAATGGAGGAAGAAAAGGAGGAAATGAGGAAGAGGAGGAAGAAGAAGAGGAGGAAGAGGAGGAGGAGGAGGAGGAGGAAGAGGAGGAGGAGGAAGAGCTGCCCATCCCCCCACGCCCACACCCCCGTTCTGCCGCTCTGGTGGGACCCCAAAGTGACGATGACAACAACGACACCGACAACGGTGAGGAAGAGGATGACGACGATGATGAAGATGACAATTACAATGATGATGAAGATGATGACCATGACAACGATGACCACGACAACGACAACGACGATGACGATGAAGATGACGATGACCATGGTGATGAAGATGAAATGACGATGATGACCATGACAAGGACGATGTTTATGACGATGATGATGATGATGAGCACCATGATGACGATGATGATGATGAAGACCTCGACCACTGACAACGATGACGATGATGAAGATGACCATGACAACGATGAAGACGATGACCATGACCACGGTGGTTTTCCTTCACCTGACCATGACCGTGATGATGATGATGAAAATGACCATGACCATGACCAGGCCCATGAGGATGATGATGACGATGACGATGATGAAGATGACCGTGACAAGAACCATGACAATGACAACAATGACCACGACAACGACGATGGCAGCGATAATGACGATGATAACGACAATGATGATGAAGATCATGACCATGACCATGACCATGACCATGACCAGTCAATGATGATGAAAATTACCATGACCATGACAACGATGATGACGATGACGGTGAAAACGACCATGACCATGACCATGACCATTACCAGTCCATGATGATGGAAATGATGATGATGGTGAAAATGATGATGATGATGACCATGACCGGTCAATGATGATGGAAATGACCATGACCATGACAATGATGACGATGACGGTGAAAATGACGATGACAATGACCATGCCAAATGACCACAATGATGACAACGATAACGACAATGATGATGAAGATGACGACCACGATGACGACCATGATGAAAATGACCATGACCATGACCATGACCAGACGATGATGATAAAAATGACCATGACCATGACCATGACCATGACCATGACCATGACAATGAAGATGATGACGGTGAAAACGACAATTACCAAATGACCACAACGATGACAACGATAACGCCGACGATGATGAAGATGACGACCACAACGACCATGATGAAAATGACCATGACCATGACCACGACCAGTCAATGATGATAAAAATGACCATGACCATGACATGACCATGACCATGACATGACCATGACCATGACATGACAATGAAGACGATGACGGTGAAAACGACGATTACCAAATGACCACAACGATGACAACGATAACGCCAACGATGACGAAGACGACGGCCGCCGCGCCGGTGCCCCTCAGACCGCCGTGCCCTCGAGGCCGTCCTCGGTGGTGGCGGCGCTGCGGGCCCGGCTGTCCCCGGCCGCGCTGGCGGGGTCGTCGCTGAGCACCCCCTTGAGCAACGCCCGCCACGAGCGCCGCGCCCGGCCCAGCCCCCGCCCCATCACCAGGTAGATGATGGGGTTGACGCAACCGTTGACGTAGGCCAACCCGGCCACGGCGGGGTCGGCAGATTGGGCGCGGCGGAACGCCGCCGTGTCGGGCGCGGCGGCCGCCAGCACCAGCCCCACCACGTGGTAGGGCAGCCAACAGACGAAGAAGCTGACGATGACCACCAGCACCGTCCTGGTGGCCCTCTGTGACCGAGCCAGGCCCCGCGCCCGCACGCGGCACAGGAGGCGGCCGTAACACCCCGAGATGACGGCGAACGGCCCGAGGAAACCGCAGAGGAAACGCACGATGGCCGTGGTCAGCTCCGCGCTGCGCCGGTGCCGCCGCACCGCGCCGTAGGCCAACACGCAGGTGGCCTTGGCCGAGAAGGGGTCAACGCGGACGGCGCGGAACAGGAAGGACGGGACGGTCAACAACGCCGCCGCCACCCACGCGCCGGCGCACGCCGCGGCGGCCAAGGCGGGCGTGCGGCGGTTGTGGCACCAGACCGGGCGGGTGACCAGCGCGCAGCGGTCGGCGCTGATGGCCGTCAGCAGAAGGACGCTGGCGAACATGGCCAAGATGGTCAACGATGGCAGAACCTTGCAGGCGGCGCCGCCCAAGGGCCAGTGGTGGTCGGTGGTCAGCGGCAAGGCCAGGAAGGGCAGCGCCAGGCAGCTCAGCAGGTCGGCCAAGGCCAAGTTGGAGAACCAGACGCCGTTGACCGTCCGGCGCAGCTCGGCCGCCGTCACCCAGAGCACGGCGCCGTTGCCCAGCACGCCCAGCAGGAAGATGGCGGCGTAGAGGACCAGCACGGCGCGGTGGCCTGGAGGGATCTCGGACGCGTCCAGGTCATCGTAGAGGTCGCCCCAGGTGTCGTCCCAGGTGTCGTTCCAGGTGTTGTTCCAGATGTTGTTCCAGGTGTCGTTCCAGGTGTCCATGGTGGGGGGTGGGGACACCTGGAGATGGATGGGGGTGAGGAAAAGTGGTCAGGGGTGGGTCAAGGTGGGTTCTTCACCTGGCCAGGAGATCCTCAAGACCCCAAGGTGGATCTTCACCTGGCCAGGTGGTCCTGAAGACCCCAAGGTGGGTCCTTCACCTGGCCAGGTGGTCAAGGACGTTCCCAAAAGTGACCAAAGGTGGTCAGGGGTGGGTCAAGGTGGATCTTCACCTGGCCAGGAGATCCTGAAGACCCCAAGGTTGGTTCTTCACCTGGCCAGGTGGTCAAGGACCTTCCCAGAGGTGACCAAAGGTGGTCAGGGGTGGGCCAAGGTGGATCTTCACCTGGCCAGGAGATCCTGAAGACCCCAGGGTGGTTCTTCACCTGGCCAGGTGGTCAAGGACATTCCCAAAGGTGACCAAACCCAGCCAGGGATGAATCCAGGTGGTTCTTCACCTGGCCAGGAGATCCTGAAGACCCCAAGGTGGATCTTCACCTGGCCAGGTGGTCAAGGACCTCCTAAAAGACCCCCAACCCCACCCCACCAGGTAACCAAAGTGTTTTTGGGGTCTCCAGCCCCATTTTTGGGGTACCCACCTCCATTTTTAAGGTACTCACCTCCATTTTGGGCTCCTCAGCCCCATTTTGGGGGTCCCCAGCACCATTTTGGGGGTCTCCACCTCCATTTTGGTGTCCCCAGCCCCATTTTTGAGGTCCCCAGCCCCATTTTTGGGTTCCTCACCCCAATTTTGGGGTCCCTCACCCCAATTTTGGGTCCCTCATCCCAATTTTGGGGTCCCTCATCCCAATTTTGGGTTCCTCACCCCATTTTTGGTGACCCCACCCCCATTTTTGGTGTCCCCAGCCCCATTTTTGGGGTCCCCACCCCATTTCTGGTGTCCCCAGCTCCACTTTTGAGGTCCCCAACCCATTTTTGGGGTCCCCACCCTGTTTTTGGGGTTCCCCTCCTCTCCCCGCCGGATTTGGGATTTCTTCATCCTCCCCTCCCCCACCCCGGCCCATGGCGCAAGAATTTGGGAGAGGAACTTGGGGGGGGGGGAGGGGCAGCTCCACCCTTCCCCCCCCTCGCTGGGTGGGGTCCCCAAAAACGGGGCTGGGGACCCCAAAAATTGGGGTGAGGGACCCAAAATTGGGGTGAGGGACCCAAAATTTGGGCTGGGGACCCCCAAAATTGGGGTGAGTGACCCAAAATTGGGGTGAGGGACCCAAAATTGGGGTGAGGGACCCAAAAATGGGGCTGGGGACCCCCAAAATTGGGGTGAGTGACCCCAAAATTGGAATGGGGACCCCAAAATGAAGTCGGGAATCATCAAAATGGGTCTGGGGACCCCAAAAAATGGAGTGGGAACCCCAGAAATGGAGCTGCGGACCCCAAAATTGGGGTGAGGAACCCAAAAATTGGGCGGGGGACCCCAAAAATGGGGCTGAGGACCCCAAAATTGGTGCTGGGGACACCAAAATTGGGGTGAGGAACCCAAAAATGGGGCAGGGGACCCCAAAAATGGGGCAGGGGACCCCCAAATGGGGCTGGGGACATCAAAATTGGGGCTGGGGACACCAAAAAATGGAGTGGGGACCCCAAAAATGGGGCAGTGAACTCCAGAAATTGGGGCGGGGACCCCAAAAATGGGGCTGGGGTCCCCAAAATTGGGGTGGGGTCCCCAAAATTGGGGTGAGGAACCCAAAAATGGGGTCGAGGACCCCCAAAACTCAGGGGGGGAACCCAAAAATGAGGCTGGAAATGCCCCAAAATTCGGTTCGGACACCCCACAAATGAGGCTGAGACCTGCAAAAATGGGGCTGGGGACCCCAAAATGAGGCCGGGACCCCCCAAACTGGTCCGGAGACCCCCCCAAACTGGTCTGAACTGGGAGGGGCCCCCCCAAACCCCCCCAGGAGAACAAAACCCCCCCAAAAATGGGACTAAAGAGCCCCAAAAAGCCCAAAATCGAGGCAAAAACCCCAAAATTCAGGCCGGGATCCCCCCAAAAATGAGGCGAGGACCCCCTAAAATCGGGTTGGAGGGGGAGGGGTCCCCAAAAACCCCCCCGGGACCCCCCAAAATCCCCCCCCCCCCTCACCTGGAGCGGCGCCGCCGTTTTCAGCGGAACCCGCGGGAAGGGGAAATAAACCGGGGGGGGCAGGAAATCCCAAAAAAGGGGGGCTGGGAGGGGCCGGGGGGGGTGGGGAACCCCAAAATTTTGGGGGGAGGGTTGGGGACACCCCCACTCCAAAATTTGGGGCTTTTTTTAGGGGAAAAAAAACCCCAAAATTTGATTTTTTAATGGAGGAAAAAAGCTCCAAATTTGGGGTTTTTGTGTTTTTTTTTTTTGAGGAACCGCCCCAAAATTTGGGATTTTTTTTTTTTTGGGGGGGGGGGTGAAAAAGACCGGGGGGGACCCCAAAATTAATGGGGACACCCAAAAATTAAGGACGAAGCCGGAGGAGTTTTGAAGTTTTATTCGACAAAAAGACAAAACTGGAGAGGGGGGGGGACCCCAAAATCCCCACGGGGGGAAAATTGGGGACCCCCCCCAGGTGAGATTTGGGATTTTTGGGGCCTCCCCAGGGGGATTTTGGGGTTTTTGGGGTCCCCCCAGGTGAGATTTGGGATTTTTGGGGCCTCCCCAGGGGGATTTTGGGGTTTTTGGGGTCCCCCCAGGTGAGATTTGGGAGTTTTGGAGTTCCCCAAGGAAATTTGGGGTTTTTTGGGCCCCCCAGGTGAGATTTGGGGATTTTTGGGGCATCCCCAGGGGGATTTTGGGTCCCCCAGGTGAGATTTGGGATTTTTGGGGTTCCCCAAGGAAATTTGGGGATTTTTTGGGCCCCCCCCCAGGTGAAATTTGGGATTTTTGGGGCATCCCCAGGGGGATTTTGGGTTTTTTTGGACCCCCCCAGGTGAGATTTGGGATTTTTTGGGGTCTCCCCCAGTCCTGGTCATACCTGGGGGGGATTTTTGGGGCCCCCCCAAGGGGATTTTGGGATTTTTGGACCCCCCCAGGTGAGATTTGGGATTTTTGGGGCCCCCCAAAGGAAATTTTGGAATTTTTTGGGGTCCCCCCAGGTGAGATTTGGGATTTTGGGCCCCCCCCAAGGGAATTTTGGGTCCCCCAGGTGAGATTTGGGATTTTTGGGGTCCCGGTCCCACCTGGGGGGGTTCAGGTGGGATTTGGGGTCCCCCCCCCGTCACACCTGGGGGGGGTCGCTGGTTCCTCCTGTGGGGGGAGAGAGAAAAAGGGGCTGGAGACCCCAAAAACCCCCAAATTCCCCAAACCCCCCGGGGCTGGGACCCCCCCAGGTGAGTTTGGGGTCCCCCAGGTGAGTTTTGGGGCTCCCCAGGTGAATTTTGGGGTCCCCCAGGGTGATTTTGGGACCCCCCAGGTGAGTTTTGGGGTCCCCCAGGTGTCCCCCAGGTGAATTTTGGGGTCCCCCAGGTGATATTTTGGGTCCCCCAGGTGAGTTTTGGTGCTCCCCAGGTGAGTTTTGGGACCCCCCAGGTAATTTTGGGACCCCCCCAGGTGTCCCCCAGGTGAGTTTTGGGACCCCCCAGGTGAGTTTTGGGGTCCCCCGGTGATTTTGGGACCCCCCCAGGTGCCCCCCAGGTGATTTTGGGGCTCCCCAGGTGAGTTTTGGGACCCCCCAGGTAATTTTGGGACCCCCCCAGGTGTCCCCCAGGTGAGTTTTGGGACCCCCCAGGTGAGTTTTGGGGTCCCCCGGTGATTTTGGGACCCCCCCAGGTGCTCCCCAGGTGAGTTTTGGGACCCCCCAGGTGAGTTTTGGGGTCCCCCAGGTGAGTTTTGGGGCCCCCAGGTGATTTTGGGACCCCCCCAGGTAATTTTGGGACCCCCCCCAGGTGTCCCCCAGGTGAGTTTTGGTGCCCCCCAGTTGATTTTGGGGCTACCCAGGTGAATTTTGGGGTCCCCCAGGTGAGTTTTGGGACCCCCCCCAGGTAAATTTAGGGTCTCCCAGGTGCCCCCAGGTGATTTTGGGACCCCCCAGGTGAGTTTGGGAACGAACCCTCTGCGAATCTGAGCTCTCCACCTCCGGCCCTGCGGGAACAGCACCAGTATGGACCAGCATAAACCAGTATAAACCAGTATAAACCAGTATAAACCAGTACACAACAGTCCAGACCAGCCCAAACCAGTCCAGACCAGTATAAACCACTAATGACCCTCCCAGTTCCCCCCAGTTTCCCCCCAGTTCCCCCCAGTTTCCCCCCAGTTCCCCTCAGTTCGTCCCAGTTCCCTCCCAGTCCCTCCCAGTTTGTCCCAGTCCCCCCAGTTCCCTCCCAGTTCCTCCCAGTTTATCCCAGTTCCCCCCAATTCCCTCCCAGTTCCCTCCCAGTTTGTCCCAGTCCATCCCAGTCCCCCCCAGTCTCTCCCAGTTTGTCCCAGTTCCCCCCAATTCCCTCCCAGTTCCCTCCCAGTTTGTCCCAGTTCATCCCAGTCCCCCCCAGTCCCCCCCAGTCCCTCCCAGTCCCTCCCAGTCCCTCCCAGTTCCCTCCCAGTTTGTCCCAGTTCCCCCCAGTTCCCTCCCAGTCCCTCCCAGTCCCTCCCAGTCCCCCCAGTCCCTCCCAGTTTGTCCCAGTTCATCCCAGTCCCTCCCAGTTCCCTCCCAGTTCCCCCCAGTTCCCCCCCCATTCCCTCCCAGTTCCTCCCAGTCCCCCCAGTACCGTGGGGGGGGGTCCCGCTGCGCTCTGGGGTCTCCGGGGGGCTCCGGCAGGGGCTGGGGGGGGGGGAGGGGCGCTGCTGGGGGAGAGACTGGGAGTTACTGGTTTGAACTGGGAGAGACTGGGGGGGTCACTGGGAGTTACTGGTTTGAACTGGGAGTTACTGGTTGGTTTGAACTGGGAGTTACTGGTTTGAACTGGGAGAGACTGGGTGGTCACTGGGAGTTACTGGTTTGAACTGGGAGTTACTGGTTTGAACTGGTTTGAACTGGGAGAGACTGGGAGTTACTGGTTTGAACTGGTTTGAACTGGGAGAGACTGGGGGGGTCACTGGGAGTTACTGGTTTGAACTGGTTTGAACTGGGAGTTACTGGGAGTTACTGGTTTGGACTGGTCTGAACTGGGACACACCTGGGGGCTCACTGGGGGTTACTGGTTTGAACTGGGAGAGACTGGGAGTTACTGGTTTGAACTGGGAGAGACTGGGGGGGGTCACTGGGAGTTACTGGTTTGAACTGGTTTGAACTGGGACACACCTGGGGGCTCAGCGGGCGTTACTGGTCCGGACTGGTCTGAACTGGGCGTTACTGGTTTGAACTGGTCTGAACTGGGAGAGACTGGGGGGGTCACTGGGAGTTACTGGTTTGAACTGGTTTGAACTGGGAGAGACTGGGGGGGTCACTGGGAGTTACCGGTTTGAACTGGTCCGAACTGGGCGTTACTGGTTTGGACTGGTTTGAACTGGGAGTTAGTGGTTTGGACTGGTTTGAACTGGGAGAGACTGGTTTGAACTGGGAGAGACTGGGCGTTACTGGGAGTTACTGGTTTGAACTGGGAGTTACTGGTTTGAACTGGTTTGAACTGGGAGAGACTGGGGGGGCTCACTGGGCGTTACTGGTTTGAACTGGGACACACCTGGGGGCTCAGCGGGCGTTACTGGTCCGGACTGGTCCGAACTGGGCGTTACTGGTTTGGACTGGTCTGAACTGGGACACACCTGGGGGCTCAGCGGGCGTTACTGGTTTGGACTGGTCTGCACTGGGCGTTACTGGTTTGGACTGGTCCAAACTGGGAGTTACTGGTCCGGACTGGTCCGAACTGGGCCCCTCCTGTCCGTCCTCATCATCGTCGCTCAGATCCTCCCACTGGTCGGAGTCCCCCGGGGATCCGGGAGCTTCCGGAACCTTCCCCGGGACCTGCCGGCCCCAAATCCGGGAAAATCCCAAAATTCCAAAGGGGTCCGAGTTCCCAAATCCCAAAATTCCAAATCCCAAATCCCAAAATTCTGAGAGGCTCCAAATTCCCAAATTCCCCAATTCCGAATCCCAAAATCAGGGGAAATCCCAAATTTCCGAGGGGTTCCAAATTCCCAAATCCCAAAATCCCAAAATTCCAAAATCCCAAAATTCCGAAGGGGTCCAAATTCCAAAATTCCAAAATTCCAAATACCAAATCCCAAAATCCCAAAATCTGGGAAAATCCCGAATTTCCGAGGGGTTCCAAATTCCCAAATCCCAAAATCCCAAATCCCAAAATCAGGGGAAAACCCAAAATCCCAAATCAAATCCCAAATCCCAAAATCCAGGAAAATCCCAAAATTGCGAGGGATTCCAAATTCCCAAATCCCAAAATCCCAAAATTCCAAAATCCCAAAATTCCGAAGGGGTCCAAATTCCAAAATTCCAACATTCCAAATCCCAAAATCCCAAAATTCCGAAGGGGTCCAAATTCCAAAATTCCAAAACTCCAAATCCCAAAATACGGGAAAATCCCAAAATCCCAAATCCCAAAATCCCGAAATCCCAAATGGTCCAAAAATTCCAAATCCCAAAATCGGGCGGAAATCCCCAAGTCCCAAATCCCAAATGGTCCCAAAATCCCAAATCCCAAAATTCCAAATCTCAAAATCCCGGGGGATTCCAAAATCCCAAAATCCCAACCCCCAAAATTCCAAATCCCAAAATTCCAGAGGGTCCCAAAATCCCAAAATTCTGTGGGGTCCCAAAATGCCAAATCCCCAAATCCCAAAATCCCAAATCCCACAATTCCAGAGGGTCCCAAAAATCCCAAATCCCAAAATTCCAAAATCCCAAATCCCAAAATTCCAGCGGATCCCAAAATTCCGGAATTTTGGGGTCACCTGAGGGGTTTCGGGGTCCGGGGGCGGCTCCGGCTGCGGCTCCCAACGATCGTCGTGGAAACTGGAACGGAATTCACGGGAAAATTTGGGAATTCGGGCAAAAATTTGGGAAATTCCCAAAAAAAAAAATCCCCAAAAATGGGAATTCGGCCCAAAATTCCTGGAAAAAAGAAGAAGAAGGGGATTTCCCCCCGAAAATTCCCCCCGAAAATCCCAAAAATCTCCTCCAGAAAATACAAATGTCCCCCTAAAAGCGTCCCAAAAAATCCCAAATCCACAAAAATCCCCCAAAATCCACAAGAATCTGTTAAAAAAACCTTAAAATCCCTAAAAATCCCCCCAAAAACAAAATACTCCCCCCAAATTCCCCCAAAATTCCCCCCAAACCCCCCAAAATCCACAAAAAAATCCCCCTAACCCCCCAAATTCCCCAAAAATCCCCCCAAAATCCACAAAATTCCCTCAAAATCCACAAAAATCCCCCCAAAATAACAGAATTCCCCCCCAAAATCCACAAAAATCCCCAAATTTCCCCAAATCCCCCCCAAAAAACCAGAATTCTCCCCCAAAATCCACAAAAAAACCCCCAAATCCAGAAAATTCCCCCAAAATACAAAGTTCCCCCCCAAATCCACAAAAATCCCCCCAAAATCCTCACAAAACCCCCAAATCTCCCCGAAATCCTCCCAAACCCCCAAATTTCCTCAAAATTCCCTCCGAAATTCCCCCAAAACCCCCAAATTTTGCCAAAATCTCCCCAAAACCCCCCAAATATCCCCAAAATCCCCCCAATCCCCCCAAATTTCCCCCAAATTTCCCCAAAATCCCCCTGAAATCCCCCCAAATTTCCCCAAAATCTCCCCAAATTTCCCCCAAATTTCCCCAAAATCCCCCTGAAATCCCCCCAAATTTCCCCAAAATCTCCCCAAATTTCCCCCAAATTTCCCCAAAATCCCCCTGAAATCCCCCCAAAATCTCCCCAAATTTCCCCCAAATTTCCCCAGAATCCCCCAAATCCCCCAAATTTCCCCAAAACCCCCAAAATCCCCCAAATCCCCCCAAAATCCCCTCACCTGTAGGGGCGGCCCCTCCCCCGCCCTCGGCCCCTCCGGCGGCGTTGGGGGTGGGGGAGGGGCGGGGGGGGGCCTGGGGGGGCCCCTCCCCCCTCGGGCTCCTCCGGGACCCCCGAGAACCTGCGGGGGAGGGGCAGAGGTGGGACCCCAAAATTCACCCCCAAATTCACCAAAAAATTCATCGAAAACCCCAAAATTCACCCCAAAAATTCACCCCAAAAATTCACCGAAAATTCACGTGAAAATTCACCTGAAAACCCAAAATTCACCCAAAAATGTATCTCAAAATTCACCTCAAAATTTCTCCCAAAATTCACCTCAAAATTTATCTGAAAACCCAAAATTCACCCCAAAATTTATCCCAAAATTTACCCAAAATCCCATTTTGGGTCTAAAAATCCCATTTTTTTGTCTAAACATCCCATTTTTTCCTCCAAAAGTCCCATTTTTTGGTCCAAAAATCCCATTTTTTGGCCTAAACCTCCATTTTTTCCCTCAATCCCTGATTTTTTCTCCCTAAATCCCCATCTTTTTTCCCAAACACCCCAAAAATCCCATATTTCTTCCAAAAATCCAATCTTTTCCCCCCAAAATCCAATTTTTTTTGTCTAAATATCACATATTTCTTCCAAAAATCCCCATTTTTCTCCCAAAAAGTCCATTTTTTCTCCAGAGGTCCTATTTTTTGTCTAAAAATCCCATATTTTTGCTCTAAAAACCCCATTTTTTGTCTAAATATCCCATATTTCTTCCAAAAATCCAATCTTTTTCAGAAAAATCCCATTTTTCCCATCCAAAATTCCCATTTTTCATCCAAAAATCCCATTTTTTTGTCTAAAAATCACATTTTCTGCCATAAAAATCCCATTTTTTTGTCTAAAAATCCCATTTTTAATCCAAAAATCCCATTTTTTACTCTAAAAACCGCCTTTTTTCATCCAAAAATCCCATTTTTTTTGTATAAAAATCACATTTTCTGCCATAAAAACCCCATTTTTTTGTCTAAAAATCCCATTTTTTTGTCTAAAAACCCCATTTTTTTTCCCCAAAATTCCATTTTTTCCCCAAAATCCCATTTTTTTTCCCCGGACCCACATGCTGTCGGGTTTCTGTGCGTCCCACTCCCGTCTCCAGGCGCCGCGGGGGTCTCGGTGCCGCTGCAGCCGGGGGCTTTTCCCCAAAATCCCACTTTTTCTCTAAAAACCCCATTTTTTTTGTCTAAATATCCCATTTTCTGCCATAAAACCCCCATTTTTTGTCTAAAACCCCCATTTTTTGTCTAAATATCCCATTTTTTTGTCTAAAAACCCCATTTTTTGGCCCCAAAATCCCATTTTTTGCCCTAAACCCCCATTTTTTGTCTAAACATCCCATTTTTTTGTCTAAATATCCTATTTTTAATCCAAAAATCCCATTTTTTGCTCTAAAAACCCCCTTTTTTCGTCCAAAAATCCCATTTTTTTGTCTAAAAACCCCATTTTTTGGCCTAAAAACCTCATTTTTTTTCCCCCAAAATCCCATTTTTTTTCCCCAAACCCCCAAAATCCCATTTTTTCCCCGGACCCACATGCCATCGGGTTTCTGGGCGTCCCACTCCTGTCTCCAGGCGCCGCGGGGGTCCCGGTGCCGCTGCAGCCGGGGGCTTTTCCCCAAAATCCCACTTTTTGTCTAAAAATCCCATTTTTTGTCTAAAAACCCCATTTTTTTGTCTAAATATCCCATTTTCTGCCATCAAACCCCCATTTTTTGTCTAAATATCCCATTTTTTCATCCAAAAATCCCAGTTTTTGGCCTAAAAACCCCATTTTTTTTGTCTAAAAACCCCATTTTTTTGTCTAAATATCCCATTTTTTTATCTAAATATCCCATTTTTTGGCCTAAAACCCCATTTTTTTGTCTAAATATCCCATTTTTTAATCCAAAAATCCAATTTTTTCATCCAAAAATCCCATTTTTATGTCTAAAAACCCCATTTTTTGCCCTAAAAATCCCATTTTTTTTCCCCAAACCCCATTTTTTTTGTGTAAAACCCCCATTTTTTTCCCTAAAAACCCCATTTTTTCCCCAAATCCCATTTTTTCCCCCGGACCCACATGCCGTCGGGTTTCTGTGCGTCCCACTCCCGTCTCCAGGCGCCGCGGGGGTCGCGGTGCCGCTGCAGCCGCTCGCGGTCGATCCGTTCCCGTTCCCGTTTCCAGCGCTCGTACTCCGCCCGCTGCCGCCCCGTCATCCACAGCGTCGGGTCCAGCGGCGGAGAGACCCCCGCCCGGGCAGCCCCCCGCCGGGCCTGGGGGGAAACGGGGAAATTGGGCCAAAAATGGGAAATGACAAAAAACCCCGAGAGAATCGCAAAAAAACCCAAGAGAATCGGGCCAAAAATGGGGAAAATACAAAAAAAACCCCGAAAGAATCGCAAAAAAACCCCGAGAGAATCGGGCCAAAATGGGGAAAATACAAAAAAAACCCTGAGAGAATCGCAAAAAAACCCCGAGAGAATCGGGCCAAAAATGGGGAAAATGCAAAAAAAAAACCCAAAAAAATCCCAAAAACCCAGAGAGAATCGGTCCAAAAATGGGGAAAATCCCCAAAAATTGACTCAGGAAAATCCCAAAGGCCCCGCCGGGTCTGGGGGGAAAAACGGGGAAATTGGGCCAAAAATGGGAAATGACAAAAAAAACCCCGAGAGAATCGCAAAAAACCCCGAGAGAATCGGCCGGAAAATGGGGAAAATGCAAAAAAAAACCCCAAAAAAATCGCCCAAAACCCTGAGAGAATTCGCCCAAAAATGGGGAAAATATAAACAAAACCCCCAAAAAAATCCCAAAAACCCCAAAAAAATCCCAAAAACCCTGAGAGAATCGGGCCAAAAATGGGAAATCAAAAAAAAACCCCGAGAGAATCGCAAAAAACCCCGAGAGAATCGGGCCAAAAATGGGGAAAATACCCAAAAATTGACTCAGGAAAATCCCAAAGGCCCCGCCGGGTCTGGGGGGAAAACGGGGAAAATCGTCCTAAAAATGGGAAATCCCCAAAAACCCCCGAGAGAATCGGCCCAAAAATGGGGAAAATAGAAAAAAAACCCCGAGAGAATCGGGCCAAAAATGGGAAATCCCAAAAAACCCCAAGAAAATCGCAAAAACCCCCGAGAGAATCGGGCCAAAAATGGGGAAAATACACAAAAAAAACCCCCAAAAAATCAAAAAAACCCTGAGAAAATCCCCCCAAAAATGGGGAAAATAAAAAAAAAACCCCAAGAGAATCGCAAAAAACCCCGAGAGAATCGGCCCAAAAATAGGGAAAATATAAACAAAACCCCCAAAAAAATCCCAAAAACCCCAAAAAAATCCCGAAAACCCCGAGAGAATCGGGCCAAAAATGGGAAATCCCGAAAAAACCCGAGAGAATCGCAAAAAAACCCCGAGAGAATCGGGCCAAAAATGGGGAAAATGCAAAAAAAAAACCCAAAAAAACTCCCCAAAATAATCCCAAAAACCCCAAGAGAATCGGCCCAAAAATGGGGAAAATACAAAAAAAACCCCAAAAAAATCCCCAAAAACCCCAAGAGAATCGGGCCAAAAATGGGGATTTTTGGGGATTTTTGAAGGAAGTTTTTTTGGGATTTTTTTGGGGATTTTTTGGGGGGAATTTTTTGGGGTGTTTTTTTCTGGATTTTTGTGGGATATTTTTGGGGTTTTTTTTGTGTGTTTTTGGTGATTTTTTTCTTTTTTGGGTTTTTTTTTTGCCTTTTTTGTGGGGGGGATTTTTTGGCTTTTTGGGGGATTTTTGGAGGAAATTTTTTGGGGATTTTTTGGGGCTTTTTTTGTGTGTTTTTGGTGATTTTTTTTTCTTTTTTGGGGGGATTTTTTGCCTTTTCCGGGGATTTTTGAAGGAAGTTTTTTTGGGATTTTTTGGGCCTTTTTGTGCGTTTTTGGGGATTTTTTTTCTTTTTTGAGGGGATTTTTTGCCTTTTTCGGGGATTTTTGGGGGATTTTTGAAGGAAGTTTTTTTGGGATTTTTTTTGGGAGATTTTTTTGGGGTATATTTTTGGGGCATTTTTTGTGTGTTTTTGGTGATTTTTTTTGCTTTTTTTCGGGGATTTTATGCCTTTTTCAGGGATTTTTGGGAGATTTTTGAAGGAAGTTTTTTTGGGATTTTTTGGTGGGATTTTTTGGGGTGTTTTTTTTGGGATTTTTGGGGGATATTTTTGGGGCTTTTTTGTGTGTTTTTGGGGATTTTTTTTTGCTTTTTGAGGGGATTTTTTTCCTTTTCCGGGTATTTTTGGGGGATTTTTGAAGGACGTTTCTGGGATTTTTTGGTGGGATTTTTTTGGGGGGATTTTTTTGGGGATTTTTGGAGGAAGTTTTTTGGGATTTTTTGGGTCTTTTTTGTGTGTTTTTTGTGATTTTTTTTGCTTTTTTGGGGGGATTTTTTGCCTTTTTCGGGGATTTTTGAAGGAAGTTTTTGGGATTTTTCAGTGGGATTTTTTGGGGGTTTTTTTTGGGGTGTTTTTTGGGATTTTTTGGGACCTTTTTGTCTGTTTTGGTGATTTTTTTTGCTTTTTTGAGGGGATTTTTTTGCTTTTTTGGGAATTTTTGGGGGATTTTTGAAGGACGTTTTTGGGATTTTTTGGTGGGATTTTTTTGGGGTGTTTTTTGGGGTATTTTTGGGGTTTTTGGGGTACCCACCGCGGCCTTGCCGAAGTCGGGGCCCCCCCAGTTGCGCTGGTGCCGCCGGGGGCCCCCCCCGGGCCCCCCCCCCGGGCTCGGGGCCGCAGCGCCGCGGATCGTCCAGAAAGTTCCGCACCGGGTTCCGCTCCGGGAGCCCCTCCTGCGGGAAACTGGGATCACTGGGAGCACTGGGGGGCACTGGGGGGCACTGGGAGGGACTGGGGGGGACTGGGGGGCACTGGGAGGGGAGCTGGGGGAGCTGGGAGGGACTGGGGGGCACTGGGATAAACTGGGAGGGGAGCTGGGGGCACTGGGAGGGACTGGGAGGGGACTGGAATGAACTGGGATAAACTGGGAGGGGAGCTGGGGGCACTGGGAGGGACTGGGAGGGGACTAGGATAAACTGGGGGGCACTGGGAGGGGACTGGGAGGGGATTTGGGGGAACTGGGAGGGACTGGAAGGGACTGGGATAAACTGGGAGGGGACTGGGATAAACTGGGAGGGGATTTGGGGTTACTGGGAGCAACTGGGAGGGGATTTGGGGGCACTGGGAGGGACTGGGAGGGACTGGGATGGACTGGGAGGGGACTGGGAGGGACTGGGAGGGGATTTGGGGGTACTGGGACAAACTGGGAGGGGACTGGGATGGACTGGGATAAACTGGGAGGGGATTTGGGGTTACTGGGAGGGACTGGGAGGGGATCTGGGGGCACTGGGAGGGACTGGGAGGGACTGGGAGGCACTGGAATGAACTGGGATAAACTGGGAGGGGACTGGGGTTACTGGGAGGGACTGGGAGGGGACTGGGATAAAGTGTGAGGGAACTGGGATGGACTGGGAGGGGATTTTGGGCACTGGGGGGAACTGGGAGGGGATTTGGTGTTACTGGGAGGGGACTGGGATCAACTGGGAGGCACTGGGAGGGGATCTGGGGTTACTGGGAGCAACTGGGAGGGGATTTGGGGGCACTGGGACGGGCTGGGATGGACCTGGGATAAACTGGGAGAGGACTGGGATGGGACTGGGATGAACTGGGAGGGGATTTGGGGGAACTGGGAGGGACTGGGGTGGGATTTTGGGGAATTGGGGGGGACTGGGAGGGACTGGGAGGGGACTGGGATAAACTGGGAGGGGATTTGGGGGTACTGGGACAAACTGGGAGGGACTGGGGCAGAACTAGGATGAACTGGGATAAACTGGGCTAACTGGTCCGTACTGGTCTATGCTGGTCTATACAGCTCTGAACTGGTTTGTACTGGTCTGTGCTGGTTTGTACCGGTCTTTACTGGTCTATACTGGTCCGTACTGGTCTATACTGGTCCGTACTGGTCTATACTGGTCCGTACTGGTCTATACTGGTCCGTACTGGTTTATACTGGTCCGTACTGGTGCCTCACCCTGCGGCCGCGCTCGTACTCAGCGATTTTCTCCATCTCCTCGTTCATCTGCTCGATGTTCTGCAGCCGCCGCTGCTCCCACTCCTGGGGACCCCAAAACCGCCCAAATTCACCCCAAAACCGCCCAAATTCACCCCAAAATCCGCCCAAATTCACCCCAAAATTCACCCCAAAATCCGCCCAAATTCACCCCAAAATCGGACAAAATTCAGTCCAAATTACGTCAAAATTCACCCAAAATTCCCACAAAAATCCCCCCAAATCCCTGAATTTCCACAAAATTTCCACAAAATTCCCCCAATCTCCCCAAATTTCCTGAAATTTCCACAAAAATCCCCCCAAATCCCCGAATTTCCACAAAATCTCCCCAAATTTCCCAAAATTTCCAAAAATTTCCACAAAAATCCCCCCAAATCCCTGAATTTCCCCAAAATTTCCCGAAATCCCCCCCAAATGCCCAAATCTCCCCAAATCTCACCTGGGATTTTCGGTCGCCGCCGTCGCCCCCCCCCGCCCCTCCCCCCCTCCCGCGGGGTCGTGACCCCCCGGCCCCTCCCCCACCCCCCCGCGGGGGGCGCCCCGAAATCCGGGGGGGGCCCGGGGGCTTCTTCTCCTTGGGCTGGTCCTGTTGGGGGGCAGAGAGCCCAAAAAAACCCAAAATCAACCCAAAATCCACCCAAAACTGTCCCCAAAATCCTCACTGAGAGACCGCGAAATAAACCCAAATATACCCCAAAATAATCCCAAATAAACCTCAAAATAAAACTCAAATAAACCCCAAAATAAAACTCAAACCCAAAATAAAACTCAAATAAACCCCAAAATCCACCCAAAACAATCCCCAAAATCCCCACTGAGAGACCTCGAAATAAACCCAAATAAACCCCAAAATAAACCTCAAATAAACCCAAATCAACCCAAAATCCACCCAAAACAATCCCCAAAATAAAACTCAAATAAACCCAAATAAACCCCAAAATCCACCCAAAACAATCCCCAAAATCCTCATTGAGAGACTGTGAAATAAATCCAAATAAACCCCAAAATAAACCCAAAAAAACCCAAATAAACCCAAATAAACCCCAAAATAAAACTCAAAATAATCCCAAATAAATCCCAAAATAAAACCCAAATAAACCCAAATAATCCCCAAAATCCCCACTGAGACCTCGAAATAAACCCAAATAAACCCCAAAATAAACCTCAAAATAAACCAAATAATTAAAGCTCAAAATAAACCCAAATAAACCCCAAAATAAAGCTCAACATAAACCCAAATAAACCCCAAAATAAATCCCAAATAAACCCAAATAAATCCCAAAATAAACCTCGAAATAAACCAAATAATTAAAGCTCAAAACAAACCCAAATAAACCCCAAAATAAAGCTCAACATAAACCCAAATAAACCCCAAAATAAATCCCAAATAAACCCAAAAATCCCCAAAATCCCCCCAAAAAATCCCCAAATCCCCCAAAAAAAATCCCCAAATCCCCCCAAAAAAATCCCCAAATCCCCCCAATTCCCCACTCAGACACCCCCAAAAAAACCCCAAATCCCCCCAAAATCCCCAAAAACCCCCAAAAGCCCCAAATCCCCCAAATCTCACCCCGGGGGGTCCCGGGGGGTCTCTGTCCCCCCCCCGCCGGGGGGGCCGGGCGGTCACAGCCCCCCCCTCGCGCTCCGCCCGCCGCCGATCCTCCTCGATCTCCTGGAATTTGGGGGAAATTTGGGAATTTTTGGGGTTTTTTGGGAATTGTTTGGGTTTTTTTCAGGAATTTTTGGGGATTTTTAGGGATTTTTTTTGGTTTTTTGGGGGGGATTTGGGGTCACAGCCCCCCCCTCGCGCTCCGCCCGCCGCCGATCCTCCTCCATCTCCTGGAATTTGGGGGAAATCTGGGAATTTTGGGGGAAATCTGGGAATTTTGGGGAATTTTTTTTTGGTTTTTTCAGGAAGTTTTGGGGAAATTTCGGGGTTTTTAGGGATTATTTTGGGTTTTTTTGGGGGGGGATTTGGGGTCACAGCCCCCCCATCGTGCTCGGCCTGGTGCCGATCCTCCTCGATCTCCTGGAATTGGGGAATTTGGGAATTTTGGGGGAATTTTGGGAATTTTTGGGGTTGTTTTCAGGACTTTTTGGGATTTTTAGGTATTTTGGGGGATTTTTAGGGATTTTTGGGGATTATTTTGGGGGATTTTTGGGGGGGATTTGGGGAGTCCTGGGGGGATTTTTGGGGAGATCTTTGGGGGGATTTTTTGGGGGCGTCCTGAGAACTTTGAGGGGAATTTTTGGGGAGTCTCGGGGAGGATTTTTTGGGGGGGTCCTGGCAGGTCCTGGGGGGGATTTTTGGGGAGATCTCGGGGGGGATTTTTGGGGGAATCCTGAGAACTTTTAGGGAAATTTTTGGGAAGATCTCGGGGGGATTTTTGGGGGATTTTTGGGGGGATCTTGGGGGGGATTTTTGGGGGAGTCCTGAGGAATTTTTGGGGGGGTCCTGAGAAATTTTTGGGGGATTTTTGGGGAGATCTTGGGGGGATTTTTGGGGAGATCTCGGGGGGATTTTTGGGTGATTTTTGGGGAGATCTCGGGGGGGATTTTTGGGGAGATCTCGGGGGGATTTTTTTGGGGAGTCCCAAGGAATTTTTGGGGAAATCTTGGGGGGATTTTTCGGGGATTTTTGGGGAGATCTGGGGGGGGATTTTTGGGGGAGTCCTGAGGAATTTTTGGGGGGTTTTTGGGGAGATCTCAGGGAGGATTTTTGGGGGATTTTTGGGGAGTCTCGGGGGGATTTTTGGGGAGTCCCGGGGGGGTTTTTGGTTGATTTTTGGGGAGTCTCGTGGGGAGTTTTGGGTGATTTTTGGGGAGTCTCGGGGGGGTTTTTGGGGAGATCTCGGGGAGGATTTTTGGGATGTCCCGGGGGGATTTTTGGGTGATTTTTGGGGGGATTTTTGGGGGAGTCCTGAGGAATTTTTGGGGAGTCTCGGGGGGATTTTTGGGGAGATCTCGGGGGGATTTTTTTGGGGAGTCCTGAGGAATTTTTGGGGGGTCCCAGGGGGGGATTTTTGGGTGATTTTTTGGGGCTCTCAGGGGAGATTTTTGGGGAGTCTCGGGGGGAGTTTTGGGGATATCTCGGGGGGGATTTTTTTGGGGAGTCCTGAGGAATTTTTGGGGGGTCCCGGGGGGGATTTTTGGGGAGGTTTTTGGGGAGGGTTCGGCCCCCCTGGCCTGACCTGGTAGCGCCGCACCAGCGCCTCGTTCTTCCTGCGCAGGGCGGCGATTCTCCGGTCCAGCTCCGCGTCCTTCTCCAGCGCCGCCGCCTGCGGGGAGGGGATTTTTGGGGAGGGGGCTTCGGTCAGACAGAACCCCCCGGGGGAGGGGAGAGACCCCCCAAAAAAATCCAGAAATTACCCATAAGAAAATCCCAAAAAAAACCCCAAAAAAATCAAAAAAATGCAAAAAAAATCCCAAAAAACCCCCCACAAAAATAATTAAAAAAACCAATAAAAAACCAAAAAAATACCCCCAAAAAAATCCCGAAAATACCCATAATAAAATTCCCCCCCCCAAAAAAAAAAATTCCAAAAAATTAAAAAAATCCCAAAAAAAACCCCACAAAAATAATAATTAAAAAAAACCAAAAAAAAAACCCACAAAAAAAACTAAATAAAACAAAATAAATCAAAATTAAAAAACCCTAAAAAATTTTTAAAAATCCCAAAAAAACCCCACAAAAATAAAAATAAAAAAAACACCAAAAAAAACGAAATGAAACAAAATAAATCAAAATAAAAAAAACTAAAAAATTTTTAAAAATCCCAAAACCCCCCACAAAAAGCCTCAAAAAAAACACTAAAAAATAATAAATAAACACTAAAACAAAAACCCGGAAAAAAACAACCAAAAACCCCAAACAAATCCCAAAAAAAATCTCAAAATCCCAAAAAATCCCCCCAAAAAGAATCCACCAAGGACGGAGAGACCCCCCCCAAAATAACCCCAAAAAAACACTAAAAAAAACCCAAAAAATATTAAAAAAACCGTAAAAAAACCCAAAAAAACCCCCTAAAAAATCTCAAATAACCCCAAACCCCCCCCGAGCCCCGAGCCCGTCCCGGGACCCCCGAAACGACCCCGGGACCACCGGAACGACCCCGGGACCCCCCCGGGACCACCGGAACGACCCCGGGAGGGACCCCGGGACCCCCGGAACGACCTCGGGACCCCCCCGGGCCCCCTCCGCGACCCTCTGGGACCCTCCGGGACCTCCCCGGGACCCCCGAAACGACCCCGGGACCCTCCGGGACCCCCCGGGACCCCCTCCGGGCCCACCATGGCGGCGCCGGTCCCGGTTCGCCGCTACTTCCGCTTCCGGTATGGGCGGAAGAGGGAGCGGAGCTTAAAGGGGCGATGGTGCCAAAGTGGGGCCCACCGGGGCGGCTTAAAAGGGCAACGGGGACGGGGACACGGGAGCGCCGCGGGTGACACCGATGGCACCTCTGGGGTGGCACCGATGGCACTTCCGGGGTGGTGGCACCGCTGTGACCCCCTGAAGTGGCACCGATGGCACCCCTGGGGTGGCATCTCTGGGGTGGTGGCACTGCTGTGACCCCCTGAAGTGGCACCGATGGCACCTCTGGGGTGACACCTCGGGTTGGTGGCACCGATGGCACCCCTGGGGTGGCACCGCGGGGTGGTGGCACCGCTGTGACCCTCTGAAGTGGCACCGGTGGCACCTCTGGGGTGGCACCGCGGGGTGGTGACACCGATGGCACCCCTGGGGTGGCACCTGGTGTCCCCTTGTCACCCCCAGGCGCTGTCACTTCGTTTCGGGTCATTTTTGTCACTCTCTGGAGGGGCACCTCCTGTTGGTGGCACTTTTGTCACCCCCGGGCGGTGCCACCCCGTGTGTCCCTTTGTCACCTCCTGTCCCCTCTGTCCCCCTCTGTCCCTCTGTCCCTCTGTCCCCTCTGTCCCTCTGTCCCTCTGTCTGTCCCTCTGTCCCTCTGTCCCTCTGTCCCCTCTCTGTCCCTCTGTCCCTCTGTCTGTCCCTCTGTCCCCTCTGTCCCTCTGTCCCTCTGTCCGTCTGTCCCTCTGTCCCTCTGTCCTCTGTCCCTCTGTCCCCTCTCTGTCCCTCTGTCCCCTCTGTCCCTCTGTCCCTCTGTCTGTCCCTCTGTCCCTCTGTCCCTCTGTCCCCTCTCTGTCCCTCTGTCCCTCTGTCCCTCTGTCCCCTCTGTCCCTCTGTCCCTCTGTCCGTCTGTCCCTCTGTCCCTCTGTCCCCTCTCTGTCCCTCTGTCCCTCTGTCCCCTCTCTGTCCCTCTGTCCCCTCTCTGTCCCTCTGTCCCTCTGTCTGTCCCTCTGTCCCCCCCCGCCCCATCCCCGCCCCCCTCCCCTTTGTGGGCGTGGCCCAGCCTGGCCCCGCCTATTCTGGGCGTGCCCGCGGGCAGGCGATGGGCGTGGCCTCGCTGGCCCCGCCCCCCGGCTGTCTCCATGGCAGCTGAGGCTCTGACCGCGGCCGCGAACGCTGATTGGCTGAGCCGGGGGCGCGCGCGGCGCCGGGGGCGGGGCCGGGCGGGGCTGGGGGGGCGGGGGGGGGACCGGGAATAACGGGGGGAGAAACTGGGAATAACTGGGGGGAAACTGGGAAAAACTGGGAATAACTGGGAAAAACTGGGAATAACTGGGGGGAGAAACTGGGAATAACTGGGGGGAAACTGGGAATAACTGGGGGGGGAACTGGGGGGAGAAACTGGGAATAACTGGGAATAACTGGGAATAACTGGGGGAGAAACTGGGAATAACTGGGGGGGGAGTGGGAACAACTGGGGGGAAACTGGGAATAACTGGGAATAACTGGGGGGGGAAATTGGGGGGGAAACTGGGAATAACTGGGGGAGAAACTGGGAATTACTGGGGGGAAACTGGGAATAACTGGGGGGGGAACTGGGGGGAGAAACTGGGAATAACTGGGAATAACTGGGGGAGAAACTGGGAATGACTGAGAATAACTGGGGGAGAAACTGGGCGGGAAACTGGGAATAACTGGGGGGGGAAAATTGGGGGGAAACTGGGAATAACTGGGAATAACTGGGGGGAAAGTGGGCGGGAAACTGGGAATGACTGGGGGGAAACTGGGAATAACTGGGAATAACTGGGGGGGGAACTGGGGGAGAAACTGGGAATAACTGCGAATAACTGGGGGAAACTGGGGGAGAAACTGGGAATGACTGGGGGGAAAGTGGGCAGGAAACTGGGAATAACTGGGAATAACTGGGGGGGGAACTGGGGGGGAAACTGGGAATGACTGGGAATAACTGGGAATAACTGGGGGGGGAACTGGGGGAGAAACTGGGAATAACTGGGAATAACTGGGGGGGAAACTGGGGGAGAAACTGGGAATGACTGGGGGGAAAGTGGGCGGGAAACTGGGAATAACTGGGGGGGGGAACTGGGGGAGAAACTGGGAATAACTGGGAATAACTGGGGGGGGAAACTGGGAATAACTCGGAATAACCTGTGCCTGTGCCAACACCTGTATGGGCACCTGTACCTGTGCCAACATCTGTATCGATACCTGTACCTGTGCCAACACCTGTATCAATACCTATACCTGTGCCAACACCTGTGCCCACAGCTGAGTCCAGGCCACACCTGTGCCTGTATCTCTGTACCTGTCACCTCACCGGTCCCTGTCCCCTCACCTGTCCCTGTCCCCCTGTCCCCCTGTCTCACCTGTCCCTGTCCCCTCACCTGTCTCTGTCCCCCTGTCCCACCTGTCCCTGTCCCTCTCTCACCTGTCCCCTCACCAGTCCCTGTCCCCTCTCACCTGTCCCCTCACCTGTCCGTGTACCCCGTCTCACCTGTCCCTGTCCCTCTCTCCCCTGTCCCCCTCTCTCACCTGTCCCTGTCTCACCTGTCCCCTCACCTGTCCGTGTCCCCCTGTCTCACCTGTCCCTGTCCCTCACCTGTCCCTGTGTCTCACCTGTCCCTCTCTCACCTGTCCCCCATCACCTGTCCCTGTCTCCCCTCACCTGTCCCTGTCCCCTCACCTGTCCCCCTGTCTCACCTGTCCCCTCACCTGTCCCCCCTCACCTGTTCCCCTGTCTCACCTGTCCCTTTATGTGTCCCTGTCCCTGTCTCACCTGTCCCCTCTCACCTGTCCCTGTCCCCCCCTCACCTGTCCCTGTCCCTGTCTCACCTGTCCCTGTCCCTGTCTCACCTGTCCCTGTCCCCTCTCACCTGTCCCTGTCCCCCTGTCTCACCTGTCCCCCGTCTCACCTGTCCCCCCTCGCCTGTCCCTGTCCCGTCACCTGTCCCTGTCCCCTCTCACCTCTCACCTGTCCCCCCTCACCTGTCCCTGTCCCCTCTCACCTGTCCCTCACCTGTCCCCCCTCACCTGTCCCTGTCCCCCTGTCCCCTGTTTCACCTGTCCCTGTCCCCCCTCACCTGTCCCTGTCCCTGTCTCACCTGTCCCTGTCCCTGTCTCACCTGTCCCCTCACCTGTCCCTGTCCCCCCTCACCTGTCCCGCCCCCCCCCTTTTTCCCGCGCTCTCTCTCCCGCGCTCCGCTGGAGACAGCAACCGCCGCGCGCTCTGATTGGCCGCTCCCCTCGCGCCGCCGACCAATCCCGTCGCGGCGCGGCAGCGCGCGGCCCGGGGGGGGCGTGGCCGCCGCCGCCCAAGGGGGGGGGAAAGAACGAGGGGGGGGGGAAGGGGGGGAGACCCCTCGGTCAGAGGTCAAAGGTCAGGCGGTGACCCCAGCCCCGTTTTTTGGGGGGTTTTGGGGGGTCCCGGGGGTCGCGGGCGGGGTCTGGCGGCGGCGGCGGCGCCTGGTTGGACCTTCCCGCTGTTACCGGGGCGGCGGCGGCCGCAGCTTCGCCTGGAAACGGGGGGGGGCGGCGGCTGAGTGGCTGCGGCCGCCCCGGGACCGCCCCGGGACCCCCCCCAAAATGGGGAGGGGGCGGGAAAACCCCGAGTGGGGGCGGGGAGGGACCCCCGGCACTGGGGAGTGGGGGGGACCCACGTGGGGCACCCCTGGAATTGGGGGGGGGGTTGTTTTGGGGTGGGGGTCGCACTTTGGGGGTGCGGGGGGGTTTGTTTTGGGGCGAGGGGCGGAGTTTTGGGGTGTGGGTCGTTAATTTGGGGTGGGGGTCGCTAATTTGGGGGGGGCATCGCACTTTTGGGCTGTGTCAAAATTTGGGGGGGGCGCGATTTGGATTTAGAATTTTTTTTGGGGGGAATTTTGGGAGTTTGGCCGAATTTGAGGGGGGGGGGGGGGTCCCGTTTGAGGCAAAGAATTTTTTGGGGGTCGCCGCTAAATTTTTAAATTTTTTTGGGATTATTTTGGGTGAAACCCCCCCGATTTTCCCAAAGTGGGGGTGGGGACACAATTTGGGGAGGGGGATCCCCACCCCCCGCCCCCCCCCCCAAAAGTCGGGGTGGCACAAGCCCGAACTTGTCCGGGGCGGGGCGGGGCGGTGACGTCACGGTTGGGCGGTGACGTCACGGGTGGGCGTGGCGCGCTCCGCCGGTGCCGATCGCGCCCGTCCCGAGCGGTTCATGCGGCTCCGTGAGTGGGGGGGGCACGGGGGGGTCCGGGGGGTCCCGGGGTCACCCAAGGGTGGGGGACACCCCCCGGGGTGGGGGAGGGGCGGGGGGGTTATTTGGGGGGGGGGGACACAGCGGGGACACGCGCGGGTGGCACTTGGGGGGACGCGTGGGGGGGGGTGGGGGAGATTTTGGGATGGGGGGGGGCTCCAAAAATTGAGGGGGGGCTCCAAAAATTGAGGGGGGTCCCCAAAATTGAGGGGGGCTCCAAAAATTGAGGGGGGTCCCCAAAATTGGGGTGCTCAGGTTGTAGGGGGGGGCTCAGGTTGAGGGGGGACCCACGCGGGACAGGGAGGGGAAGAGGTGGGGGTCCCCAAAATTCACAGCGGGGGGGGGGGTCCCTAAAATTCACAGCGGGGGGGGGGGTCCCCAAAATTCACAGCAGGGGGGGTTGTCCCCAAAATTCACAGCGGGGAGGGGGGGTCCCCAAAATTCACAGATTCACAGCGGGGGGGGGTCCCCAAAATTCACAGCGGGGGGGGGGGGGTCCCACAAATTGAGGTCCCCAAATAGAGTGGGGGGGGGTGCCCAAAAATTGAGGTGGGGGTCGCGCTTAATGGACGGGGTCCCCAAATAGAGGGTCCCCAAATTTTGGGGTGGGGGGGGGGAATATCACATAGAGGAGGGTCCTAAAATTGAGGAGGGGTCCCCAAATTTGGGGTGGGGGGGGGGGGTGAGCGGGACAGGGAGGGGACACAACGGGGGGGGGGGGGGGGAGGGCAGCGACAGCGACACCGCACATGGCCAGGGGGGGGGAGGGGGGGAAGGGACCCTCCCGGGGGGGTTTATTTTGGGGAGGGGTTTTTTTTTGGGGGGGGGGGCACGGAGCAGGGGTGGGGGTCGTTTTTGGGGGTCGCTGTTTTTGGGGGGCGCGCGGGGGTCGCTGTTCGGTTTGTTTACAAACAGCGCCCGCCCGCGGCGCGCCCCCTGCCGGCCGAGACGCGCTATTGCTTTTAATTTTAATTATTTTTTAATTAATTTTTTGGGGAGGGGGCGATGTGAGGACCCCCCCACCCACTCTAAAATTGGGGTGTCCCCCCCTCTCCTCTGCAGAGCCCCCCGGGAGCGATGGCCAGACCGCTGCGGGAAGGGACCCTCGGGGAGCCCCCAGCCCCCCTCCCCTCGCACCCCTCCTGTGGGGGGGGCGGGGGGCGCCCCCCCACGCGCGACCCCCGCCCCTCCCCCACGCGCCTCAACTGCGGGGACCCCCCCCCCGGGACCCCCCCGGATTTTGGGATCTACGGGTGGGGAGCGCACGGTGAGTGCTTAAAGGGGGGGGGGGGTCCCCAATTTAGGGGGGGGTGTGATTTATTGGGGGGGGGTCCCGAATTATGGGGGGTGGTCCCGATTTATGGGGAGAGGTCCCCAATTTATGAGGGGGGGTCCTGATTTATGTGGGGGTCCCGATTTATTCGGGGGGGGTCCGGAATTATGGGGGGGGCGTGATTTGTTGGGGGGGTCCCAAATTATGGGGGGTGGTCCTGAATTTATGGGGGGGGTCCTGATTTACTGGGGGGGAGGGTCCCAATTTATGGGGAGGGGTCCCCAATTTATAGGGGGGGGGTCCCGATTTATTGGGGGGGTCCCGAATTATGGGGAGGGGTCCCCGATTTATGGGGGGGCTCCTGATTTATTGGGGGGATCCCGAATTTATGGGGGGGGGTCCCCAATTTAGGGGGGGGTTGTGATTTATGGGGGTGGTCCTGAATTATGGGGGGGGGTCCTGATTTATTGGGGGGTCCCGAATTATGGGGGGTAGTCCCAATTTATGGGGAGAGGTCCCCAGTTTATGGGGGGGGGGGTCCTGATTTATGGGGAAGGGTCCCAAATAATGGGGGGGGGAGGGTGTCACGATTTATTGGGGGGTCCCGAATTATGGGGGGGGTCCCGATTTATTGGGGGGGTCCTGATTTATGGAGAGAGGTCCCCAATTTATGGGGGGTGGTCCCGAATTAGGGGGGGTGGTCCCGAATTTATGTGAGGGTCCCGAATTTATGGGGCGGGAGGGTCGCGATTTATGGGGGTGGTCCTGATTTATGGAGAGAGGTCCCCAATTTATGGGGGGTGGTCCCGAATTTATGTGAGGGTCCCGAATTTATGGGGCGGGAGGGTCGCAATTTATGGGGGTGGTCCTGATTTTGGGGGGTGGTCCCCAATTTCTGTGGGGGGGGTGGTCCCCAATCCCAATTTTGGGGGGGGGGGGGTCCCAATTCCCAATTTATGGGGGGGTCCCCAATTTATGGGGAGGGACTCTCAGTTTGGGGGGGGGGTCCCAATTCCCAATTTTTGGGGGGGGTCCCCAATTTCTGAGATCCCCAATCCGATGTGGGGAGGGGGTCCCCAATTCCCTGGGGGGGGGGGGCAGCTCCTCACTTTTAGGGGGTCCCCAACCCCCTCCCACCCATTTTTTGGGGGGTGTGGCTCACCTTGACCCCCCCAAAATATTTTGGGGGGGGGGTGTGGCTGACCCTGCCCCCCTTTCCCCTCCCCCCCCAGGTGATTTCGGCCCCTCGGAGCCCCCGGGGACCCCCCAAATTGGGGGGGGTCCCGTCCCCAACGGGCGCCTGCCCGGACCCCCCCCCGGGCCGGAGCAGATTTTGGGGGCGCGGCTGCGGCTCCTGGGGGACGCCTTCCAGCACAGCCACGAGCGGCAGGTGAGGGCACCCCGAAATCGGGGGGGGACACCCCAAAAATTCGGGTGGGACTACTGAAAAATTCTCTGTGTTGGGGTTATCCCGAAATTTGGGGGTGCACCCCAAAAATTCGGGTGGAGAATGAAAAAATTTGGGTGGGACTCCCCAAAAATTCTCCATGTTGGGGTTATCCCAAAATTTGGGGGGTGCACCCCAAAAATTCGGGTGGGAACTGAAAAAATTCGGGTGGGAACTGAAAAAATTGGGGTGGGACTCTCCAAAAATTCTCCATGTTGGGGTTATCCCAAAATTTGGGGGCTGCACCCCAAAAATTGGGGTGGGACTCCCCAAAAATTGTCCGTGTTGGGGTTATCCCAAAATTTGGGGGTGACACACCAAAAATTCGGGTGGAGAATGAAAAAATTGGGGTGGGACACCCCAAAATTTCGGGTGGGACTCCCAAAAAATTCTCCGTGTTGGGATTATCCCAAAATTTGGGGGGTGCACCCCAAAAATTCGGGTGGGAACTGAAAAAATTGGGGTGGGACACCCCAAAAATTGGGGTGGGACTCCCAAAAAATTCTCCATGTTGGGTTTATCCCAAAATTTGGGGGTGCACCCCAAAAATTCGGGTGGGAACTGAAAAAATTCGGGTGGGACAACCGAAAAATTCTCCATGTTGGGGTTATCCCAAAATTTGGGGAGTGCACCCCAAAAATTCGGGTAGAAAATGAAAAAATTGGGGTGGGACTCCCAAAAAATTCTCCGTGTTGGGATAATCCCAAAATTTGGGGGGTGCACCCCAAAAATTCGGGTGGAGAATGAAAAAATTGGGGTGGGACTCCCAAAAATTCGGGTGGGACTCCCTAAAAATTCTCCCTGCTTGGGATGATCCCAAAATTTGGGGGGTGCACCCCAAAAATTCGGGTGGGAACTGAAAAAATTCAGGTGGGAACTGAAAAAATTGGAGTGGGAATCCCAAAAAATTCTCCATGTTGAGGTTATCCCAAAATTCTGGGGGTGCACCCCAAAAATTGGGGTGGGACTCCCCAAAAATTCTCCGTGTTGGGGTTACCCCAAAATTTGGCGGGTGCACCCCAAAAATCTGAGGGGGGACACCCCAAAATTTGGGTGGGAACTGAAAATTTCCCAAATTTTGCCCCCTCCCCTCCCATTCCCGGTGTCACTTTGGGTGGTTTTTAGGCTTTTTTTGGGTTGGGGGCTCCCCAAATTGACAGGAAAACCCCAAAATTAAGTGGGAACACCCCAAAATTCGGGGGGAACACCCCAAAATGACTCAGGACACTCCCTGGGGTTACTTTTTTAGGGAAAATCCCCCAAAATTCCTATTTTTCCCCGAATTTCTCCTCCCCGTGGCTGGATTTTGGAGGGTGGGAGGGGCTGGAATTTGGGGGAACAGCCCAAAATTTGGAGGAGACGCCCTAAAATTTAGGGGGGACCCCCAAAATTGGGCGGGGCGCACCCCGTGAGGCCGCGTTTTTCGGGGGAAAACCCCCAAAATTCAGTTTTTTTCCCCGTTTTAGCTCCACCTCTCCCAAGTCCCACTGCCAGGGCTGGAATTGGAGGAAAACCCCGAAAATTTAGGGGAAATGCCCCAAAATTTAGGAAAGAACCCCAAAAATTGAATAAGGACACTCAAAATGAGGCTGAATATCACTTTTTTTGGGGGGGATTCCTCCCAAAATTCCTTTTTTCCGCATCCCAGCTCCATCTCCCAAAATTTCATTTGGTGGGGTGGGAGAGGCTGGAATTGGGAGGGAAACCCCAAAATCCACAGGAGAACCCCCAAAATGTATCGGGAAACCCCAAAATCCACAGGAGAACCCCAAAATTTATTGGGAAACCCCAAAATTCACAGGAGAAGCCCCAAAATTTTATCGGGAACTCCCAAAATGTATTGGGAACCCCCAAAATCCACATGAAAACCCCCAAAATCCACAGGAGAACCCACAAAATTTATGGGGAACCCCCAAAATCCACAAGAGAACCCCCAAAATTTATGGGGAAACCCCAAAATCCACAGGAGAACCCCCAAAATCCACGGGAGAACCCCCAAAATTTATCAGGAGAACCCCCAAAAGTTATCGGGAACCCCCAGAATCCACAGGAGAACCCCCAAAATTTATCAGGAAAATCCCCAAAATCTATCGGGAACCCCCAAAATCCACGGGAGAACCCCAAAATTTATCAGGAAAACCCCCAAAATGTATCGGGAACCCCCAAAATCCACATGAGAACCCCCAAAATCCATGTGAGAACTCCAAAATTTATCAGGAAAACCCCCAAAATTTTATCGGGAAACCCCAAAATCCACATTAGAACCCCCAAAATGTATCGGGAACCCCCAAAATCCACGGGAGAACCCCCAAAATCCACGGGAGAACCCCCAAAATCCACGGGAGAACCCCCAAAATGTATCAGGAAAACCCCCAGAATCCACAGGAGAACCCCCAGATTTATCAGGAAAACCCCCAAAATCTATCGGGAAACCCCAAAATCTGCAGGACAATCCCCAAAATTTTATCGAGAACCTCCAAAATTTTTTGGGAACCCCAAAATCCACATGAGAACCCCCAAAACCCGAGGGGGAAGAGCCGCAAGACCCAACTCAAACCACCCAAACCGAACCCAACCCCCCATTTTTGGGGCGCAAAAACCCCCCCAAAACTCCTCATTTCCCCGCGGCAGCCGCAGCCTGGCAGCCGCCAGGGGCAGGGCTGGGTGCGGCGGGTTGGGGGGGTGGGTGGCGGTAATTAGCGGCGCTAATTAGCGGCGGTAATTAAGGAAAGAACCGGCTCGCCCCGCAGCGCCGCGGGCTGTTCTGGGGGCCGCTCCTCCGCTGGGTGGCGCCCTGGCTCGGCAACGCGCCCGCAGCGCCCCTGGCGGCCAGAGGCGGGAACTGACCTGCGGAACACCTGGAAAACCGCTGGAAAACCGCTGGAAAACCGCTGGAAAACACCTGAAAACACCTGGAAAACACCTGGAAAACACCTGGAAAACTCAGACACACCCGGAGGAACCCGCGCGATGCTGACAGAACAGCGGGGAAAGCGACGCGACCCCGATTTAAAGCGAACACGCAAAGCACAACCCCCCCCCCCCCAAATGGGAGTTGGTAGCGCCCGACCCCCCATTTGGTTTTATTTATTTGGGGTAATTTATTCATAAAAAGGGGGGGGGGGATTTTCCCCAAAATTGGGTTGGGAGCCCCAAAAATGGGGGGGAAAGGGGGTCCCCCACCCCAAAAAAAAAAGGGTTTGTAAATGGTGTAAATTAGGGGGTGTATATTTAAATTTGGGGTGTATATTTAAATTTTTGGGGTGTATATTTAAATTTTTGGGGTGTAAATTAAAATTTTGGGGTGTATATTTAAATTTTGGGGTGTAAATTTAAATTTTGGGGTGTATATTTAAAATTTTAGGTGTAAATTTAAAATTTTGGGGTGTACATTTCAAATTTGGGGTGTACATTTCAAATTTGGGGTGTACATTTGAAATTTTGGGTGTATATTGAAATTTTTGGGGTGTATATTTAAATTTTTGGGGTGTACATTTAAAATTTGGGGTGTACATTTAAATTTTTGGGGTGTAAATTTAAAATTTTGGGTTGTAAATTGACATTTTTTGGGTGTAAATTTAAACTTTTAGGGTTTTTTAAGGGGCAAAATAAAGGGCCGGTCAGGACCACCCCCCCCAAATTTTATTTTTGGGGGGGGGCACCCCCAAACCGCCCCTGAACCCCCAAAAAAGGGTTTTGGGGAACCCCAAAAAAGCCCCGAACCCCCCCAAAACGGGGCTGTACATGCTGTACATTGTACATAGGCTGTACATTGAATTTTTGGGGGTTTTTGTACATTTTTGGGTTTTTCTGTACATTTGGGGTTTTTTCTGTACATTTTTGGGGTTTTTCTGTACATTTTTGGGGTTTTTTCTGTACATTTTGGGGTTTTTCTGTACATTTTTGGGGTCTGTACATGGATTTGGGGGGGTTGTACAGGAATTTGTTTTTTTGGGGGGGGTCCCCGTTTTTTGTACCTTTGTTTGCAATAAAAGCGATTTACCACTTTGGGGGGTTTGGGCCAATTATGGGGTTTTGGGGGTTTATGGGATTTTGGGGGGTTTGTAGGATTTTGGGGGTTTTGGGGGGTTTGGGGGAGTCTGTGAGATTTTGGGGGATTTATGGGATTTTGGGGGGTTTGGGGCATTCGTGGGATTTTGGGATATTTATAAGATTTTGGGGGTTTTGGGGGGTTTTTAGGATTTTGGGAGGTTTTGGGGGATTTATGGGAATTTGGGGGGATTTTGGGGTCTGTGGGATTTTGGGAGGTTTGTAGGATTTTGGGGGTTTTGGGGGATTTACGGGATTTTGGGGGGTTTGGGGCATTTGTGGGATTTTGGGATGTTTATAAGATTTTGGGGTTTTGGGGGGTTTGTAGGATTTGGGAGGTTTTGGGGGATTTATGGGAATTTGGGGGGGTTTTGGGGTCTGTGGGATTTTGGGGGGGTTTATGGGGTTTGGGGGGGCTCAGGAATTTTGGGGGATTTATGGGGTTTGGGAGCCTTTATAGGATTTTGGGGCATTTATAGGATTTTGGGGGATTTATGGGATTTGGGGGTGACCTACAGGATTTTGGGGTTCCCCCTTTTTTGGGGTCTCTGTGAGTCCCCTCCCCCCACCCCCTCCCCAAATTCCAACCCCAAAATCGGCCACGATTTTCTGGGAATTTCTTTATTGACCCTTCCAGACCCCCCCAAACCCGGGGGGAGGGACCCCAAAACCCCCAAACCCCCTCCCCAAATTTGGGGTGCCCCTGGAGGGGTTCTGGACCCCCCAAACCCCCTCCCCAAATTTTGGGGTGCCTCATTTCGGGGGTCCCAGGCACTCCAAACTCCCTCCCCAGATTTTGGGGTGCCCCTGGAGGGGTTCAGGATCCCCCAAACCCCCTCCCCAAATTCGGGGTGCCTCATTTCGGGGGTCCCAGGCACTCCAAAGCCCCTCCAGGATTTTGGGGTGCCCCTGGAGGGGTTCAGGACCCCCCAAACCCCCTCCCCAAATTTTGGGGTGCCCCTGTGGGGGTTCAGGACCCCCCAAACCCCCTCCCCAGATTTTGGGGTGCTCCAGGAAGGATTCAGGACCCCCCCAAACCCCCTCCCCAAATTTTGGGGTGCCCCTGGAAGGATTCAGGACCCCCCAAACCCCCTCCCCAAATTGGGGGTGCCTCATTTTGGGGGTCCCAGGCACTCCAAACCCCCTCCAGGATTTGGGGTTCCCCTGGGGGGGTTTGGGGTCCCTCATTTCAGGGGTCCCGGGCACTCCAAACCCCCTCCCCAAATTTTGGGGTTCCCTTGTGGGGGTTCAGGACCCCCCAAACCCCCTCCCCAAATTGGGGGTATCTCATTTCGGGGGTCCCGGGCACCCCAAACCCCCTCCCCAAATTCTGGGGTGCCCCTGTAGGGGTTCAGGACCCTCCAAAGCCCCTCCCTGAAGGGTTCAGGACCCCCCAAACCGCCTCCCCAAATTGGGGGTGCCTCATTTCGGGGGTCCCAGGCACTCCAAACCCCTTCCAGGATTTGGGGTGCCCCTGGGGGGGTTCAGGACCCCCCAAACCCCCTCCCCAAATTGGGGGTGCCTCATTTCGGGGGTCCCAGGCACTCCACCATGCCCTGGCCCCTGACGCCGTCGAAGAAGAAGAAATTGTTGTGGGGGGGGTCCCGCTGGGACAGAGCCTGGGGGGGACACAGGGGGGTCACAGGGGGGATTTGGGGACCCCCCAAAATCCCCCAGACCCCCCAAAATCCCCCAAATCCCCCCCAGGCCGTACCTTGACCACCTCCTGGCCCAGCACGCCCCCGACCACGGCGCACACCGGCGCCATCTCCGAGAAGCAGAAGCTGAAAAGGGGAAAAAGGGGAAAATTCAGCAGGAAAATCCCCCAAATCGGGGGGGTTCACCCCAAAAAATGGGAGGGGAGGGACCGAAAAATCCCCAGGGTTCAGGTCTGAAAGGACTGGGAGGAAACGCTGAGGTTTTATCCCAAAAAACTGCTTAAAACCCCAAAAAACTGTTTAAAACCTGAGGTTTTACCCCAAAAAAAATGCTTAAAACCCCAAAAAACTGCTTAAAACCTGAGGTTTTACCCCAAAAAACTGCTTAAAACCCTAAAAAACTGCTTAAAACGTGAGGTTTTACCCCAAAAAAGCTGCTTAAAACATGAGGTTTGACCCCAAAAAAGCTTCTTAAAAGTGTGGAAGTGTCCCCTGTCCCCTCACCTGTGCAGGTGTCCCCTCTGTGTCCCCTCACCTGTGCAGGTGTCCCCTCACCTGTCCCTCACCTGTGCAGGTGTCCCCTGTCCCCTCAGTGTCCCCTCACCTGTGGAAGGTGTCCCCTGTCCCCTCACCTGTGCAGGTGTCACCTGTCCCCTCACCTGTCCCTCACCTGTGGAAGGTGTCTGCTGTCCCTCACCTGTGCAGGTGTCACCTGTCCCCTCACCTGTCCCTCACCTGTGCAGGTGTCCCCTGTCCCCTCACCTGTGGAAGGTGTCCCCTGTCCCCTCACCTGTCCCTTCCCCTGTCCCCTCACCTGTGGAAGGTGTCCCTTCTGTGTCCCCTCACCTGTGGAAGGTGTCCCCTGTCCCCTCAGTGTCCCCTCACCTGTGGAAGGTGTCCCCTGTCCCCTCACCTGTCCCTCACCTGTGCAGGTGTCCCTCACCTGTAGAAGGTGTCCCCTGTCCCCTCGTCTGTGGAAATGTCCCCTGTCCCCTCAGTGTCCCCTCACCTGTCCCTCACCTGTGCAGGTGTCCCTCACCTGTGGAAGGTGTCCCTCACCTGTGGAAGGTGTCCCCTGTCCCCTCGGTGTCCCCTCACCTGTGGAAGGTGTCCCCTCACCTGTCCCTCACCTGTGGAAGGTGTCCGGCAGCAGCTGTGTCCCCACCCCCAGCGCCTCCAGCACCTCCCGGCGCAGCCGCAGCAGCCGCTGCGAGTCCTCGGTGGCGCTGCGGGGACACGGGTCACGGCCGGCCTCGGTACGGAACCTCAGCAACACTGAAACGGGACAGGGGACATTGTCATTGTGTCACTGTGACACTGTCATTGTCATTGTGTCATCATCATTGTGATTGTCACTGTCACTGTGTCATTGTCACCTCGGTGGCACTGCGGGGACACGGGTCACGGCCGGTGTCTGTCCTGAACTGCAACAACACTGAAACACAATATTGTCATTGTCATTGTCATTGTCACCATCACTGTGTCACTGTCATTGTCACTGTGTCACTGTCACTGTGTCACTGTCATTGTGATTGTGTCACTGTGTCACTGTCACTGTCACCTCGGTGGCGCTGCGGGGACACGGGTCACGGCCGGTGTCAGAGCGGAACTGTAACAGAACTGAAACGGGACATTGTCATTGTCATTGTCATTGTGACATTGTCACTGTGTCGCTGTCACTGTGATTGTCATTGTGTCATCGTCACTGTGATTGTCACTGTCACTGTGTCATTGTCACCTCGGTGGCACTGCGGGGACACGGGTCACGGCCGACCTCGGTACGGAACCGGAGCAACACTGAAACGGGACATTGTCATTGTCATTGTCATTGTGTCACTGTCACTGTGATTGTCACTGTCACTGTGTCACTGTGTCACTGTCACTGTCACTGTCACTGTGTCAGTGTGTCACTGTCACTATCACTGTGTCACTGTCACTGTGTCACTGTGTCACTGTCACCGTCACCATCACCGTCACCAGGACACAGGGACAAGGACCTTGGGAACACTTTTATGTTTTTTTACCCATAAATAATATTTTTTTTCCCCCAGAAATGAGATTTTTCTCCAAAAAATTAGATGTATTTTCCCCTGAAATGAGATTTTTTTTTCCCCAAAAACGAGAATTTTTTTCCCCAAAAATGAGAATCTTTTTCCCCAAAAATGAGATTTTGTTTTCCCCCCAGAAATGAGATTTTTTTTCCCAAAATCTAGATTTTTTTTTCCCAAAAATGAGACTTTTTTCCCCAAAATGACTTTTTTTTCCCAGAAATGAGATTTTTCTCCAAAAAATTAGATGTGTTTTCCCCTGAAATGAGATATTTTTCCCCAAAAATGAGAATTTTTTTTCCCCAAAAATGAGAACCATTTTCCCCAAAAATGAGATTTTGTTTTCCCCCCAGAAATGAGATTTTTTTCCCAAAAATTAGATTTTTTTTTTCCCAAAAATGAGACTTTTTTCCCCACAATGATATTTTTTCCCAAAACACTCTATTTTTTGGGGAAACCCCCCGGGAGTTCACCTTGGAGCAGGAAATAGTCGGGGGCCGTTTTCCTCAGCGCCGCCGCCGCCTCCTCCCCGCGCCACTGCACAGCCAGGGCCTCGCGCAGCGGGCAGAACTGCAGCCTCTGTTTGGGGCAAAAAACCGAGATTTTGGGTGTTTGGGGGGAAAAACAGCAATTCCCACAGCGGGCAGAACTGCAGCCTCTGTTTGGGGCAAAAAACCCGGATTTTGGGTGTTTGGGGGGAAAAACAGCAATTCCCACAGCGGGCAGAACTGCAGCCTCTGTTTGGGGCAAAAAACCGAGATTTTGGGTGTTTGGGGGGAAAAACAGCAATTCCCACAGCGGGCAGAACTGCAGCCTCTGTTTGGGGCAAAAAACCCGGATTTTGGGTGTTGGGGGGGAAAAACAGCAATTCCCACAGCGGGCAGAACTGCAGCCTCTGTTTGGGGCAAAAACCCCGGATTTTGGGTGTTTGGGGGGGAAAACAGCAATTCCCACAGCAGGCAGAACTGCAGCCTCTGTTTGGGGCAAAGAACTGAGATTTTGGGTGTTTGGGGGGAAAAACAGCAATTCCCACAGCGGGCAGAACTGCAGCCTCTGTTTGGGGCAAAAAACCCGGATTTTGGGTGTTTGGGGGGAAAAACAGCAATTCCCACAGCGGGCAGAACTGCAGCCTCTGTTTGGGGCAAAAACCCCGGATTTTGGGTGTTTGGGGGGGAAAACAGCAATTCCCACAGCGGGCAGAACTGCAGCCTCTGTTTGGGGCAAAGAACTGAGATTTTGGGTGTTTGGGGGGGAAAACTGCAATTCCCACAGCAGGCAGAACTGCAGCCTCTGTTTGGGGCAAAAAACACGGATTTTGGGGCAAAAAACCCGGATTTTGGGTGTTCGGGGGGAAAAACAGAAATTCCCACAGCGGGCAGAACTGCAGCCTCTGTTTGGGGCAAAAACCCCAGATTTTGGGGCAAAAACCCCGGATTTTGGGTGTTTGGGGGGAAAACAGCAATTCCCACAGCAGGCAGAACTGCAGCCGCTGGTTTGGGGCAAAAAACGGAGATTTTGGGTGTTTGGGGGGGAAAACTGCAATTCCCACAGCGGGCAGAACTGCAGCCTCTGTTTGGGGCAAAAAACCCGGATTTTGGGGCAAAAAACCCGGATTTTGCGGCAAAAAAACGGAGATTTTGGGTGTTTGGGGGGAAAAACTGCAATTCCCACAGCGGGCAGAACTGCAGCCTCTGTTTGGGGCAAAAAACCCGGATTTTGGGTGTTTGGGGGGGAAAACAGCAATTCCCACAGCGGGCAGAACTGCAGCCTCTGGTTTGGGGCAAAAAACCCAGATTTTGGGTGTTTGGGGGGAAAAACAGCAATTCCCACAGCGGGCAGAACTGCAGCCTCTGTTTGGGGCAAAAAACCCGGATTTTGGGTGTTTGGGGGGAAAAACTGCAATTCCCACAGCGGGCAGAACTGCAGCCGCAGGTTTGGGGCAAAAAATGGACATTTTGGATGTTTGGGGGGAAAAACAGCAATTCCCACAGCAGGCAGAACTGCAGCCTCTGTTTGGGGCAAAAAACGGAGATTTTGGGTGTTTGGGGGGAAAAACCGCAATTCCCACAGCGGGCAGAACTGCAGCCTCTGTTTGGGGCAAAAAACGGAGATTTTGGGTGTTTGGGGGGGAAAACTGCAATTCCCACAGTGGGCAGAACTGCAGCCTCTGTTTGGGGCAAAAAACCCGGATTTTGGGTGTTTGGGGGGAAAAAGTGCAATTACCACAGCGGGCAGAACTGCAGCCTCTGTTTGGGGCAAAAAACACGGATTTTGGGTGTTTGGGGGGAAAACAGCAATTCCCACAGCGGGCAGAACTGCAGCCTCTGTTTGGGGCAAAAAACCCAGATTTTGGGGCACAAAACCCGGATTTTGGGTGTTTGGGGGGAAAAACAGCAATTCCCACAGCAGGCAGAACTGCAGCCTCTGTTTGGGGCAAAAAACGGAGATTTTGGGTGTTTGGGGGGAAAAACAGCAATTCCCACAGCGGGCAGAACTGCAGCCTCTGTTTGGGGCAAAAAACACGGATTTTGGGGCAAAAAAAAACGGATTTTGGGGAAAAAAAAAACGGATTTTGGGGAAAAAAAACCGGATTTTGGGTGTTTGGGGGGAAAAACCGCAATTCCCACAGCGGGCAGAACTACAGCCTCTGTTTGGGGCAAAAAAACCAGATTTTGGGTGTGGAGAAAGAATGAAAACTCCCAGTTTCAGGGAACAGGAATTGGGAATTCTCCCAATTTCAGGGTTTAGGGATTTGGGAATTCTCCCAATTTTGGGGAACAGGAATTGGGAATTCTCCCAATTTTCGGGAACAGGAATTGGGAATTCTCCCAATTTTGGGGAACAGGAATTGGGAATTCTCCCAATTTCTGGGGAACAGGAATTGGGAATTCTCACAATTTCAGGGTTTAGGGATTTGGGAATTCTCCCAATTTTAGGGAACGGGAATTGGGAATTCTCCCAATTTTAGGGAACAGGAATTGGGAATTCTCCCAGTTTTAGGGAAAACAGGAATTGGGAATTCTCCCAATTTTAGGGAACGGGATTTGGGAATTCTCCCAATTTTAGGGAACAGGAATTGGGAATTCTCCCAATTTTGGGGAACAGGAATTGGGAATTCACAGGAACAAAGCCCAGCCCCATTCCAGGGCTCTGGAATCCCAAAAATGGATCCCCGGGAATTCCCACGGGATGGGGACCAGCAGCTGCTCCTGGCGGCATCTGGGGACATTCCCAGGGACATTCCCGGGATTTTGGGGCCCATCTCAGGATTTTGGGGTCCATCCCAGGATTTTGGGGTCTATCCCAGGATTTTGGGGTCTATCCCAGGATTTTCAGGTCCATCCCAGGATTTTGGGGTCCATCCCAGGATTTTGGGGTCCATCCCAGGATTTTGGGGTCTATCCCAGGATTTTGGGGCCCATCCCAGGATTTTGGGGCCTATCCCAGGATTTTGGGTTCCATCTCAGGATTTTGGGGTTTATCCCGGGATTTTGGGGTTTGGGGTCACGACCCACTGACCTTTTTGACCATGGTGGTCTCGGGCGGCTCCAGCCGGGCCCGTTTGGGGTTTGATTTTGGGGCCCATCCCAGGATTTTGGGGTCCATCTCAGGATTTTGAGGTTTATCCCAGGATTTTGGGGTCCATCCCAGGATTTTGGGTTCCATCTCAGGATTTTGGGGCCCATCCCAGGATTTTGGGGCCCATCCCAGGATTTTGGGGCTCTGGGGTCACGACCCACTGACCTTTTTGACCATGGTGGTCTCGGCCGGCTCCAGCCGGGCCCGTTTGGGGTTTGATTTTGGGTTCCATCTCAGGATTTTGGGGTCTATCCCAGGATTTTGGGGTCCATCCCAGGATTTTGGGGTTTATCCCAGGATTTTGGGGCCCATCCCAGGATTTTGGGGTTCTGGGGTCACGACCCACTGACCTTTTTGACCATGGTGGTCTCGGGCGGCTCCAGCCGGGCCCGTTTGGGGTTTGATTTTGGGGCCCATCCCAGGATTTTGGGGTCCATCTCAGGATTTTGAGGTTTATCCCAGGATTTTGGGGTCCATCCCAGGATTTTGGGTTCCATCTCAGGATTTTGGGGCCCATCCCAGGATTTTGGGGCCCATCCCAGGATTTTGGGGCTCTGGGGTCACGACCCACTGACCTTTTTGACCATGGTGGTCTCGGCCGGCTCCAGCCGGGCCCGTTTGGGGTTTGATTTTGGGTTCCATCTCAGGATTTTGGGGTCTATCCCAGGATTTTGGGGTCCATCCCAGGATTTTGGGGTTTATCCCAGGATTTTGGGGCCCATCCCAGGATTTTGGGGTTCTGGGGTCACGACCCACTGACCTTTTTGACCATGGTGGTCTCGGCCGGCTCCAGCCGGGCCCGTTTGGCCTCGGGTCCGTCCTCCACCCCCGCGCTCACCTTGGCCACCTTGGGCTTCTCCCTGAGGAGGAAACGCCCGGAATTCCAGCAGGAGCACCCCAAAATCCCGGGATTTCGGGGGGTTCCGCCCCAAAACTCACTCCACGAACTCGTGCTCGCCCAGGTCAGCGAACATGTAGCCGTGGTAGCCGAAGACGTCGCCGGTGAAGAACTTGACGCCGTTTTTGTGGCAGATCTGGTTGATCCTCACCATGGACTCCCGGGAGCAGCAGGTGAGGCACACCTGGCGGGGAAATTTGGGGTGTCAGCCCCGGATTTTGGGGGGTTTATGGGGGAAAAGCGGAATGGGGCAGGGGGAGGAGTGGGATGGGGTTGGGTGGTTTGCTTTTTTTGGGATAGAAGGGAATTGTACCCCAAAATGGAGAGATTTCACCCCAAAATGGGGGATTCTATCCCAGAATGGAATGATTCTACCTCAAAATGGGGAGATTTTACCCCAAAATGGGGGATTCCACCCTAAAATCGAGTGATTCTATCCCAAAATGGGGGGATTCCACCTCAAAATGGGGGATTCTACCCTAAAATGGGGGGATTTTATCCCAAAATGGGGTAATTCAACCCCAAAATGGGGTAATTTTATCCCAAAATGGGGTGATTTTATCCCCAAATGGGGTGATTTTATCCCAAAATGGGGGGATTCCACCTCAAAAGGGGATAAACCCAGCCCAAAATGGATAAACCCCAAACCCGTGCCAAACCCGTGCCAAACCCCCCCAAACCCCCCCAAACCTGTGCCAAACCCCCCCAAACCCGTGCCAAACCCCCCCAAACCCGTGCCAATCCCCCCAAACCCGTGCCAAACCCCCCCAAACCCGTGCCAAACCCCCCCAAACCCGTGCCAAACCCCCCAAACCCGTGCCAATCCCCCCAAACCTGTGCCAAACCCCCCCAAACCCGTGCCAAACCCCCCCAAACCTGTACCAATTCTATCCCAAACCCCCCCCAAACCCGTGCCAAACCCCCCCAAACCCGTGCCAAACCCCCCAAACCCGTGCCAAACCCCCCCAAACCCGTGCCAAACCCACGCCAAAGCCCCCCCAAACCTGTGACAACTCCCTCAAACCTGTAACAAATCTATCCCAAACCCCCCCAAACCCATGCCAATCCCCCCAAACCCGTGCCAAACCCCCCCAAACCTGTGCCAATCCCCCCCAAACCCGTGCCAAACCCCCCCAACACCCCAAAATTGGGGCAGCCCCGCGGGTACCGCGTCGAACTGGGTGAAGAACTCGTGGGGTTTGCTGTCCACGCTCTCGGCGTCGGCCTTCACCTCCACCATGGGGTTGAGGCTCTGCGCCCGCTCCAGCGACGCCTCGGCGCGGTTCCGGCCCACGGAGCCCGCGGGGATCAGGAACTGCGCCCGGCTGTCCTCGGCACACACCTGGGAATGGGAATTCCTGGATTTTGGGGAGCGGGAATGGGAATTCCCGGATTTTGGGGATCAGGAACTGCGCCCGGCTGTCCTCGGCACACACCTGGGAACGGGAATTCCCGGATTTTGGGGAGCAGGAACGGGAATTCCCAGATTTTGGGGATCAGGAACTGCGCCCGGCTGTCCTCGGCACACACCTGGGAATGGGAATTCCTGGATTTTGGGGAGCGGGAATGGGAATTCCCGGATTTTGGGGATCAGGAACTGCGCCTGGCTGTCCTCGGGACACACCTGGGAATGGGAATTCCCGGATTTTGGGGATCAGGAACTGCGCCCGGCTGTCCTCGGCACACACCTGGGAACGGGAATTCCTGGATTTCGGGCAGCAGGAACAGGAATTCCCAGATTTTGGGGGTGTTTGTGAGGGGGGAAACCCAGGTGTGGACAGGATGAAATTCCCAGATTTTGGGAGAGAAACGCAGGGATGGAAGTGATGAAATTCCCAGATTTTGGGGCTGTTCCTGAGGGGAAAACTCCAGGGATGGAAATTACGAAATTCCCAGATTTTGGGAGAGAAATGCAGGGGTGGAAGTGATGAAATTCCCAGATTTTGGGGCTGTTCTGAAGGGAAAACTCCAGGGATGAAGGTGATGAAATGCCAAGATTCTGGGGCTCCTCCAGGTGTGTCCCAGGTGTCCCCAGGTGTGTCCCCTCCCCCCCAGGTGTGCCCAGGTGCCCCAGGTGTGCCCAGGTGTGCCCAGGTGTGTCCCCAGGTGTGTCCCAGGTGTGCCCAGGTGTGCCCCCTCCCCCAGGTGCATGCCCAGGTGTTCCCAGGTGTGTCCAGGTGTGTTCCCAGGTGTGTCCCCTCCCCCCCAGGTGTGTCCCAGGTGTCCCCAGCTGTGTCCCCAGGTGTGCCCCCTCCCCCAGGTGTGTCCAGGTGTGTTCCCAGGTGTTCCCAGGTGTGCCCAGGTGTGTGCCCCTCACCTGTTGGTGGTCCAGCAGGGTGAGGCCCCTGACCCCGGCCAGGATGAGGCTGTGCCCAGGTGTGGGTGTGTCCCAGGTGTGCCCAGGTGTGTCCCCAGCTGTGCCCAGGTGTACCCCAGGTGTGTGCCCCTCACCTGTTGGTGGTCCAGCAGGGTGAGGCCCCTGACCCCGGCCAGGATGAGGCTGTGCCCAGGTGTCCCCAGGTGTGTCCCCAGGTGTGTCCCCAGGTGTGTCCCCAGGTGCCCCCCTCACCTGTTGGTGGTCCAGCAGGGTGAGGCCCCTGACCCCGGCCAGGATGAGGCTGTGCCCAGGTGTGCCCAGGTGTGTCCCAGGTGTCCCCAGGTGTGCCCAGGTGTGTCCAGGTGTGTCCAGGTGTGCCCAGGTGTGTCCCCAGCTGTGCCCAGGTGTGTCCCCAGGTGCCCCCCTCACCTGTTGGTGGTCCAGCAGGGTGAGGCCCCTGACCCCGGCCAGGATGAGGCTGTGCCCAGGTGTGCCCAGGTGTGTCCCCTCCCCCCAGGTGTGTGCCCAGGTGTGCCCAGGTGTGTCCCCAGGTGTGTCCCCAGGTGCCCCCCTCACCTGTTGGTGGTCCAGCAGGGTGAGGCCCCTGACCCCGGCCAGGATGAGGCTGTGCCCAGGTGTGCCCAGGTGTGTCCCAGGTGTCCCCAGGTGTGCCCAGGTGTGTCCAGGTGTGTCCAGGTGTGTCCCAGGTGTGTCCCCAGGTGTGTCCCCAGGTGCCCCCCTCACCTGTTGGTGGTCCAGCAGGGTGAGGCCCCTGACCCCGGCCAGGATGAGGCTGTGCCCAGGTGTGGGTGTGTCCCCAGGTGTGTCCCCAGGTGTGTCCCCAGGTGTGCCCAGGTGTGTGCCCAGGTGTGCCCAGGTGTGCCCAGCTGCCCCCCTCACCTGTTGGTGGTCCAGCAGGGTGAGGCCCCTGACCCCGGCCAGGATGAGGCTGTGCCCAGGTGTGTCCCCTCCCCCAGGTGTGTCCCCAGGTGTGCCCAGCTGTGTCCCCAGGTGTGCACCCCTCACCTGTTGGTGGTCCAGCAGGGTGAGGCCCCTGACCCCGGCCAGGATGAGGCTGTGCCCAGGTGTGTCCCCGGGTGTGTCCCCAGCTGTGCCCAGGTGTGCCCCCAGGTGTGTGCCCCTCACCTGTTGGTGGTCCAGCAGGGTGAGGCCCCTGACCCCGGCCAGGATGAGGTTTTTGGCCACCTCGGCGCCCAGCCCGCGCAGCCCCACCAGCAGCACCCGCGACGCCCGCAGCCTGTGGGGCACCGGGAAAAACGGGATTTATCCTCGGGACACGCCCCCAGGAACGGCAACGGGAACCCGAAACCGGGGAGAGGCACCCCCAAACCCCACCGGGACCCCCAGAGCCCCATAGAAACCTCCCAGACCCCCATAGGAACTTCCCAGACCCCTATAGGGACCCCCAGACCCCTACAGGGACCCCCAAGAGCCCCTATAAAGCCCTCTTAAATCCTTTATAGGGCTCGTATAACTCCTGCAAAGCTCTGACCCCTCCCATAGGACCCCCCCAAGCCCATACAGAGACCCCCCCCAGGACCCCCCAGCCCCACGGACCGTTTCTGGGCCTCGAGCCCCCAGAGGCGGATCTGGCGGTCGTACTGAGCCGCCTCCTCCTCGCTGATGCCGCCGGGGCTGGACTCGTCCTTCTCCACCATGGCCGCGGCCGCGAGACCCCTCTGAGGATCCCCACAAAACCCCTCAGGACACCTAAAAACCCCTCTGAGCTTTCAAACCCCCTCTCGACACCTCACAGCTCCTTCCGGGCCATCACAAACCCTCCTGACCCCTCAGACCCCTCACGGCCCCCAAACCCCTCACGGCCCCTCACGAACCCCAAACCCCTCACGGCTCCCCAAACCCCTCACGAACCCCAAACCCCTCACGGCTCCCCAAACCCCTCACGGCCCCCCAGATCCCCTCACAGCCCCTCACAACCCCCAGATCCCCTCATGGCCCCTCACGAACCCCAAACCCCTCACAGCCCCCAAACCCCTCACAGCCCCGCACGGCCCCCAAACCCCTCACAGCCCCTCACGAACCCCCAGACCCCTCACGGCCCCTCACGGCCCCCAAACCCCTCGCGGCCCCTCACGAACCCCAAACCCCTCACGGCCCCTCACGAACCCCCAAACCCCTCACGGCCCCTCACGAACCCCCAGACCCCTCACGGCCCCCAAACCCCTCACGGCCCCTCACGAACCCCAAACCCCTCACAAACCCCAAACCCCTCACGGCCCCTCACAACCCCCAGATCCCCTCACGAACCCCCAAACCCCTCACAAACCCCAAACCCCTCACGGCCCCTCACGAACCCCCAAACCCCTCACTGCCCCTCACGGCCTCCCAAACCCCCAGACCCCTCACGGCCCCCAAACCCCTCACGAACTCCCAGACCCCTCACGGCCCCCAAACCCCTCACAGCCCCTCACGAACCCCGGACCCCTCACGGCCCCTCACGAACCCCCAAACCCCTCACGGCCCCTCACGAACCCCAAACCCCTCAGAGCCCCTCACGAACCCCCAAATCCCTCACGGCCCCCAAACCCCCAAACCCCTCGCGGCCCCTCACGAACCCCCAGACACCTCACGGCCCCTCACGGCCCCTCACGGAACTCACAGCGCCCTCTAGCGGCCCGCGCAAACCTCCGCGCGCGGCGCCCGCTGCCGCTCCACATCCCACCGGGCGGGTTGGGGGGGGGGGATCCACCGAATCCACTCCCGGTACCCGCAGGCCCTCAGGAGAAAAGAACGTGCAGACGGTTTTTTCTGCTGTTACTTCACCCCGGTGTGACGGCGCGAGGCCGCGGTCACGGATTTTGGGGGGGTCTTCCCGTGAGCCGTGTGGTACAACCCGTGTTGTCCCCCCCTCCTTTCCACACTGAGATGGACTCGTCCTCCTCCCATTGCGGGCGTTCCCGCCATCCCCGCTCGGCTTCGTCAATCTCCGGAAATCTTCGGAAGGACTCGGAGAACTTCGGGAACACTCGGAGAGTTTTGGCGAACTTCGCGGAAATCCCAGGATTTCCTCATCCCAAAGAAACGAAGCGGCCAAACCCGTGCAAAAATCCCGTCAATAATTAGAGAAATCGGGGCTTTTGGGGTTGTTTTATAAAGTCTGTGTGTTTTTTTTCCAAGTCACAAGCAGATCCCTAACTCTCTTCCCGCTCCTCCCACCTTGCATAGATTTTCCTATAAATTCAGCAAATTCGCGACATTTTGGGGGTTTGGAGATTTTTTCCTGACCGACATTTGGATGTGGCCAGTGGAAATTCCCTGTCCTGATCTGAACTCCCAGGTGGGAAGAGGATTTTGGGGAAACATTGAGTCCAATTACCAACGAGTTTGGGAGGGATTTTGGGGTAGGGAAAGAGAAATCCGTGAGGCGAAAAATACTCCAAATCTCCTTATAAGCACTTTTTCTTACATAAATCTCCTTATATATTCTTTTTCTTCCTGAAAAACTCTCCTTAATTATTTTTTTTTAACGAAAATTCACACATGCGAAGACTTTCGGAAACATTCGGAGAATTTCGTGCGAGTCCCGGAGAGAATCGGAGACGTGCGGAGGCGTTCGGAAACGCTCGGCACGAGGCGGAAACACCCGAGGAGCTCTTCGTGCATCTCCGGGGCTTTTCGGGACCCTCCGAAGCGGCGACGCTCGGGTGTTTCCGGCGGCTCTCGGGTGTTTTCGGCGGCTCTCGGGTGTTTTCGGCGCTGCTCGGGTGTTTCCGGCGGCCGCCGGGGCGCTGCCTCAGGGCGGGCGCCATTTTGTGTGTCCGCCCGCGGAGCGCGGGGCGCGGGCGGAGGAGCCGCCGGGCCGAGCCCCCCGCGCCGTTCAGTGACTGTGCCCCACGTTCTCCACCCCTTTGCCCGTTACCCATGGCCGTGGAGAGCCCGAGTGTCCCCCCCGCCGCCGCCGCCGCCTCCCCCCCCAGCCCGCACTGCTCCCCCCCTTCTCCGTCCTGCCATGGCAGCTGCAGCCTCCCCCGGCCGCCGCCGCCGCTCCAAGGGCACCATCACGGCCCGGACGAAAGGTCCAGTAACCGCCTCTCCCGAGCGCCTTCTCTGTGTGCCTGGGGCCAGGTTTGGGGAGGGGGCGGCGGGAGGGGAGGGGAGGGCAGGGCCCGGGGCTGAGGGGGGCGGCCTGTGGGGAGGGGGCTCGGGGGGCTGAGGAGGAGGAGGAGGAGGAGGAGGGTGAGGAAGGGGCTGAGGAGGAGGAGGAGGGTGAGGAAGGGGCTGAGGGGGCTCGGGGGGCTGAGGAAGAGGAGGAGGAGGAGGAGGAAGGCCACAGGGGGAGTGGGGGGCTGAGGAGGAGGAGGAGGAGGAGGGTGAGGAAGGGGCTGAGGAGGAGGAGGAGGAGGAGGAGGGTGAGGAAGGCCTCAGGGGGCTCGGGGGGCTGAGGAGGAGGAGGGTGAGGAAGGGGCTGAGGAGGAGGAGGAAGGCCCCAGGGGGCTCGGGGGGCTGAGGAGGAGGAGGAGGAGGGTGAGGAAGGCCACAGGGGGAGTGGGGGGCTGAGGAGGAGGAGGAGGAGGAGGAGGAAGGCCGCAGGGGGCTGAGGAGGAGGAGGAGGAGGAGGAGGAGGGTGAGGAAGGCCCCAGGGGGCTCGGGGGGCTGAGGAGGAGGAGGAGGAGGGTGAGGAAGGGCCTGAGGGGGCTCGGGGGGCTGAGGAAGAGGAGGAGGAGGAGGAGGAAGGCCACAGGGGGAGTGGGGGGCTGAGGAGGAGGAGGAGGAGGAGGGTGAGGAAGGCCACAGGGGGAGTGGGGGAGGCCCGGGAGGCTCTGAGGAGGAGGAGGGTGAGGAAGGGCCTGAGGGGGATTGGGGGGGGGGCGGTGAGGAAGGAGCTGAGGGGGATTGGGGGGGGCGTGAGGAGGAGGAGGAGGAAGGGCCTGAGGGGGATTTGAGAGGAGGAGGAAGGGCCTGAGGGGGATTTGAGGAGGAAGAGGAGGGTGAGGAAGGTTCTGAGGAGGAAGAGGGGGGTGAGGAAGGGCCTGAGGGGGCCCTGAGGAGGAAGAGGAGGGTGAGGAAGGGCCTGAGGAGGATTTGAGGAGGAAGAGGAGGAGGAGGAAGGGCCTGAGGGGGATTTGAGAGGAGGAGGAAGGGCCTGAGGGGGATTTGAGGAGGAAGAGGAGGGTGAGGAAGGGCCTGAGGGGGCTTTGAGAGGAGGAGGAAGGGCCTGACGGGGTTGAGGAAGGAGCTGAGGGGGATTTGAGGAGGAGGAGGGTGAGGAAGGTTCTGAGGAAGATTTGCGGGGGTCCTGAGGAGGCTGAAGGGCCTGAGGGGGATTTGAGGAGGAAGAGGAGGGTGAGGAAGAAGCTGAGGGGGAATTTGAGGAGGAAGAGGAGGGTGGGGAAGGGCCTGAGGGGGATTTGAGGAAGAGGAGTGTGAGGAAGGGCCTGAGGAGGAAGAGGAGGGTGAGGAAGAAGCTGAGGGGGATTTGAGGAGGAGGAGGGTGAGGAAGAAGCTGAGGAGGATGAGGAAGGGCCTGAGGAGGAGGAGGAGGGTGAGGAAGGAGCTGAGGGGGATGAGGAAGGGCCTGAGGAGGAGGAGGAGGGTGAGGAAGGAGCTGAGGGGGATTTGAGAGGGTGAGGAAGGGCCTGAGGGGGATTTGAGGAGGAGGAGGGTGAGGAAGGTTCTGAGGAGGAAGAGGAGGGTGAGGAAGGGCCTGAGGAGGATTTGGGGGGGCGTGAGGAGGAAGAGGAGGGGAGGAAGGCAGCGCAAGCCTCGGGGGAGGGGATTTTGGGGGGGCTCTTGAGGTGCTGGGGGGGTTTAACCCAAATTTTGGGGGGTTTAACCCAAATTTTGGGGGTTTTGGGTCTTTCCTGAGGGGGTCCCACCCCTTTTTTTAGGGGATTTAATTTGGGGAGGGGGTTTCGTTCCTCTTTAGAGAATACTTAAATTCATTTTTTGGGGGGTGAGTTTCAAGGTTTTGGGGGGTTAAAACCCTTTTTTGGGGGGCTTGAGCCCTTTTTGGGGATTAAAATCCTCATTTTGGGTTTAACCCCTTTTTTTAGGGATAAAAATCCTCATTTTGGGTTTAACCCCTTTATTTAGGGATTAAAATCTTAATTTTGGGGTGTTGAACCCCTTTTTTTTTTAAATCCTCATTTTGGAGGATTTTAGGGGTTCAACTTTTTTGGGGAAAGTTTAATTCCAGAGGGTGGGGGGGTCTAGTTGAGGTTTTTGGGGGGATTTAGGGTTTTTTTGGGGGGTTTAACCCTTTTTTGGGATATTTAGGTGCTGGGGGGGTTATCCCTATTTTGGGGGGTTTTAGACCATTTTTTGGGGGTTTAAACCAGTTTTTTGGGGATTAAAATCCTCATTTTGAGGCATTGAACCCCTTTTTTTTGGGATTAAAATCCTCATTTTGGGGGATTTTAGGGGTTCAACTTTTTTTGGGGAAAGTTTTATTCCAGAGAGGGTCTAAATGGGTTTTTTGGGGGGTTTTAACCCTTTTTTAGTGATATTTAGGTGCTTGGTTGGTTTAACCCCTATTTTGGGGGATTTTAGCTCTTTTTGGATGTTTTTTTGGGGGGAATGGTCCTGAATAAGTTCTTTATTTCCTCCTAAAAATTCAATTTTTTTCCTTAAAATCCCCCCCAAATTTGGATCAGGAGGTTTGGGGGTCCCTGCAGGGATTTGAAATGTTCCAAAATCCCCAAATCTGCCCCCAAAAATCCCTTTTTCCCCCTTTTTGTGCCCCCTCATCGCAATAATTCGGAGCCATTTCTTGAATTCCCGTTTTTTTTTGGTAGTTTAATCCAAAAATGTGAGAAAAACAGAAAAAAATGTAAAATTAGGGAGGTTTGGGGAGAATTTGTAGGGAAAATGGTAAATTCTGGGAGTTTTGGGGTGTTTGTAGGGAAAAAAGTGAATTTGGGGAGATTTTTAGGGGAAAAAAAAAATTTTGGGGGGAAAAAAGGGAAATTCGGGGAGTTTTGTAGGGGAAAAAGGGAATTTGGGGATATTTTAAGAGGGAAAAAGTGAATTCTAGGGTGTTTTTAGGGGAAAAAAGAGAATTTTTAGGGGGGAAAAGGTAAATATAGGAAGTTTGGAGTTGTTTTTAAGAAGAAAAGGGTAATTAAGAGAGTTTGGGGGATATTTTTTAGGATAAAAATGTAAATCCAGGGGATTTGGGGGGATTTTTAGGAAAAAAAAAAAGGTGAAACGAGGGAGTTTTTTTTTGTTATTTTTAGTAAAAAAAGAGAGCTAAAGGAAATTTGGGGCTGTTTTTAGATAAAAAGGTGAAATAAGGGATTTTTAGGTGTATTTTTAGGGGAAAATATGAATTTTTGGGGTATTTTTAGGGGGGAAAATGGAAATCCAGGCAGTTTGGGGATATTTTTAGGGAAAAAAAAGCAAATAAAAGGAGGTTTGGGGATATTTCTTTAAAAAAAAAACAATCCCAGGGATTTTTGGGGGGGTTTTCCTGGGAAAAAAAGGCAAATCCAGGGAATTTGGGGAGCTGGGCTTCATTTCCGTGTGGGGAATGGGTGGGAAACGGGTGGAAAATGTGGAATTTTGTATTTTCTTGGTGCCTTTTCTCCCCTAAACGTGGAAATCCCCCCCGGTGTGTCCCAAACCAAGCAGAAACCCCCCCAAAAAAAGTCACAAAAGCACACAGTTCCCAAAAAAACCCCAAAAAATCCCAAAAAACCCCAAAAAAATCCCAAAAAAGGGACGTTCCCAGGTGCGACACCCCGAGCTGGAACGGGAATTTCCACCCCGGCCGTGGAAAAGTTGGTGGAAATCACCGGAAAAGTGTGTGAAAATCATCCAAAAAGGTGGTAAAAAGCACCTCACACTGCCCCGTGCCCCCAGGTGTGCCCAGGTGTGCCCAGGTGTGTCCAGGTGTCCCCAGTTGTCCCCAGGTGTGCCCAGGTGTGCCCCAGTTGTGCCCAGGTGTCCCCAAGTGTGCCCCAGGTGTGCCCAGGTGTGCCCAGGTGTGTCCCAGGTGTGTCCCAGGTGTGCCCCAGTTGTGCCCAAGTGTCCCCAGGTTTGCCCCAGGTGTGCCCCAGCTGTGTCCAGGTGTGCCCCAGGTGTGTCCCAGGTGTGCCCAGGTGTGCCCAGGTGTGCCCAGGTGTGCCCCAATTGTCCCCAGCTGTGCCCAGCTGTGCCCAGGTGTGCTCAGGTACCCCCAGTTGTGCCCAGGTGTGCCCCAAGTGTGCCCCAGGTGTGCCCCAGGTGACCCCAAGTGTGCCCCAGTTGTGCCCAGGTGTGTCCCAGTTGTGCCCAGGTGTGCCCCAGGTGTGCCCCAGGTGTGCCCCAAGTGTCTCCAGTTCTCCCCAATTGTGCCCCAATTGTCCCCAAGTGTGCCCCAGTTGTCCCCAGGTGTGCCCCAGGTGTGTCCCAATTGTGCCCAGGTGTACCCCAAGTATGCCCCAGGTGTGCCCAGGTGTGCCCCAATGGTCCCCAGGTGTCCCCAAGTGTCTCCAGTTCTCCCCAGGTGTGCCCAAGTGTGCCCCAGCTGTGCCCCAGTTGTGCCCAGGTGTCCCCAGGTGTGCCCCAGGTGTGCTCAGGTGTATCTGAGATGTGCCCACATGTATCCCAGGTGTCCCCAGGTGTGTCCTGGGTGTGCCCAGGTGTATCTGAGATATACCCAGGTATATCCCAGGTGTGCCCAGGTGCATCCAGGTGTACCCCAGGTGTATCCGAGATGTGCCCACATGTATCCCAGGTGTGCCCAGCTGTGCCCAGGTGTGCCCAGGTGTGCCCAGGTATATCTCAGCTGTCCCCAGGTGTGCCCAGGTATGCCTGAGATGTACCCAGATATAAGCCAGGTGTGCCCAGCTGTCCCCAGGTGTCCCCAGCTGTATCCCAGGTATGCCCAGGTGTGCCCCAAGTGTGCCCAGCTGTGCCCAGGTGTGTCCCAGGTGTCCCCAGGTGTGCCCCAGTTGTGCTCAGGTGTATCTGAGATGTGCCCACATGTATCCCAGGTGTGCCCAGCTGTCCCCAACTGCCCCAGGTGTGTCCTGGGTGTGCTCAGGTGTATCTGAGATATACCCAGGTGTCCCCAAGTGTCTCCAGTTCTCCCCAATTGTGCCCCAATTGTCCCCAGGTGTGCCCCAGTTGTGCCCAGGTGTGCCCAGGTGTGTCCCAGTTGTGCCCAAGTGTGCCCAGGTGTCCCCAAGTGTGACCAGGTGTACCCCAAGTATGCCCCAGGTGTGTCCAAGTTGTGCCCAGGTGTGCCCCAGTTGTGCCCAGGTGTGTCCTAGTTGTGCCCAGGTGTCCCCAAGTGTGTCCAGGTGTACCCCAAATATGCCCCAGGTGTGCCCCAGCTGTGCCCAGGTGTATCTGAGTTGTGCCCACATGTATCCCAGCTGTGCCCAGGTGTGCCCAAGTGTGCCCCAGGTGTGCCCCAGCTGCCCCAGGTGTGTCCTGGGTGTGCCCAGGTGTATCTGAGATATACCCAGGTATATCCCAGCTGTGCCCAGGTGTATCCAGGTGTGCCCCAGCTCTGCCCAGGTGTGCCCAGGTGTATCTGAGATGTGCCCAGTTGTGTCCCGGGTGTGCCCAGCTGTGCCCAGGTGTCCCCAGCTGTATCCCAGGTGTGCCCAGCTGTGCCCAGGTTCCCCTCGCTGGTAAAGCACAAATTGGGAATTATTCCCAAAAAAATCCCCATCATTTCTCCCCAGAAAAATCCCATTTTTTCCCCATAAAATCCCATTTTTTCACCATTTTCTCCAGAAAAATCCTGGTTTTGTCCAAAAACCCCGGAAATTCCCAGTTTCCCCCTGGAAGCACGGGGAGCCTCAGGAGGAGCCACAATTCCCATTTCCCTCTCTGAACCCCATTGTTATTTCCTGGAAAAATCCCATTTTTTCCCCAAAAAAATCCCAGAAAAATCCCAGTTTTTCACCGAAAATTCCCATTTTTTCCGTATTTTTTCCCCAAAAACCTGGGAAATTCCCATTTTTTTGCAGGAAGAACAGGGAGCCTCAGGAGGATCCACAATTCCCATTTCCCTCTCCAAACCCCATTGGTTTTCCCCAGAAAAATGCCATTTTATCACCGAAAAATGCCATTTTTTCACCTAAAATTCCCATTTTTCCCAGAAAATTCCCATTTTTTCCATATCTTTTCCCCAAAAACCCTGGAAATTCCTTTTTTTTTTCCAGGAAGAACAGGGAGCCTCAGGAGGAGCCACAATTCCCATTTCCCTCTCCAAACTCCATTGGTTTTCCCCAGAAAAATCCCATTTTTTCACCGAAAAATCCCATTTTTTCGCCATTTTTTCACCGAAAATTCCCATTTTTTCACCGAAAATTCCCGTTTTTTCACGGACATTCCCATTTCCCCCCGCAGGGAGGACGGGGAGCTGGAGGAGGGCAAGCTGGAGGACGACGGTGCCGAGGAGGCGGTGCTCGCTCTCCCAGCAGGACAAACCCCAGAATTTTCCCCCAAAATCCCAAAAAATTCCCAATTTTTTTCCAGGAAGAACAGGGAGCCTCAGGAGGATCCACAATTCCCATTTTCCTCTCCAAACCCCATTATATTTCCCCAGAAAAATCCCGTTTTTTTCACCAAAAAATCCCATTTTTTCACCGAAAAATCCCATTTTTTCGCCGAAAAATCCCATTTCTTCCGTATTTTTCCCCCAAAAATCCTGGAAATTCCCGTTTTTTTCCAGGAAGAACAGGGAGCCTCAGGAGGATCCACAATTCCCATTTCCCTCTCCGATCCCCATTATATTTCACCAGAAAAATCCCATTTTTTCACTGAAAACCCCCATTTTTTCACCTAAAATTCCCATTTTTCCCAGAAAATTCCCATTTTTTCCATATTTTTTCCCCAAAAACCTGGGAAATTCCCATTTTTTTGCAGGAAGAACAGGGAGCCTCAGGAGGATCCACAATTCCCATTTCCCTCTCCAAACCCCATTACATTTCCCCAGAAAAATCCCATTTTTTCACCGAAAAATCCCATTTTTTCGCCATTTTTTCGCCGAAAAATCCCATTTTTTCACCGAAAAACCCCATTTTTTCACCGTTTTTTCGCCGAAAAGTCCCGTTTTTTCACTGAAAATCCCCGTTTTTTCACGGAAATTCCCCTTTTCCCCCCGCAGGGAGGACGGGGAGCTGGAGGAGGGCAAGCTGGAGGACGACGGTGCCGAGGAGGCAGTGCTCGCTCTCCCAGCAGGACAAACCTCAGAATTTTCCCCCAAAATCCCCAAAAATTCCCAATTTTTTTTTGTAGGAAGAACAGGGAGCCTCAGGAGGATCCACAATTCCCATTTCCCTCTCCAAACCCCATTACATTTCCCCAGAAAAATCCCATTTTTTCACCAAAAAATCCCATTTTTTCCCCAAAAATCCTGGAAATTCCTGTTTTTTTCTAGGAAGAACAGGGAGCCTCAGGAGGATCCACAATTCCCATTTCCCTCTCCAAACCCCATTGGTTTTCCCCAGAAAAATCCCATTTTTTCACCGAAAAATCCCATTTTTTCGCCGTTTTTTCGCCAAAAAATCCCATTTTTTCACCGAAAAATCCCATTTTTTCCGTATCTTTCCCCCAAAAACCCTGGAAATTCCTGTTTTTCTGTAGGAAGAACAGGGAGCCTCAGGAGGATCCACAATTCCCATTTCCCTCTCCAAACCCCATTGGTTTTCCCCAGAAAAATCCCATTTTTTCACCGAAAAATCCCATTTTTTCGCCGTTTTTTCGCCGAAAAATCCCATTTTTTCGCCGAAAAATCCCATTTTTTCACCGTTTTTTCGCTGAAAATTCCCATTTTTCCGCAGGGAGGACGGGGAGCTGGAGGAGGGCGAGCTGGAGGACGACGGCGCCGAGGAGGCGGCTCCGAGCTCCCGGTCCCGCTCGCGGCGCCGCAGCGGATCCCCCCCGGACCGGCCCCACCGGCGGCTGAAGCGCAAACGGCGCAAGGACCGGGACCGGGACCGGGACAGGGACAGGGACCGGGACAGGGACAGGGACAAGAGGAAAGCCAAGAAAAGGAGGAAATCCAAGCACAGGGTGAGAATTTTCGGGAATTTCCGGGAATTTCGGGGGGAAAAACGGCTTTTTCCGGGCTTTTTTCCCATCAGAAACGGCTGAAATCTGTTTTTTTGGGATTTAACAATGGGGTTTTTGTGTAATTTGGGTCAGGTTGCAGGAGAAATCCTTTTTTTGTGGGTTTAAATAAGGGATTTCCTGAGAATTCCCAGCAAATTCCAAGAAAAATCCTTTTTTTTTGTGCCTCGAGGCACGGATTTCCTAAAATACTTCCCAGTTTCCAGGAAAATCCATGTTTTGTGTCTCAAGTCCTGAATTTCCTAAAATTCCCCCTAGTTTCCAGGAAAAATATGTATTTTGTCTCTCAAGTCCTGAATTTCCTGAAAATTCCCCTCAAATTCCAAGAAAAATCCTTTTATTTTGTGCCTCAAGTCACGAATTTCCTAAAATTCCCCTCAAGTTCCATGAAAAATCCATGTTTTGATCTCTTTATTCCAAAGTTCTATGAGAATTCCCCCCAATTTCCATGAAAAATCCTTTTTTTTTGTGTCTCAAGTCACAAATTTCCTAAAATTCCTCCCAAATTCAAGGAAAAATCAATTTTTTGGCATCTTAATCCCAAATTTCCATAAGAATTTCTCTCCAGTTCCAGGAAAGATTGATTTTTTTTTTTTTTTTTTGTCCCAACCCTCAAATTTCCTAAAAATTTTCCTCAAATTCCAGGAAAAATCCATTTTTTAGCATTTAAATCCCAGAATCAGGAATTCCAGAGGCTGGGAAGGGCTCAGGGCTGATTTTTTCCCAGGAAAATTGGGAATTCCGGGATTTGGGAAGGGCTCAGGGCTGGAAAATTGGGAATTCCGGGATTTGGGAAGGGCTCAGGGCTGGAAAATTGGGAATTCCGGGATTTGGGGAGGGCTCAGGGCTGGAAAATTGAGAATTTGGGGGTTTGGGAAGGGCTCAGGGCTGGAAAATTGGGAATTCCGGGATTTGGGGAGGGCTCAGGACTGATTTTTTCCCAGGAAAAATGGGAATTTGGGGATTTGGGAAGGGCTCAGGGCTGGAAAATTGGGAATTTGGGGAGGGCTCAGGGCTGGAAAATTGGGAATTCCGGGATTTGGGGAGGGCTCAGGACTGATTTTTTCCCAGGAAAAATGGGAATTTGGGGATTTGGGAAGGGCTCAGGGCTGGAAAATTGGGAATTTGGGGAGGGCTCAGGGCTGGAAAATTGGGAATTCCGGGATTTGGGGAGGGCTCAGGGCTGGAAAATTGGGAATTTGGGGATTTGGGGAGGGCTCAGGGCTGGAAAAATGGGAATTTGGGGGTTTGGGAAGGGCTCAGGGCTGACTTTTCCAGGAAAATTGGGAATTTGGGGATTTGGGAAGGGCTCAGGGCTGACTTTTCCGGGTTTTCCAGAGGCACGCCTCATCCAGCGAGGAATTTTCGGATTTCAGCGACGACTCCGATTACAGCCCCGGAGAGAAGGGACACCGGAAATACCGGGAATACAGCCCGGCCTATCCCGTGAGTTTACTGGGAACACTGGGAGGGAAAACTGGGAATTACTGGGAGTAAAAACTGGGAATTACTGGGAATGGTCACTGGGAAATCCTGGGAATACAGCCCGGCCTATCCCGTGAGTTTACTGGGAACACTGGGAGGGAAAACTGGGAATGAAAACTGGGAATACAGCCCGGCGTATCCCGTGAGTTTACTGGGAATACTGGGAGGGAAAACTGGGAATTTTTGGGAATTTTTGGGAATTCTGGATCCCGACCTGTCCCATACCATTCCCAGTGCCACCAGTACTCCCAGTTGCCCTGGAATTTTGGGAATCCCTGGGAATTTTGGGGAATTTTTGGGAATTTTTGGGAACTCCGGATCCTGACCTGTCCCATCCCATTCCCAGTGCCACCAGTACTCCCAGTTGCCCCTCAAGCCCCATCCCAAGGGAATAAAAACTGGGAATTTTTGGGAATTTTGGGGAATTTTTGGGAATTCCAGATCCCGACCTGTCCCATCCCATTCCCAGTGCCACCCAGTACTCCCAGTTACCCGGGAATTTTAGGGAATTTTTGGGAATTTTTGGGAATTTTGGGGGAATTCCAGATCCCAACCTGTCCCCTCCCGTTCCCAGTGCCACCAGTACTCCCAGTTGCCACGCAAGCCCCATCCCAAGGGAATAAAAACTGGGAATTTTTGGGAATTCCAGATCCCAACCTGTCCTATCCCATTCCCAGTGCCACCAGTACTCCCAGTTACCCCTCAAGCCCCATCCCAAGGGAATAAAAACTGGGAATTTTTGGGAATTTTGGGGAATTTTAGGGAATTTTTGGGAATTTTTGGGGATTTTTGGGAATTCCTCATCCCGACCTGTCCCCTCCCATTCCTAGTGCCACCAGTACTCCCAGTTACCCTGGAATTTTGGGAATTTTTGGTAATTTTTAGGGATTCCATGTTCCAACCTCTCCCTTGCCGTTCCCAGTGCCACCAGTACTCCCAGTTGCCCCTCAAGCCCCATCCCAAGGGAATAAAAACTGGGAATTTTTGGGAATTCCGGATCCCAACCTGTCCTATCCCATTCCCAGTGCCACCAGTACTCCCAGTTACCCTGGAATTTTGGGAATTTTTGGGAATTTTTGGGAATTCCATGTTCCAGGCTCTCCCATCCCGTTCCCAGTGCCACCAGTACTCCCAGTTACCCCACAAGCCCCATCCCAAGGGAATAAAAACTGGGAATTTTTGGGGATTTTTGGGAATTTTTGGGAATTTTTGGGAATTCCGGATCCCAACCTCTCCCATCCCGTTCCCAGTGCCACCAGTACTCCCAGTTACCCTGGAACTTTTGGGAATTTTTGGGAATTTTAGGGAATTTTTGGGAATTCCTCATCCCAACCTCTCCCATCCCATTCCCAGTGCCACCAGTACTCCCAGTTGCCCCGCAAGCCCCATCCAAGGGAATAAAAACTGGGAATTTTAGGGAATTTTTGGGAATTCCATGTTCCAGGATCTCCCCTCCTGTTCCCAGTGCCACCAGTACTCCCAGTTACCCTGGAATTTTGGGAATTTTAGGGAATTTTTGGGAATTCCATGTTCCAGGCTCTCCCATCCCATTCCCAGTGCCACCAGTACTCCCAGTTGCCCCTCAAGCCCCATCCCAAGGGAATAAAAACTGGGAATTTTTGGGGATTTTTGGGAATTTTTGGGAATTCCATGTTCCAGGCTCTCCCCTCCCATTCCCAGTGCCACCAGTACTCCCAGTTGCCCTGGAATTTTGGGAATTTTTGGGAATTTTTGGGAATTCCTCATCCTGACCTCTCCCATCCCGTTCCCAGTGCCACCAGTACTCCCAGTTGCCCTGGAATTTTGGGAATTTTAGGGAATTTTGGGGAATTTTTGGGAATTCCATGTTCCAGGCTCTCCCATCCCATTCCCAGTGCCACCAGTACTCCCAGTTGCCCCGCAAGCCCCATCCCAAGGGTGTAATCACTGGGAATTTTTGGGAATTTTGGGGAATTTTTGGGAATTCCAGATCCTGACCTGTCCCCTCCCATTCCCAGTGCCACCAGTACTCCCAGTTGCCACGCAAGCCCCATCCCAAGGGAATAAAAACTGGGAATTTTTGGGAATTTTTGGGAATTTTTTGGAATTTTTTGGAATTTTTGGGAATTCCGGATGCTGACCTCTCCCCTCCCGTTCCCAGTGCCACCAGTACTCCCAGTTGCCCCGCAAGCCCCATCCCAAGGGAATAAAAACTGGGAATTTTTTTTGAATTTTGGGGAATTTTTGGGGATTTTTGGGAATTCCTCATCCCGACCTCTCCCCTCCCGTTCCCAGTGCCACCAGTACTCCCAGTTGCCCCTCAAGCCCCATCCCAAGGGAATAAAAACTGGGAATTTTTGGGAATTTTGGGGAATTTTTGGGAATTTTGGGGAATTTTTGGGAATTCCTCAACCCAACCTCTCCCCTCCCATTCCCAGTGCCACCAGTACTCCCAGTTACCCCTCAAGCCCCATCCCAAGGGAATAAAAACTGGGAATTTTTGGGAATTTTTGGGAATTTTGAGGAATTCCGGATCCCGACCTGTCCAATCCCATTCCCAGTGCCACCAGTACTCCCAGTTGCCCCGCAAGCCCCATCCCAAGGGGGACCCCAAAGGCTTCGGGGGCTCCCTGGAGGAATTCCCGCCCGAGCCCTTCGGCCCCTTCGAGGCCGAGGAGGAGGAGGAGGCGCCCAGGGACGACCTGGACGACTTTTCCAAGGAGCTGAGCCAGTACCGGCGCTGCAAGGAGGGCACGCACCGCGCCCGAGGTACGGAAAACCGGGAAAAACGGGAAAAACGGGAAAAAACGGGAAAAAGCAAAAAAAATCCCAGCCAAACAGGCCGAAAAACAACCAAAAAAATCACTTTTTTATCATTTTCCCCGTTTTTCGCATTTATTTTCCCATTGACGCCCATTTTTCCCATTTATTTTTCTGTTTTTCCCATTTATTTTTCTGTTTTTCCCATTTATTTTTCTATTTTTCCCATTTTTTCCCATCTTTTTCCTGTTTTTTCCCATTCCCCCCATTTTTTCCCTTTCATTTTCCCCATTTTTCCTGTTTTATCCCGTTTCCCCTCCATCTTTTCCCATTTTTCCCCATTTCCCCCATTTTTTCCCATTTTTTCCCATTTCTTCCTGGTTTTCCTGTTTCCCCTCCATCTTTTCCCATTTTTCCCCATTTTTTCCCATTTTTCCTGTTTTTCCTTTTCCCCCCCATTTCTTCCCTTTTTTTCCCCAATTTATTTTCCTGTTTTTTCCCATTTCCCCCATCTTTTCACATTTTCCCCATTTGCCTCCATTTATTTTCCCTTTTTCCCCATTATTTCCCCATTATTTTCCCCATTATCTCCCATTATTTCCCCATTATTTCCCCATTTTCTCCCTGTTTTTCCCGTTATTTCCCCATTATTTCCCCATTATCTCCCGTTATTTCCCCATTATTTCCCCCATTATCTCCTGTTATTTCCCCATTTTCTCCCCATTATTTCCCCCATTATCTCCCCGTTATTTCCCCTTTATTTCCCCCATTATCTCCCGTTATTTCCCCCATTATTTCCCTGTTATTTCCCCGTTATTTCCGGTTTTCTCCCCATTATCTCTCCATTATTTCCCCATTATTTCCCCTATTATCTCCCGTGTTATTTCCTCCATTATCTCCCATTATTTCCCCATTATTTCCCCCATTATTTCCCCCATTATCTCCCCGTTATTTCCCCATTATTTCCCCCATTATCTCCCGTTATTTCCCCATTATTTCCCCATTGTTTTCCCTGTTATTTCCCCGTTATTCCTGGTTTTCTTCCCATTATTTCCCCCATTATCTCCCGTTATTTCCCCACATTATTTCCCCATTATTTCCCCATTTTCTCCCCGTTTTTCCCGTTATCTCCCCGTTATTTCCCCATTATTTCCCCATTATCTCCCGTTATTTCCCCATTATTTCCCCCATTATCTCCCATTATTTCCCCCGTTATTTTCCCCATTTTCTCCCTGTTTTTCCCATTATCTCCCTGTTATTTCCCCATTTTTTCCCCGTTATTTCCCCCGTTATTTCCCCCGTTATTTCCCCCATTATCTCCCGTTATTTCCCGGTTATTTCCCCCGTTATTTCCCCCTTGTTTTCCCCGTTATCTCCCCGTTATCTCCCATTATTTCCCCCATTATTTCCCATTATTTTCGCCATTATCTCCCCGTTATTTCCCCATTATCTCCCCGTTATTTCCCCGTTATTTCCCCATTGTTTTCCCCGTTATTTCCCCGTTATTCCTGGTTTTCTCCCCATTATTTCCCCATTATTTCCCCGTTATTTCCCCGTTATTCCCCCGCTTTCTCCCCATTATCTCCCATTATTTCCCCATTATCTCCCCGTTATCTCCCCATTATCCCCCCGTTATTTCTCGCCATTATTTCCCCTGTTATTTCCCCCTTGTTTCCCCCGTTATTTCCCCCTTGTTTCCCCCGTTATTCCCATTATTCCCGGTGTCATTCCCGTTTGTTCCCGCTGTTTCCCAGGCCGGGGCCGGGGCCGGCCGTTCCGGGGCCGGGGCCGGGGCCCGGGGCGGGGCCGGGGGCTGTGCCGGGGCCGCGCCCGCGCCCGCAGCGACCCCGAGGAGGAGGAGGAGCCCTTCGAGGAGGAGATGGAGGTCAGCGGGATCCCCCGGGAATGCTGAGCCTTCCTGGGCTTCGGGAATCCCGGGAATTGTCCGGGGAATTCTGACCCAGTCCCGGGGGAATTCTGACCAAATCCTGGGGGAATTCTGACCCAAACCCGGGGGAATTCTGACCCCAATCCCGGGGAAATTCTGACCCCAATCCCGGGAATTCTCCAGGGAATTCTGACCCCATCCCGGGGGAATTCTGACCCAATCCCGGGGGAATTCTGACCCCAATCCCGGGGGAATTCTGACCCCAATCCCGGGGGAATTCTGACCCCAATCCCAGGGGAATTCTGACCCAATCCCGGGGAATTCTGACCCCAATCCTGGGGGAATTCTGACCCAATCCTGGGGGAATTCTGACCCCAATCCCGGGGGAAGGGATTTGGGATGATTTGGGATGGGTTTGGGATGGGTGTGGGGTGGATTTGGGATGGGATTTGGGGTGGAGTTGGGGTGGATTTGGGATGATTTGGATAGATTTGGGATGATTTGGGGTGGATTTGGGATGATTTGGGATGGGATTTGGGCTGATTTGGGGTGGATTTGGGATGATTTGAGATGGGTTTGGGATGGATTTGAGATGGGTTTGGGCTGGAATTTGGGATGATTTGGGCTGATTTGGGGTTGGTGTTCCCAGTACTGCGACCCCGAGGAGCCGCTGGGCGACGACGACTTCGACGACTTTGCCAAAGAGCTGTCGCAGTACCGGCGCTGCAAGGAGCGCGGCCGGGGTGAGAGCGGCTCCCGCCCCCCAGATCCCCCCCAAATCCAGCCCAAACACCCCCAAAATCCAGCCCAAATCCAGCCCAAATACCCCCCCCCAAAATCCCCCCCAAATCCAGCCCAAACCCCCCCAGATCCCTCCCAAATCCCTCCCAAATCCAGCCCAAACCCCCCCAAATCCCCCCCAAATCCCCCCCAAATCCCCCCCAAATCCAGCCCAAACCCCCCCAAATCCCAGCCCCAAATCCCAGCCCAAATCCCTCCCCAAATCCAGGCCTAATCCAGCCCAAACACCCCCAAATCCATCCCAAACCCGCCCCAAATACAGCCCAAACCCCCCCAAATCCCAGCCCCAAAATACAGCCCAAATCCAGCCCAAACACCCCCAAATCCAGCCCAATCCCCCCCAAATCCAGCCCAAATCCCCCCCCACCAAAATCCCCCCCAAATCCAGCCCAAATCCCCCCCCCAAAATCCAGCCCAAATCGAGCCCAAATCCCCCCCAAATTCCCCCCAAATCCAGCCCAAATCCCCCCCAAATCCCAGCCCCAAATCCCAGCCCAAATCCCCCCAAATACAGCCCAAATTCCCCCCCCCCCAAAATCCAGCCCAAATCCCCCCAAATCCAGCCCAAATCCCCCCCCAAATCCAGCCCAAACCCCCCCCAAATCCCAGCCCAAATCCCCCCCAAATCCAGCCCAAACCCCCCCCCCAAAATCCAGCCCAAATCCCCCCCAAATCCAGCCCAAACCCCCCCCCCCCAAAATCCAGCCCAAATCCCCCCCAAATCCAGCCCAAATCCCCCCCCCCAAAATCCAGCCCAAATCCAGCCCAAACAGCCCCCCCGCCAAATCCCCCCCAAATCCAGCCCAAACCCCCCCCCCAAATCCAGCCCAAACCCCCCCAAATCCCCCCCAAATCCCCCCCAAATCCAGCCCAAATCCAGCCCAAATCCCCCCAAATTCCCCCCAAATCCAGCCCAAACCCCCCCAAATTCCCCCCAAATCCAGCCCAAACCCCCCCAAATTCCCCCCAAATCCAGCCCAAACCCCCCCAAAATCCAGCCCAAATCCCCCCAAATCCAGCCCAAATCCCCCCCCTCAAAATCCAGCCCAAATCCAGCCCAACCCCCCCCAAATCCCCCCAAATCCAGCCCAAACCCCCCCAAATCCCCCCAAAATCCAGCCCAAATCCAGCCCAAACACCCCCAAATCCAGCCCAAATCCCCCCAAATCCCCCCCCCAAAATCCCTCCCAAATCCAGCCCAAACCCCCCCCAAACCCCCCCCAAATCCAGCCCAAACACCCCCAAATCCAGCCCAAATCCTCCCCAAATCCCTCCCGCCCAAATCCAGCCCAAATTCCCCCCCCCAAAATCCAGCCCAAATCCAGCCCAAACCCCCCCAAATCCCTCCCAAATCCCTCCCAAATCCCCCCCAAATCCAGCCCAAATCCAGCCCAAACCCCTCCAAATCCCCCCCAAATCCCCCCCAAATCCACCCCAAATCCCCCCCAAATCCCCCCCAAAATGCAGCCCAAACCCCAAATCCCTCCCAAACCCCCCCCAAATCCCCCCAAACCCCCCCAAATCCAGCCCAAACTCCCCCAAATCCCAGCCCCAAATCCCAGCCCAAATCCCTCCCCGAAATCCAGGCCTAATCCAGCCAAAATCCATCCCCAAATCCACTCCAAATCCCTCCCAAAATCCCACACAAATCCCCTCTAAATCCCAGCCCAAATCCAGCCCAAATTCCCACCTCAATCCCCAATTCCCAATCCCATTCCCAAATCCCAATTCCCACCCCAATTCCCAATTCCCAATTCCCACCCCAAATCCCCAAATTCCCACCCCAATTCTCAATCCCAATTCCCAATTCCCATCCCAAATCCCAAATCCTAATTCCCAAATCCCATTCTCCAATCCCAAACTCAACTCCCACCCCAATTCCCAACCCCAATTCCCAATCCCCCCCCAATTCCCAATTCCCAATTCCCAACCCCAAATCCCAATTCCTGACCCCAATTCCCGATCCCAATTCCCAATTCCCCCCCAAATTCCCGATCCCAATTCCCAGTTCCCAATTCCCGCCCCAATTCCCGACCCCAATTCCCAATTCCCACCCCAATTCCCAATTCCCAACCCCAAATCCCAATTCCCACCCCAATTCTCAACCCCAATTCCCATCCCAAATCCCCAAATTCCCACCCCAATTCCCAACCCCAATTCCCAATCCCAAATACCAATTCCCGACCCCAATTCCCACCCCAAATCCCCAAATTCCCACCCCAATTCTCAATCCCAAATCCCAACTCCCACCCCAATTCCCACCCCAATTCCCAATCCCCCCCCAAATTCCCGATCCCAATTCCCAGTTCCCAACCCCAATTCCCAATTCCCAACCCCAAATCCCAACTCCCACCCCAATTCCCACCCCAATTCCCGACCCCAATTCCCAATTCCCACCCCCAAATCCCAATTCCCACCCCAGTTCTTAACCCCAGTTCCCAATCCCCCCCAAATTCCCGATCCCAATTCCCAATTCCCCCCCCAAATTCCCACCCCCAATTCCCAATTCCCAACCCCAATTCCCAATTCCCAATTCCCACCCCAATTCCCAAATCCCAATTCCCACCCCAGTTCTTAACCCCAGTTCCCAATCCCCCCCAAATTCCCGATCCCAATTCCCAATTCCCCCCCCAAATTCCCACCCCCAATTCCCAATTCCCAACCCCAATTCCCAATTCCCAATTCCCACCCCAATTCCCAAATCCCAATTCCCACCCCAGTTCTTAACCCCAGTTCCCAATCCCCCCCCAAATTCCCGATCCCAATTCCCAATTCCCCCCCCAAATTCCCGATCCCAATTCCCAATTCCCACCCCAAATCCCCAAATTCCCACCCCAATTCCCGATTCCCACCCCCAATTCCCAAATCCCAATTCCCAATTCCCAATTCCCGACCCCAATTCCCAATCCCCCCCAAATTCCCGATCCAAATTCCCAACTCCCAACACCAATTCCCAATTCCCACCCCAAACCCCCAAATTCCCACCCCAATTCTCAATCCTAATTCCCAATTCCCATCCCAATTCCCAAATCCTAATTCCCAAATCCCAATTCCCAAGTCCCAATTCCCAATTCCCAACCCCAAATCCCAATTCCCACCCCAATTCCCACCCCAATTCCCAATTCCCAACCCAAATCCCAACTCCCACCCCAATTCCCCCCCCAATTCCCAATCCCCCCCCAATTCCGACCCCACTCCCGATGCCGTTGCAGGGCCGGGCCGGGGCCGTGCCCGGGGCCGGGGCCGGGGCGGGAAGGGGCCGGGTCGGGGTCGGGGCCGCGGCCGCAGCGCCAAAGGCGGCACCGAGGACGACGAGTTCTACGACGAGGAGGGGGTGAGCCCTGCCCCGAGTGCCCAAATCCCGGGATTCTGCCCCAAACTGCCCAAATCCCGGGATTTCTGACCCAGAACAGCCCAAATCCCCGGATTCTGCCCCAAACTGCCCAAATCCCTGGGATTTCTGCCCCAAACTGCCCAAATCCCCGGATTCTGCCCCAAAGTGCCCAAATCCCCGGATTCTGCCCCAAAGTGCCCAAATCCCCGGATTCTGCCCCAAACTGACCAAATCCCCGGGATTTCTGCCCCAAATTTCCCAAATTCCCGGGGTTCTGTCCCAAATTCCCAGGGTTTCTGTCCCAAATCTCCCAAATCCCCGGGATTTCTGACCCAGATGTCCCAAATTCCCGGGATTTCTGCCCCAGGTTTCCCAAATCCTGGGATTTCGGTCCCAGAATAGCCCAAATCCCGGGATTCTGCCCCAAATCTCCCAAATTCCCAGGGTTTCTGTCCCAGAACATCCCAAATCCCCGGGATTTCTGACCCAAACTGCCCAAATTCCCGGGATTTCTGCCCCAGGTTTCCCAAATCCTGGGATTTCTGACCCAGGTTTCCCAAATTCCCGGGATTTCTGACCCAGAACAACCCAAATTCCCGGGGTTTCTGCCCCAAACTGCCCAAATCCCCGGGATTTCTGACCCAAACTGCCCAAATCCTGGGGTTCTGCCCCAAACTGCCCAAATCCCCGGGATTTCTGACCCAAACTGCCCAAATCCTGGGGTTCTGCCCCAAACTGCCCAAATCCCCGGATTCTGCCCCAAACTGCCCAAATCCTGGGATTTCTGCCCCAAACTTCCCAAATCCCCGGATTTCTGTCCCAAATTTCCCAAATTCCCGGGATTTCTGACCCAGAACAGCCCAAATCCCAGGATTTCTGCCCCAAACTGACCAAATCCCGGGATTTCTGACCCAGGTTTCCCAAATTCCCGGGATTTCTGCCCCAGGTTTCCCAAATCCCCGGATTCTGCCCCAAACTGCCCAAATTCCCGAGATTTCTGACCCAGAACAGCCCAAATCCCCGGGATTTCTGACCCAGAGCAGCCCAAATCCCCGGGATTTCTGTCCCAAACTGCCCACATCCCCGGATTCTGCCCCAAATTTCCCAAATTCCCAGGGTTCTGTCCCAAATTCCCAGGGTTCCTGCCCCAAATTTCCCAAATTCCCGGGATTTCTGACCCAGAACAACCCAAATTCCCGGGATTTCTGCCCCAGGTTTCCCAAATCCCGGGATTCTGCCCCAAATTTCCCAAATTCCCAGGGTTTCTGCCCCAGGTTTCCCAAATTCCCAGGATTTCTGACCCAGAACAGCCCAAATTCCTGGGGTTTCTGCCCCAAACTGCCCAAATTCCCGGGATTTCTGACCCAGAACCGCCCAAATTCCCGGATTCTGCCCCAAACTGCCCAAATCCCGGGATTTCTGTCCCAAACTGCCCAAATCCCCGGATTCTGCCCCAAACTGCCCAAATCCCCGGGATTTCTGACCCAAACTGCCCAAAATCCCAGGGTTTCTGACCCAGAACAACCCAAATTCCCGGAGTTTCTGTCCCAAACTGCCCAAATTCCCGGGGATTCTGCCCCAAATTTCCCAAATCCCCGGGGTTTCTGTCCCAAACTGCCCAAATTCCTGGGATTTCTGCCCCAGGTTTCCCAAATTCCCGGGATTTCTGACCCAAATTTCCCAAATTCCTGGGGTTCTGTCCCAAATTCCCAGGGTTTCTGCCCCAAATCTCCCAAATCCCCGGGATTTCTGCCCCAAACTGCCCAAATTCCCCGGATTCTGCCCCAAATCTCCCAAATCCCCGGGATTTCTGTCCCAAACTGCCCACATCCCCGGATTCTGCCCCAAACTGCCCAAATCCCCGGGATTTCTGCCCCAAACTGCCCAAATCCCGGGATTTCTGTCCCAAACTGCCCAAATCCCCTGATTCTGCCCCAAATTTCCCAAATTCCCGGGATTTCTGACCCAGGTTTCCCAAATCCCAGGGTTTCTGTCCCAGGACAGCCCAAATTCCTGGGATTATTTTTCCACCGCAAATCCCAACATTTTCCCCCCAAATTCCTGGCATTTTCCACCCCAAATCCCAAGATTTTCCCCCCAAAATTCCCGGGATTTTCCACCCCAAATCCCCCTTTTCTCCCCCAAATTTCTGTGACTTTTCCCCCCAAATCTCAACATTTTCCCCCAAAATTCCCGGGATTTTTCCCCCCAAATCCCCCATTTTCCCCCCCAAAATTCCCGGGATTTTTGGCCCAGCATTTTTTTTTCTGTTTTTTTCCCGTTTTTGCCTTTTTTTGCCCCAAATCCGGCGCACAGGAGGGGGGCGGGTACCGGCGGGAGGACAAGTCTCACCTGCCCGCCGACAAGAAGGGCAAAGTCATCTGCAAGTACTTCCTGGAGGGCAGGTGCACCTGGGTAAGGAGCACACCTGGCACACCTGGGCACACCTGGGCACACCTGGGCGCACCTGGGGAACACCTGGGAACACCTGGGGGCACACCTGGGCACACCTGGGGGACACCTGAGCACACCTGGGCACACCTGGGCACACCTGGGAACACCTGGGCACACCTGGGGAACACCTGGGTACAGCTGGGGGCACACCTGGGGCACCTGGGAAACACCTGGGGCACACCTGGGGGCACCTGGGGAACACCTGGGAGCACCTAAATCCCACCTAAATCTCACCTGTGTCACATCTTCATCTCATCTGTGTCACACCTGTGTCACACCTGTGTCTCACCTGTCTCTCACCTGTCCCTCACCTGTCCCTCACGTGTCCCCCGTGTCCCCTCAGGGCGATCACTGCAACTTCAGCCACGACGTGGAGCTGCCCAAGAAGCGCGAACTGTGCAAGTTCTACATCACGGGGTACTGCGCGCGGGCCGACAGCTGCCCCTACATGCACGATATCCTGCCTGGACACGGTTAAACACGGGTTAGACACGGGTTAAACACGGGTTAAACACGGGTTAAACCTGCCCCAAACCTGGGTTAAACATGGGCTGAACCTGCCCCAAACCTGCCCCAAACCTGCCCTGAACCTGCCCCCGACAGCTGCCCCTACATGCACGATATCCTGCTTAAACACGGGTTAAACATGGGTTAAACACGGGTTAGACATGGCTTAAACACGGGTTAAACACGGGTTAAACATGGGCTGAACATGGGGTAAACGAAAATGGGTTAAACCTGCTCCAAACCTGGGATAAACCCACCCTAAACCCCACAAACCCGCCCTAACCCTCCCAAACCCACCTAAACCCACCCAAACCCACCCCAAACCCTCCTAAATCCACCCCAAACCTTCCAAAATTCACCCCAAACCCACCAAAATTCCCCCCAAACCCACCAAAATTCCCCCCAAACCTGCCCCAAACCCACCCAAATCCACCCCAAACCCACCAAAATTCACCCCAAAACCCCCCCAAACCCCCCAAACCCACCCCAAACCCTCCTAAATCCACCCTAAACCCACCAAAGTTCACCTCAAATCCACCCTAAACCCACCCCAAACCCCCCAAACCCACCCCAAACCATCCAAAATTCACCACAAACCACCAAAATTCACCCCAAAACCATCCAAAACCACCCCAAACTCATCAAAATTCACCCCAAACCCTCCTAAACCCACCCCAAACCCACCCTAAACCCTCCTAAATCCACCCCAAACCTTCCAAAATTCACCCCAAACCCACCAAAATTCCCCCCAAACCCACCTAAACCCACCCCAAACCCTCCCTAAACCCACCCCAAACCCACCAAAATTCACCCGAAATCCACCCTAAACCCACCAAAATTCACCCCAAACCCACCCCAAACCCACCAAAATTCACCCCAAAACCATCCAAAACCACCTTAAACCCACCAAAATTCACCCCAAACCCACCCTAAACCCACCCAAACCCACCCTAAACCCACCCAAACCCGCCAAAATTCACCCCAAACCCACCAAAATTCACACCAAAACCATCCAAAACCCCCCCAAACCCACCAAAATTCACCCCAAACCCACCAAAATCCCCCCAAATCCCCCCAAACCCACCAAAATTCACCCCAAATCCCCCCAAACCCCCCCAAACCCACCAAAATTCACCCCAAACCCCCCAAAATCCCCCCAAACCCCCCCTAAACCCGGCCGGGGCGTTTTTGGGTTTTCCTTGACGTTCCCACGGGATTTCCCGTGTAAGTTGTTCCACACCACCGGACACTGCATCAACGGCGACGGCTGCATGTTCTCCCACGCGCCGCTCTGCGACGACACCCGACAGCTGCTGGACAAGGTACGGCACACCTGGGCACACCTGGGCACACCTGGGCACACCTGGGCACACCTGAGATACACCTGGGCACACCTGGGGTACACCTGGGCACAGCTCACATCACACCTGCATGTTCTCCCACGCGCCGCTCTGCGACGACACCCGACAGCTGCTGGACAAGGTAAGGTACACCTGGCACACCTGGCACACCTGGGCACACCTGGGCACGGTTTAAATTACACCTGGGCACACCTGGGCACACCTGGGCACAGCCCAGATCACACCTGCATGTTCTCCCACGCGCCGCTCTGCGACGACACCCGACAGCTGCTGGACAAGGTACACCTTAAATCACACCTGGGCACAGCTCACATCACACCTGGGCACACCTGGGCACACCTCACATCACACCTGGGCACAGCTCAGATCACACCTGGGCACACCTGGGCACACCTGGGCACACCCCAAATCACACCTGGGCACACCTGGGCACAGCCCACATCACACCTGGGCACGGCCCAGATCACACCTGGTCACAGCTGGGCACAGCTTAAATCACACCTGGGCACACCTGGCACACCTGGGCACACCCCAAATCACACCTGGGCACACCCAGCCCCTTCCAGTCCCTCCCAGTTTCCCCCAGTTTCTCCCAGTTTCTCCCAGTTTGCTCCATCCCAGTCCATCCCAGTCTAACCAGTTTAACCCCTTCCCCCCCAGATGCTGGCCGAGGACGCCGAGGCGGGCGCAGTGCCTGCCGCTCTGTCCCAGTTTAACCCAGTTTCTCCCAGTTTAACCCAGTTTCTCCCAGTTTATCCCAGTTTGCTCCATCCCAGTCGCTCCCAGTCCATCCCAGTTCCCCCAGTCTAACCAGTTTAACCCCTTCCCCCCCAGATGCTGGCCGAGGACGCCGAGGCGGGCGCAGTGCCTGCCGCTCTGTCCCAGTTTATCCCCAGTTTCGCCCAGTTTATCCCAGTTTAACCCAGTCCATCCCAGTTTCTCCCATCCCAGTCCATCCCAGTCAATCCCAGTTTAACCCGTTTAACCCTTTCCCCCCCAGACACTGGCCGAGGACGCCGAGGCGGGCGCAGTGCCTGCCGCTCTGTCCCAGTTTCTCCCAGTTTAACCCAGTTTCTCCCATCCCAGTCACTCCCAGTTTAACCCAGTCCATCCCAGTTCCCCCAGTCTAACCAGTTTAACCCCTTCCCCCCCAGACACTGGCCGAGGACGCCGAGGCGGGCGCAGTCCCTGCCACTCTGTCCCAGTTTAACCCAGTTTCTCCCAGTTTATCCCCAGTTTCTCCCAGTTTCTCCCAGTTTAACCCAGTCCATCCCAGTTTCTCCCATCCCAGTCCATCCCAGTCAATCCCAGTTTAACCCGTTTAACCCCTTCCCCCCCAGATGCTGGCCGAGGACGCCGAGGCGGGTGCTGTCCCTGCCGCTCTGTCCCAGTTTAACCCAGTTTAACCCAGTTTAACCCAGTTTCACCCAATTTCTCCCAGTTTCTCCCATCCCAGTCTCTCCCAGTTCCCCCAGTCTAACCAGTTTAACCCCTTCCCCCCCAGATGCTGGCCGAGGACGCCGAGGCGGGCGCAGTCCCTGCCGCTCTGTCCCAGTTTAACCCAGTTTAACCCAGTTTCTCCCAGTTTGCTCCATCCCAGTCCATCCCAGTTTAACCCAGTCCATCCCAGTCTAACCAGTTTAACCCCTTCCCCCCCAGATGCTGGCCGAGGACGCCGAGGCGGGCGCAGTGCCTGCCGCTCTGTCCCAGTTTAACCCAGTTTCTCCCAATTTCTCCCAGTTTAACCCATTTTAACCCAGTTTCTCCCATCCCAGTTGCTCCCAGTCCATCCCAGTCACTCCCAGTCTAACCAGTTTAACCCATTTAACCCCTTCCCCCCCAGACACTGGCCGAGGACGCCGAGGCGGGCGCAGTGCCTGCCGCTCTGTCCCAGTTTAACCCAGTTTCTCCCAGTTTAACCCAGTCCATCCCAGTTTAACCCAGTCCATCCTAGTTTCCCCAACTCTAACCCGTTTAACCCTTTCCTCCCCAGACACTGGCCGAGGACGCCGAGGCGGGCGCAGTGCCTGCCGCTCTGTCCCAGTTTCTCCCAATTTCTCCCAGTTTCTCCCAGTTTTTCCCAGTTTAACCCAGTTTCTCCCATCCCAGTCGCTCCCAGTCCATCCCAGTTCCCCCAGTCTAACCAGTTTAACCCCTTCCCCCCCAGACACTGGCCGAGGACGCCGAGGCGGGCGCAGTGCCTGCCGCTCTGTCCCAGTTTAACCCAGTTTAACCCAGTTTCTCCCAGTTTCTCCCAGTTTAACCCATCCCAGTTTAACCCAGTTCACCCAGTTTAACCCCTTCCCCCCCAGATGCTGGCCGAGGACGCCGAGGCGGGCGCGCAGGACGAGAAGGAGCTGCAGGAGCTGCGCAAACAGGGCATCGACCCCCTGCCCAAACCCCCCCCCGGGCGTGGGGCTGCTGCCCACCCCCCCCCGGCCCCCCTCCCCCCCCCGCGGCCTGCCCCTCCCCCCCCGCCCCCCTGCCCCTCCCCCCGCCCCTGGAGCCCCCCCTGGAGCCGCCCCCGGACCCCTTCAAGAAGATCCCGTCGCTCTTCGAGATCGTCGTGCGGCCCACGGGGCAGCTGGCCGAGAAGCTGGGGGTCAGGTGGGCACACCTGGGCACCTGGGGCACCTGGGGGCAGCTGGGGGCAGCTTGGCACACCTGGGGTCAGGTGGGCACACCTGGGGCACACCTGGGTACACCTGGGCATGGCTGAGATCACACCTGGGCACACCTGGGATACACCTGGGCACACCTGGGGCACCTGGGGGCACCTGGGGCACAGCTGGGCACAGCTGGGGACACCTGGGATACACCTGGGCACACCTGGGGGCACCTGGGGACAGCTCAGATCACACCTGGGCACACCTGGGGGCAGCTGGGGGCACCTGGGGGCACCTGGGCACACCTGGGGTACACCTGGGCACAGCTGGGATATACCTGGGATACACCTGGGCACACCTGGGGACACCTGGGGGCAGCTGGGGACACCTGGGCTACACTTGGGGACACCTGAGGTACACCTGGGCACACCTGGGCACACCTGGGGGCACCTGGGCACACCTGGGCGCACCTGGGATACACCTGGGGCACAGCTGGGCACAGCTGGGGACAATTGGGGCACACCTGGGGGCAGCTGGGGTACACCTGGGGCACATCTGAGTTGCACCTGGGGGCACCTGGGCACACCTGGGGGCAGCTGGGGGCAGCTGGGGAGACCTGGGATAGACCTGGGGTACACCTGGGGGCACCTGGGGACAGCTGGGGGCACCTGGGGACAGCTGGGGCACAGCTGGGGTACACCTGGGATACACCTGGGCACACCTGGGCACAGCTGGGGTACACCTGGGCACAGTTGGGGCACAGCTGGGGGCACCTGGGCACAGCTGGGGACACCTGGGGGCAGCTGGGATACACCTGGGTACAGCTGGGCATGGCTGAGATCACACCTGGGCACAGCTGGGCACACCTGGGATACACCTGCGCACACCTGGGGGCACCTGGGGCACACCTGGGGGTACCTGGGCACACCTGGGGCACAGCTGGGGCACCTGGGGGCAGCTGGGTACATCTGGGCATGGCTGAGATCACACCTGGGCACAGCTGGGGTACACCTGGGTGCACCTGGGGGTACCTGGGGGCACTTGGAGGCAGCTGGGGCACACCTGGGATGCACCTGGGCACACCTGGGGGTACCTGGGTACATCTGGGCATGGCTGAGATCACACCTGGGCACAGCTGGGGCACCTGGGGGTACCTGGGCACACCTGGGCACAGCTGGGGACAATTGGGGCACACCTGGGCACACCTGGGGTACACCTGGGGCACTCCTGGGCACACCTGGGGGCACCTGGGCACAGCTGGGGGCACCTGGGGTACACCTGGGGGCACCTGGGATACACCTGGGGAACACCTGGGGGCACCTGGGGGGCACCTGGGCACAGCTTGGATACACCTTGGGGCACCTGGGCACACCTGGGTACACCTGGGGTACACCTGGCGACACACCTGGGCACAGCTGGGGGCACCTGGGCGCACCTGGGCACAGCTGGGGGCACACCTGGGGTACACCTGGGGCACTCCTGGGCACACCTGGGGGTACCTGGGGGCAGCTGGGGCACACCTGGGGCACACCTGGGCACACCTGGGGGTACCTGGGGGTACCTGGGGCACACCTGGGGCACCAATTTCATTCCCAATTTTCCCACTTTCCCCTCTTTTCTTCCCATTCCCATCCCAATTTTCCCCATTTTTCTCCCAATTTCCCCGTTCCCATCTCAATTTCCCCGTTTTTCCCGTTTTTCTCCCAATTTCCTGTTTTTCCCCCAATTTCACTCCCGTTTTCCCGTTTTTCCCCCAATTTCATTCCCGTTTTTCCCGTTTTTTCCCCAATTTCCCGTTTTTCCCCAATTTCACTCCCGTTTTCCCGTTTTTCCCGTTTTTCCCCCGTTTTTCCCCAATTTCACTCCCGTTTTTCCCCCGTTTTTCCCATTTTTCCCAAATTCACTCCGTTTTTCCCGTTTTTTCCAGGCACCCGGGGCCGCCCCCCCCGCGCTTCCCGGGCCCCCCCGGGGCGCCGCCCCTCCCCCACCCCGAGCTGGGGGGGGGGTTCGAGGAGCCGCCCCTCCCCCACCCGGGGCTGCCCCCCCCGGGCTTCTACGAGGGGGGAGGGGCGTTCTACCCCCCCGAGGGGCTGGAGAGGGAGACCCCCCCCGGGGGGGAGGGGCCAGGTGGGGGGGGGGGGGGGGAGGGGAAATTGGGGTGGGGGAGGGGGAAATTGGGGTGGGGGAGGGGAAATTGGGGTGGGGGAGGGGAGATTGGGGTGGGGGAGGGGAGATCCCGGGAGGTTTGGGGTGGGGGAGGGGAAATCCCGGGAAAATGGGGGGGGGGGGGGCAGGTGATCCCCAAATCCCCCAATTCCAGCCCAAAACTCCCAATTGCAGCCCAAAACTCCCAATCCCACCCCAAATCCTCAATTCCACACCAAATTCCCCAACTGCACTCCAATTCCACCCCAAAATCCCGTCTCCCCACCCCAAACTCCCCAATCCCACCCCAAATCCCCCAATCCCACCCCAAATCCCCTCTCTCCACCCCAAATCCCCTCTTCCCCACCCCAAATCCCCCATTTCCACCCCAAACTCCCCAATCTCACCCCAAATCCCCTCTCCCCACCTCAAACTCCCCAATCACACCCCAAATCCCCTCTCCCCACCCCAATCACACCCCAAATCTCCCTCTCCCCACCCCAAATCCCCCATTTCCACCCCAAAATCCCCAATCCCACCCCAAATCCCCTCTCCGCACCTCGAATACCCCAATCCAACCCCAAACCCCCAATTCCACCCCAAATCCCCCAATCCACCCCAAATCCCCCATTTCCACCCCAAATCCCCTCTCCCCACCCCAAATCCCCCAATTCCACCCCAAATCCCCCAATTCCACCCCAAAATCCCCCATCCCCACCCCTTCCCCCCTCTCCCCCCAACAAACCCCCAAAATCTCCTTTTTTCCCCCAAACCAGACGACGACTTCGCCTCCTACGCCGCGGCCGAGGGCCCCGGGGGGGATCCGCGGTTCCCCGAGGGGTCCCTGGAGGCCGAGGGCGGCCCGGGGGTCCCGGGGGGTCCCGGGGGTGCCCCGGGGGGTCCCGGGGGGGTCCCGGGGGGTCCCGGGGGGGGTCCCGGGGCCCTGGCGGAGCTGCTGCCGTCGGCGCAGCGCGCGCTGTTCCTGCGCATCCGCCACAAGCAGCGGCACGAGGAGCGCGGCCGGAGGGCGGCCGAGGGCGGCCGGGGAGAGCGGCAGCACGAGGAGGGTGAGCCGGACCCCAAATCCGGGTTCTGAGTCCCAAAATTTGGGTGTGAGCCCCGAAATTCTCACCCTGAGCCCCAAAATTCTCATCCTGAGCACTGAAATTCGGGTCTGAGCCCCGAAATTCTCATCCTGAACCCCGAAATCCTGGTCCTGAACCCCCAAATCCCGGTCTGAGCCCTGAAATTCCAGTCCTGAGCTGGCCCCGAAATCCTCATCCTGAGCCTAAAATCCCGGTCCTGAGCCGGCCCCGAAATCCCGGTCTGAGCCCCAAAATTCCAGTCCTGAGCTGAGCCCAAAAATCCTCATCCTGAGCTGAGCCCCAAAATTCCGGTTCTGAGCCCAAAAATCCCAGTCCTGAGCCCTGAAATCCCCCCGGTCCTGAGCCCCAAAATTCTCATCCTGAGCCTAAAATCCTGGTCCTGAGCCGGACCCCAAATCCTGGTTCTGAACCCCAAAATCCCGGTCCTGAGCCCCGAAATTCTCATCCTGAGCCCCGAAATTCCAGTCTGAGCCCCAAAATCCTCACCCTGAGCCTAAAATCCCGGTCCTGAGCCGGACCCCAAATCCCGGTCCTGAACCCCGAAATTCGGGTCTGAGCCCCGAAATTCTCACCCTGAGCCCCGAAATTCTCATCCTGAGCCCCGAAATCCTCACCCTGAGCTGAGCCCCAAAATCCCGGTCCTGAGCCGGACCCCGAATCCGGGTTCTGAGCCCCGAAATCCCGGTCTGAGCCCCGAAATTTGGTCCTGAACCCCGAAATCCTGGTCCTGAACCCCAAAATCCCGGTCTGAGCCCTGAAATTCTCACCCTGAGCCTGAAATCCCGGTCCCGAGCCCTGAAATTCGGGTCTGAGCCCCAAAATCCCGGTCCTGAGCTGAGCCCCAAAATCCTCACCCTGAGCCTAAAATCCCGGTCCTGAGCTGGACCCCAAAATCCCGGTCTGAGCCCCGAAATTCTCATCCTGAGCTCCGAAATTCTCATCCTGAGCCCCGAAATCCTCACCCTGAGCCTAAAATCCCGGTCCTGAGCCGGACCCCAAATCCCGGTTCTGGGCCCCAAAATCCCGGTCCCGAGCCCCAAAATTCGGGTCTGAGCCCCGAAATCCTCACCCTTAGCCCCGAAATTTGGTCCTGAACCCTGAAATCCCGGTCCCGAGCCCCAAAATCTGGTCCTGAGCTGAGCCCCGAAATCCTCATCCTGAGCCCCAAAATCCCGGTCCTGAGCTGAGCCCCAAAATCCCGGTTCTGAGCCCCAAAATCGTCATGCTGAGCTATTATTTCTATTTCTATTTTAATACTTATTTCTAGTTTCATTTCTATTTTAATTTGTATTGTATATGTATATGTATATGTATATGTATATGTATATGTATATGTATATATTTATATTTTTAGTTTTATTTATATTTATATTTATATTTATATTTATATTTATATTTATATTTATATTTATATTTATATTTATATTTATATTTATATTTATATTTATATTTACATTTACATTTACATTTACATTTAATTTCCATTTCTGCCCCCTCCCAGCAGACCCCGGCAGTTGGTACTCGAGCGACGAGGACGACGCCGATGGCGGCAGCGGCAGCGTCTCCTCCATCCTCAAATCGCTGCGGCAGCAAAGCTCCGCCCGAGCCCCCAACGCACCGGGGGACCCCCCGAGCGACCCCCGCCTGCCGCGGCCGCCCCGGCCCGCCGGGCCCCGGCCCCGGGACCCGCGGCTGGCCCGGAACCGGGAACCGAGCCCCGAGTCCGGTTGGGATCCCCGTTTGTCCCGGAACCGGGAGCACAGTCCCAAGTCCGGTCCGTGGGATCCCCGTTTGTCCCGGAACCGGGAGCCGAGCCCCGAGTCCGGCCCGTGGGACCCGCGGCTGGCCCGGAACCGGGAACCGAGCCCCGAGTCCGGTCCGTGGGACCCGCGGCTGGCCCGGAACCGGGAACCGAGCCCGGACCCCGGCCCGTGGGATCCCCGTTTGTCCCGGAACCGGGAGCCGAGTCCCGAGTCCGGTTGGAACCCGCGTTTGTCCCGAAACCAGGAGCCCAACCCCGATCCCGGTTGGGACCCCCGTTTGTCCCGGAACCGGGAGCCGAGCCCCGACCCCGGTCCCTGGGATCCCCGTTTGTCCCGGAACCGGGAGCCCAGCCCGGATCCCGGTTGGGATCCGCGTTTGTCCCGGAACCGGGAGCCCAGCCCCGATCCCCACCCGTGGGACCCCCGTTTATCCCGGAACCGGGACCCCAGTCCCGACCCCGGCCCCTCGGACCCCCGTTTGGCCCGGCACGGCCCCCGCCCGGAGCCGGTTCCCCGGGGCGGAGCCGAGGATGAGGATGGCGAGCGGATCCCGCGGGACAAAGCTCTGCCCATCCCCCTGGAAGCCGCTCCGGGACAGACCCCGCGGGACCCCCGGCGCGACCCCCGCCGCTTCCCGCAGCTCCGCGGGGACGCGGCGGCTCCGGTACCGCTGCCGCTGCCGCCGTTCGCCCGCTCCGTGCTCTGGAGCCCCGAGGATCTCATCCCGGTGCCCGTTCCGCGGCAGGACCCGTGTCCGCTCCCGGTGGGCTCCGGTACCGACCCCCGCCTGCTCCGGCCGCCCCCCGGCCCCTCGGACCCGCGGCAGCCGCGACCCGCGACCACCGGCGGCGACCCCGGCCCGGCGCTGCCGGACTTCGAGCTCCTCTCCAGGATCCTCCAGAGCGTCGCCGCTTCCTCCTCCTCCTCCTCCTCCTCCTCCTCCTCCTCCTCCTCCTCGGGGGACAAGCCCAGCGACCCCCGCGTCAGGAAAGCTCCTCCCGCCGACCCGCGGCTGCAGAAACCGCTGGAGGGGGGAAATAATTCCCAAAAAGCGCCGGAATTCGGGAATCAGCCCCGGGACTCACCGGACACCGATCCCGGTCCCGCCATCGCTCCGTACGACCCGCGGCTGAGCTGGACCGGCGGTTCCGCCCAGAGCAGCAGCGTCCTGAGCGCCATCAGCCTCTACGACCCGCGCACGGCCAGTCCGGGCAAAGAGCCCCAAAACGACGCGAATTCAACCCAAAAAAGCGACGCGCCGAAAGCGGCCAAAGCCAAAGAGCCGCCGCCGTTCGTGCGGCGCTCGGCGCTGGAGCATCCCGAGAGCGGCTCCGGTGGTACCGGCGGTACCGGCGGTACCGAGCGGGCGGAGCCCACGGACCGCTACAACAGCTACAACCGACCCCGCGTTAAAAGCGCCGCTCCCGGGGACACCGGCGGCGCCCCGGCCGCCCTGCACAGCCTCCCGGTGCCCCCCGTGTTCGGCCCGGCCCGGCCCGGCCCCGGCACCGGCACCGGCACCGGCACCGGCACCGGCACCGGCAGCCCCTTCCCGGGGGGCAGCCCCGGCCCGGAGCCCCCCGAGGATGGGGCGGACAAAGGGTCGCTCAAGGACGTGTTCAAAGGCTTCGACCCCACGGCCTCGCCCTTCTGCCAGTGAGGGTGGGGAGGGAGAAATGGGGGTGAAGGGGCGGAAAATGGGGTTAGATCGGGGGAAAATGTGGTTAAATGGGTGGAAATGTGGTTAAATCTGATCAAAATGTGGTTAGATTGGTGGAAAATGTGGTTAAATGGGTGGAAAATGTGGTTAAATTGGATCAAAATGTGGTTCCATTGGCTCCAAATGTGGTTAAATGGGATCAAAATGTTAAATCGGCTCAAAATGTGGTTCCATTGGCTCAAAATGTGGTTAAATCGGCTCAAAATGTGGTTAAATGGGATCAAAATGTGGTTTAATTGGATCAAAATGTGGTTAAACTGGATCAAAATGTTAAATTGGATCAAAATGTGGTTAAATTGGATCAAAATGTGGTTAAATTGGATCAAAATGTGGCTAATTTGGCTCAAAATGTGGTTAAATTGGATCAAAATGTTAAATTGGATCAAAATGTGGTTAAATTGGATCAAAATGTGGTTAAATTGGATCAAAATATGGTTAAATTGGATCAAAATGTTAAATCAGCTCAAAATGTGGTTAATTTGGCTCAAAATGTGCTTAAATCTGATCAAAATGTGGTTAAATTGGATCAAAATGTTAAATTGGCTCAACATGTGGTTAATTTGGCTCCAGATGTGGTTAAATTGGCTCCAGATGTGGGCAGGTGTGGTCAAATCCACCCAAAATTCACCCACAGGTCTCCAAAATCCACCCAAAATCTGCCAAAATCCATCCAGACCGACCCAAATCTACCCAAATTTACCCAAATCCACCCAAAAAATCCACTTAAAATGTATCCAGGTTTCCCAAATCTGCCCAAATCCACCCAAAATCGGACAAATTTACCCAAATCCACACAAATAGACCCAAATTTACCCAAATCCACCCAAAATCCACCCAAATCCACTCCAAATTTACCCAAATCCACCCAAATATACCCAAATTTACCCAAAATCCACCCAAATCCACCCAAATCCACTCCAAATTTACCCAAATCCACCCAAAATCTGAGGATGGAGGGAAAGGTTGAGGATCCACCCCGAGGAAAGGAGAGAATCGGCCCCAAAAAAGTGAAATTTGAGCCCCAAAAAATGAAATTTAACCCTGGAAAATCGAATTGGAGGCAAATTGACCCAAAAAAATCCAAATTGACACCAAAAAAAAAAAAAAAAAAAAAAAATTGACACAAAAACCCCCAAAAAAATCCCAAATCCGACCCCAAAAAAACCCAAATTTGCTGCCAAAAAAAGCAAAATCCGACCTCAATTCCACCCAATTTATTCCAAAACTTCAATCCGCCCCAAATGCACAAAATCCGCCCCCAAAAAACCCCAATTCCACCCCAAAAAATCCCCCAAAATTCCCCCGGAATTGGCCCGGGAGCAGCCGATCCTCGGGCTGAATTTTGGGGGAATTTTGTCCCTTTTTGGGCCCTTCTCAGCCATAAAAATTGTAAATAAATCCCAAATTCTCCCCAAATTCCCGAGGATTTTCCCTTGCGGTGACTTGGGCTTGAAATTCCCATTTTTTTTCCCAAAAAAAATCCCAATTCCAGGGGAAAAAAAACAAATTTTGAGGGTTTGAGCAGCAAAAAAGCCAAAAAAAATCAGGAAATAATGGGAAAAAATCAAAGTGCATAAAAAATAGACAAAAAATGTGAAATTGTACCCGAAATTTCATAAAAAACGGTGGGAAATATTGAAAAATGTGACATAAAAGTCCCCAAAAAAGGGGAAAAAGTCAAAACAACAGAAAAATCCCCAAAATCGTGGCAAAAAAATGGAAATTCACCTAAAAATGGGCAAAAATCGTGGAGGAAATGTCAAAAATTCCATTTAAAAGCCATTAAAAAGGCAGAAAAAATAGAAAATATCTCAAAATTCTCTTGAAAATAAAAATGGGGGGAAAAAGCAACTTAAAATAAAGTAAAATAAAAATTAGAATTTGTCAAAAATCAGGGGAAATGTCCAAAATCTGCAATAAAAATAGAGTCCAAAAGGAGTGGAAAATCATGAAAAATTTAATTTAAATCCATCAAAAATTGTTTAAAATGCAAAAAAAAAGGGAAAATTAAGAATTGCACGTGGAAATAAAATCAAAAATCATAGAAAAAAGGTTAAAATTGGGAAAAATCAACAAAAAATCCATAAAAAGACACAAAAAAAAAAAAAAATAAATTAAAATACGACCCAAAAATGCAGGAAAATGAGAGGAAAGGACAAAAATGTGAAAATCCAGCAAGAAAATGTTTAAAAAATTGTTAAAATCGGCCAAAAAATGAAGAATTTTATTTAAAAATTGTAAAAAAAATCTGGAAAATGATGAAATAATGAAAAAATTGCTGAAATTGGTGGGAAATCAATGGGGAAATACAGAAAGGAGAAAAAGGGGAAAATTATGGGAAAAGAAAATAAAAATTCACAGAAAATAATGAAAAAAATTCCCAAATTGGTGAAATTTAAAAAAAATTTAAAAATAATCAAAAATTTACTTGAAAAATCTCATTAAAACGGATAAAAAAAAAGATTAAAAAATCATGAAAAAAACGCTCCAAAAATAGAAAAAACCACCAAAAAAAGACCAAAAATCACGTTAAAAATAGAATTTTAAAGGTGAAAACGTGGAAAATTCTCAAAATCCATAAAAAGCGACGAAAAATTCACAAAATTCCTCCAAAACATCCTAAAAAAGTGGAATTTTTTTCCTTAAAAAGACCCAATTTTAGGCAGTTTGGGGTTGGAATTTTGGGATAAATTTGGGATTTTTTGGGAAAAAAAAAAAAAATTCCAGTTTGGGAGCAGCCATGAAGATCCCAAAAAAACCACCAAAATTGGGAATTTTTCACCCAAAAATTGGGATTTTTCCGCCCAAAAATTGGGATTTTTCCACCTGAAAATTGAGATTTTTTTTCCGCTCAAAATTGGGAATTTTTCACCCAAAAATTGGGATTTTTCCACCCAAAAATGGGGATTTTTTTTTTTTCCACTGAAAAATTGGGATTTTCAGCCCCAAAATGGGATTTTTCTCCCCAAAATTGGGGATTTTCAGCTCAAAAATTGAGATTTTTTTCCACCCAAAAATGGGGATTTTTTTAAAATAGTTTTTTTTTTTTTTCCTTTGATTTTCCGGGAATTTTTGGGGGGAAATTCGGGAATTTTTGTAAAAGAATTTCTCGGGATTGGAATTTTTTTTTTTAGGGAATTTTTGGGGCCCCTCGAGGGCCGCGGGTGGGGGAGGGGCGGCGGGGGCGGGGAACGATGTAATAAATATGTAAATATATGCAAATGAACCGGGCTGGACTCCAATTTGGGGGTTTTGGGGGGTCCCGGATGAATTTTTGGGGTTCCCGGGGGGAATTTGGGGTTTGGGGGGGCTTTAAATGATTTTTGGGGGTTTTTGAGGGGATTTTGGGGGGTCCCGAGGGGATTTTTTGGGGGTCTCGGGTGGAATTTTGGGAGTCTTGGGGCAATTTTTGGGGGGTCTCAGATGAATTTTAAGGGGTCCTGGGGGATATTTGGGGATTTTTTGGGGGTCTCAGGGCAATTTTTGGGGGTCCCGAGGGGATTTTGGGGGGTTCCGAATGAATTTTTGGGGTTCCCGGGGGGATTTTGGGGTTTGGGGGGGTCTTTAAATGATTTTTTGGGGTTTTTGAGGGGATTTTGGGGGGTCCTGAGGGGAATTTTGGGGATCCTGGGGGGAATTTTGGGGGTCTCAGATGAATTTTTGGGGTTCCCGGAGGAATTTTTGAGTTTCTCGGGTGGATTTTGGGGTTCCCGTGTGGATTTTTGGGGTTCCCGGGGGAATTTTTGGGTCTCGGGTGGAATTTTGGGGGTCCCTGGGTGGATTTTTGGGGATCCCAGATGAATTTTTTGGGGTTCCTGAGTGGAATTTTGGGGTTCCCGAGTGGAATTTTGGGGTTCCCGAGTGGAATTTTGGGGTTCCCGAGTGGATTTTTGGGGTTCCCGGGTGGATTTTTGGGGTTCCCGAGTGGATTTTTTGGGGTTCCGGGTGGATTTTTGGGGTTCCCGGATGAATTTTTGGGGTTCCCGGGGGATTTTTGGGGTTCCCGAGTGGATTTTTGGGGTCCCCGGTGGAATTTTGGGGTTCCGGGTGGATTTTTTCGGTTTTTGGGGGAATTTTTTGGGGTTCCCGGAGGAATTTTTGATTTTTTTCTCTTTTTTTCCCATTTTTGGCTTTTTTCCCCCCAATTTTTCCCGCGGGGCCTCAGCACGAACGGGGGGGGGGGGGGGGGGAGGGGCGGCGCTTCCGGCCCAGATGTTCCCAACAGCTGGAACGGGGGGGAGGGGCGCGTTTGTCCCTAAATTTGGGGTCCCCCTCCCCATTTTTGGGGTCCCCCTCCCCATTTTTAGGATCCCCTCCCCATTTTTAGGATCCCCTCCCCCATTTTTAGGATCCCCTCCCCATTTTTGGGATCCCCTCCCCCATTTTTGGGGTTCCCTCCCCATTTTTAGGGTTCTCTCCCCATTTTTAGGATCCTCTCCCCATTTTTGGGGTCCCCCTCCCCCATTTTTGGGACCCCCCTCCCCATTTTCGGCATCCCTTTCCCCATTTTTGGGGTCCCCTCCCCATTTTTGGGGTCCCCTCCCCATTTTTGGGGTCCCCCTCCCCATTTTTGGGACCCCCTCCCCAATTTTGGGATCCCCTCCCCCATTTTCAGGATCCCCTCCCCCATTTTTAGGGTTCCCCTCCCCATTTTTGGGGTCCCCTCCCCCTTTTTGGGACCCCCTCCCCATTTTTGGGGTCCCTTTCCCCATTTTTGGGACCCCCTCCCCATTTTTGGGACCCCCTCCCCAATTTTGGGACCCCCTCCCCATTTTTGGGGTCCCTTTCCCCATTTTTGGGGTCCCTTTCTCCATTTTTGGGATCCCCCTCCCCAATTTTGGGGTCCCTTTCCCCATTTTTGGGGTCCCCTCCCCATTTTTGGGGTCCCCTCCCCCATTTTCGGAATCCCCTCCCCCATTTTTGGGGTCCCCCTCCCCATTTTTGGGACCCCCTCCCCATTTTTTGGGATCCTCTCCCCATTTTTGGGTCCCCCTCCCCATTTTTGGGTCCCCTCCCCCATTTTTAGGACCCCCTCCCCCATTTTAGGATCCCCTCCCTCATTTTTGGGGTCCCCTCCCCATTTTTGGGACCCCCTCCCCATTTTTGGGACCCCCTCCCCAATTTTGGGGTCCCCTCCCCCAATTTTGGGGTCCCCCTCCCCATTTTTGGAGTCCCCCTCCCCATTTTGGGGTCCCCTCCCCATTTTTGGGGTCCCCTCCCCCATTTTTAGGACCCCCTTCCCAATTTTGGGACCCCCTCCCCCATTTTCGGGGTCCCCTCCCCATTTTTAGGACCCCCTCCCCATTTTTGGGGTCCCCTCCCCCATTTTTGGGACCCCCACCCCATTTTTGGGACCCCCTCCCCATTTTTGGGGTCCCCCACCCCAATTTTGGGACCCCCTCCCCATTTTCGGGGTCCCCACCCCACTTTTGGGACCCCCTCCCCATTTTGGGGGTCACGGGGGTTCCTCATTTTTGGGGGGGGGTCTCTGCAGCAGCCGCTGCTTCGGGAGCCCCCGGAGCTGCTCCAGCAGCTGCTCAATGAACTCCTGCGGGCCAATTACCGCTAATTACCGCTAATGAACCCCCCCTTAATGACCCCCGCCCCTCCCCCCGCCATCAGGGGGGGGAGGGGCCCCCCGGAAGCGCCGCTCGCGCTCGAGGCCGAATTTTTTGGCCTTTTAAAGTTCGGCCGGAGCGGAGCCGGGGGGGGGATGGGCGGTGACCCCTCCCCCGCCCCTCCCCCACCCTCCCCTCCCCCCCCGGGGTGTGGCCCCTCCCCCCAAATTGGCCCCTCCCCCCCAAATTTCTGGTCCCCTATTCGCCCCTCCCCCAATTTCCCCCTTTTTCCCCTCCCCCATTTTCCCCCTCCCCAAATTTTCCCCTCCCCCCAAATTTCCCTCCCCAAATTTTCCCCCTCCCCCATTTCCCCCTCCCCCATTTTCCCCCTCCCCAAATTTTCCCCTCCCCCAAATTTCCCCCCAAATTTCCCCCTCCCCCCAATTTTCCCCCTCCCCAAATTTCCCCCCAAATTTTCCCCCTCCCCCCATTTGCCCCTCCCCCCAAATTTTCCCCCTCCCCCCATTTCCCTCTCCCCAAATTTTCCCCCTCCCCCCATTTCCCCTCCCCCATTTCCCCCTCCCCAAATTTTCTCCCTCCCCAAATTTCCCCCTCCCCCAAATTTCCCTCCCCAAATTTTTCTCCCCAAATTTTCCCCCTCCCCAAAATTTCCCCCTCCCCAAATTCCCCCTCCCCCCAAATTTCCCCCCAAATTCCCCCTCCCCCACCTGGGTATCAGCGGTGCAGGAGCTCAGAATGGCCTGGATGGGAAGGGGTTAATTAATCCGGGGTTCATTAATTCGGGGTTCATTAATTAGGGGTTCATTAATTAATCCACCCCCCCCCAAATTTCCCACCTGGATTTTTTGGGTTCTCTCCTCGTCCGTCTCCAGCTCCAGGAGCTCATCGAGGTTCAGCTCCTCCGGCATCTGCCCCTCCTGGGGGACCCCAAAATGTCCCCAAAATGTCCCCGACCCCCCCCAAAATGTCCCCAAACCCCCCCAAAATGTCCCCGTCGGCCCATCCCCCTCCCTCCCGCTCTCCGTTCCCACGGGTGGGGGAGGGGAGATCCCGCCTGGGACCCTCGGGGTTCGTCCCGGTCCCGGTCCCGATCCCGATCCCAATCCCGGTCCCGATCCCGGTTCTGATCCCGATCCCGGTTCCGATCCCGGTTCTGATCCCGATCCCGATCCCAGTCCCGATCCCGATCCCGGTTCTGATCCCGGTCCCGGTCCCGGTCCCGGTTCTGATCCCGATCCCGGTTCCGATCCCGATCCCGGTTCTGATCCCGGTCCCGGTTCTGATCCCGATCCCGATCCCGATCCCAATCCCGATCCCGATCCCGATCCCGGTTCTGACCCCGATCCCGGTTCTGATCCCGATCCCGATCCCGGTTCCGATCCCGTTTCCCGTTCCTTTCCCTATCCTGATCCCGGTGCCGGTCCCAATCTCGGTCTCGATACCGGTCCAGATCCCGGTCCCGGTCCCACTCCCAGACCAAGTCCCGGTCCCGGTCCCGGTCCCTGTCCCTGTTCTAGTCCCTGTCCCCATTCCGGTCCCGGTCCTGGTCTCACTCCCGGTCCTGGTCCCGGTACCGGTCCCACTCCTGGTCCCAATCCCAGTCCCGTTCCCGATCCCCGTTCCTTTCCCTGTCCCGATCCCGGTCCCATCCCGGTCCCACTCCTGTTCCCGGTCCCATCCCGGTCCCATCCCGGTCCCACTCCCGGTCCCATCCCGGTCCCATCCCGGTCCCATCCCGGTCCCACTCCCGGTCCCCATCCCGGTCCTATCCCGGTCCCATCCCGGTCCCATCCCGGTCCCATCCCGGTCCCCATCCCGGTCCTATCCCGGTCCCATCCCGGTCCCATCCCGGTCCCATCCCGGTCCCCATCCCGGTCCTATCCCGGTCCCATCCCGGTCCCCATCCCGGTCCCATCCCGGTCCCCGTTCCTTCTCCCGGTCCCATCCCGGTCCCCATCCCGGTCCCATCCCGGTCCCATCCCGGTCCCGTTCCCGGTCCCATCCCGGTCCCATCCCGGTCCCATCCCGGTCCCACTCCCGGTCCCCATCCCGGTCCTTCTCCCGGTCCCCATCCCGGTCCCACTCCCGGTCCCCGTTCCTTCTCCCGGTCCCATCCCGGTCCCATCCCGGTCCCACTCCCGGTCCCCATCCCGGTCCCATCCCGGTCCCACTCCCGGTCCCCATCCCGGTCCCATCCCGGTCCCTTCCCGGTCCCATCCCGGTCCCTTCCCGGTCCCATCCCGGTCCCATCCCGGTCCCATCCCGGTCCCGTTCCCGGTCCCATCCCGGTCCCATCCCGGTCCCACTCCCGGTCCCACTCCCGGTCCCCATCCCGGTCCCTCTCCCGGTCCCACTCCCGGTCCCATCCCGGTCCCATCCCGGTCCCGCTCCCGGTCCCATCCCGGTCCCATCCCGGTCCCACTCCCGGTCCCATCCCGGTCCCACTCCCGGTCCCATCCCGGTCCCACTCCCGGTCCCCATCCCCGTCCCATCCCGGTCCCATCCCGGTCCCATCCCGGTCCCATCCCGGTCCCATCCCGGTCCCCATCCCGGTCCTATCCCGTTCCCGGTCCCCATCCCGGTCCTATCCCGGTCCCATCCCGGTCCCCATCCCGGTCCCACTCCCGGTCCCATCCCGGTCCAATTCGCGGTCCCGGTCCCCATCCCGGTCCCATCCCGGTCCCACTCCCGTTCCCGGTCCCGTTCCCGGTCCCCGTTCCTTCTCCCGGTCCGTGTCCCTTTCCCTGTTCCCATTCTGGTCCCGGTTCCCGGTCCCGGTTCCCGGTTCCCAGTCCCGATCCCATCCCTGCTCCAGGTCCCGGTCCCGGTTCATTTCCTGGTCCCGGTCCCGTTCCCGGTCCCATTCCCGGTCCCCATCCCCGGTAGAGCTCCCTGAGCCTCCAGTCCTGTACCGGGTCCCGGTCCCGGTCCCGGTCCCGTTTCCATGCCCCGTTCCTGGTCCCGTTCCCAGTTCCCCTGCCCTGTTCCCGGTTCCCGGTCCCGGTGCCGGTCCCCATCCCCGGTTCCCGGTCCCGGTTCCCCTGCCCCGTTCCCGGTTCCCGGTCCACCCCCGGTGCCGGTGCCGGTACCCGTCCCCGGTAGAGCTCCCCGAGCCTGCCGTCGATCCACTGCTCGGTGTCCAGCCGCCGCTGCAGCTCCCGCCGGTTGTACTTGACCGTGACCCGCGCCGAGCGCCGCTGCACTCCGGGGCTGCGCCGGGGGGACCCCCGGCCCGGGGAGAGCCGCCCCGGGGACCCCCGGCCCGGTTCGAGCCCCCCCGGCCCCGCCCGGTTCGCCGCCATCGTTCGGGACGCGGCACCGGAGCGGCACCGGGGGAAGGGGGCGAGGGGCGGGGCCTAACGGGGCGTGGTGGGGCGTGGTTTACCCAGACCACGCCTTTTTAGCATAAATTAATGGTTTTGAAGGGCGTGGCGGGGGCGTGGCTTAATCAGACCCCGCCCATGTAGCTCCCATTGCCTTCTAAGGGAGTGGGCGTGGCTTCGCGCGGTGGGCGTGGCCGGGCTCGCGGTGGGCGTGGCCAATGACAACCGCTTTTCCCCGCGCGGTGGGCGTGGCCGGGGCTCGCGGGGGCGTGGCCGGGGCGCACCTGGGTGACGTCACGGCTCACCTGCGATGGCGGCGGGGCGGCTCCTCCCGGTGCTGCTGCTGCTCGCGGGGGGCGCGGGGGGAACCGGCCCCGACCCCCCCGGTGGTCCCGCCGCCCTCGCCGGTACCGGGGGCTGAGGGGGGGTTGGGGGTTTGGGGGGTTTGGGGGGATTTGGCGGGATTTGGGGGGTCCTGGGGGGGATTTGGGGGAAGTTTGAGGGGGTCTTGGGGGGGTTTGGGGGGGTTTGGGGGGAGTTTGGGGGGGGTTTGGGGGGTCTTGGGGAGGATTTGGGGGAAGTTTGGGGGGGTCTTGGGGGGGTTTGGGGGAATTTGGGGGCGATTTGGGGGGTCCTGGGGGGGGTTTTGGGGGGGTTTGGGGGGGTCTTTGGGGAGGATTTAGGGGGGTTGGGGGAGAGTTTGGGGGTGATTTGGGGGAATTTGGGGGGGATTTGGGAGGATTTGGGGGGTCCTGGGGGTGGTTTTCGGGGGTCCCGGGGAGGATTTGGGGGAATTTGAGGGGGGAATTTGGGGGGTCCTGGGGGGGTTTTGGGGGAATTTGGGGGGTCCCGGGAAGGATTTCGGGAGGTCCCGGATGGGATTTGGGGGGAATTTGGGGGCGGTTTTCGGCAGTCCCGGGGAGGATTTGGGGTGAATTTTGGGCTGAATTTGGCTCATTTCGGGGTCGTTACCGGGTGATTTTCCCAGCCCGGTGCCGGTTACCGGGTCGGGGCTGGATTTGGGGTGAATTTTGGGCTGAATTTCGCTGATTTCGGGGTCATTAACGGGAGTTTCCCCAGCCCGGTGCCGGTTACCGGGTCGGGGCTGTAATTTTGGGGTGAATTTGGCTCATTTTGGGGTCGCTAACGGGTGATTTCCCAGCCCGGTGCCGGTTACCGGGTCGGGGCTGTAATTTTGGGGTGAATTTGGCTCATTTTGGGGTCACTAACGGTGATTTCCCAGCCCGGTGCCGGTTACCGGGTCGGGGCTGGATTTGGGGTGAATTTTGGGCTGAATTTCGCTGATTTCGGGGCCGTTAACGGGAGTTTTCCCAGCCCGGTGCCGGTTACCGGGTCGGGGCTGGATTTGGGGTGAATTTTGGGCTGAATTTGGCCCATTTCGGGGTCGCTAACGGGTGATCCCCCAGCCCGGTGCCGGTTACCGGGTCAGGGCTGGATTTGGGGTGAATTTTGGGCTGAATTTGGCGGATTTTGGGGTCGTTAACGGCAGTTTCCCCAGCCCGGTGCCGGTTACCGGCGCTCACCGGCCGCTGCCGCGCCTCCATCCCGCGCTGGTTTTTCAACGCCTCCTCCGGGAGCTGCGAGAGTTTCGTGTTCGGCGGCTGCGGCGGCAACGGGAACAACTTCGGCAGCGAACGGGAGTGCCGGGAGAGCTGCGGGGGTACCGGGACACCGGGAACACCGGGAATACCGGGAATACCAGGAGGGACCGGGAATACCGGGGGATAACGGGGAATACCGCGGGGGATAACGGGGAATACCGGGGGGGGGGGAGGGAACGGGAACAGCTTCGGCTGTTCCATTTTTTGCCATTTCCCCCCCATTGTTTCCCCCCCATTTTTCCCCATTTTTTTCCATTTTTTCCCCATTTTCCCCCATTTTTTCAATTTTTTCCAATTTTTCCCCATTTCTTCCCATTTCCCCCCGATTTTTCCCATTTTCCCCCCATTTTCCCCTATTTTCCCATTTTTTCCCCATTTCCCCCCCATTTTCCCCCATTTTTTCCCATTTTTCTCATTTTTTCCCCATTTTCCCGCAGCTCCGTCCGATCTCGGCAGCGCCAACTCCACCCTCGCAGGTAACGCGGAAATTCTGAATTTTTCAGGAGAAATTGTGAAATTTGAAGGGAAAATTCTAAATTTTGAATTGAAAATTCTGAATTTTTAAGTGGAAATTCGGAGTTTTGAAGGGGAAATTCGGAATTTTGAAGGGAAAATTCTGATTTTTGCCGGTTTTTGACCCAAATTTTCACCGTAACTTCTGATTTTTGCTGATTTTTGACCCAGATTTCCCCATAAATTCAGATTTTTGCCGATTTTTGCCTGTATTTCCCCCATAATTCCGATTTTTGCCCGGATTTCCCCATAATTCCCTTTTTTTCCCCCAGAGCTGTGCTCGGCGCCGCCGGTGCCGGGGCCGTGCCGGGCGGCGTTCCCGCGCTGGTTTTACGTTCCGGCGGAGAAATCCTGCCGGGAATTCACCTACGGCGGCTGCCGCGGCAACGCCAACAACCACCGGGACCGGAGCGAGTGTCTGCGGCGCTGCCGCCCCCGCGGTGAGCCAAAAACGGCCAGATTCAACCCAAAAAATGGCCGGAATTGGGGGGGAAATTGGGGTAAAAATGGGGAAAAAATGGGGAAAATAATCGCCAAACTTGGGATAAAAATGGGGAAAATAATCACCGAAATTGGGGGAAAAATGGGGAAAATAATCGCCAAAATTGGGGTAAAAATGGGGAAAATAATCGCCAAAATTGGGGGGAAAATGGGGAAAATAATCGCCAAAATTGGGGGGAAAATGGGGAAAATAATCACCGAAATTGGGGTAAAGATGGGGAAAATAATCACCGAAATTGGGAGGAAATTGGGGAAAATAATCACCGAAATTGGGGGGAAATTGGGGGGAAAATGGGGAAAATAATCACCGAAATTGGGGGGAAATGGGGAAAACAATCACCAAAATTGGGATAAAAATGGGGAAAGTAATCACCGAAATTGGGATAAAAATGGGGAAAATAATCGCTGAAATTGGGATAAAAATGGGGAAAATAATCACCGAAATTGGGGTAAAAATGGGGAAAATAATCGCCGAAATTGGGGGGGAATTGGGGGAAAAATGGGGGAAATAATCACCAAAATTGGGGTAAAAATGGGGAAAATAATCACCGAAATTGGGGTAAAAATGGGGAAAATAATCACCGAAATTGGGGGGGAAATTGGGATAAAAATGGAAATAAAAAATCACCAAAATTTGCGGGGAAATTGGGATAAAAATCACCAAATTGGGATAAAAATCACCGAAATTGGTGGGGAAATTGGGATAAAAATGGAAAAAAAAATCCCCAAATTTGGCGGGGAATTGGAATAAAAATGAAAAAAAAATTGTGAAAATTAAAAAAAAATCCAGCGAAATTGGCCAGAAAGTTTGGCGAAAATTAAAAAAAAAAAATCCCCAAAATTTGCCCAAAATCCCCAAATTTTGCCCCAAATCCCAACCCCGTCTCCGTTTCCCCCCAGATGATCTCGGCGAGGAATTGCGGCGATTCTTCTCCTCCAAAGGTGAATTTGGGGGTCCCAAAATGTCCCAAAACAGCCCCAAAATGGCCCCAAAATGGCTCCAAACCCCTCCCAGTGTCTCTGACCCATTTTGGGGTGTCCTTGTCCCCCCTCCCCCCAGGAGACTTTTGGGGTGTCCCTGACCCATTTTGGGGTGCCCCTGACCCATTTTGGGGTGCCCCTGACCCATTTTGGGGTGCCCCTGCCCCCTCTCTCTCCCCAGGAGCCTTTTGGGGTGCCCTGCTGTTTTTGGGGTGACCCATTTTGGGGTGCCCCTGACCCATTTTGGGGTGACCCATTTTGGGGTGTCCCTGACCCATTTTGGGGTGCCCCTGACCCCCCTCTCTCCCCAGGAGCCTTTTGGGGTGCCCTGCTGCTTTTGGGGTGACCCATTTTTGGGGTGCCCCTGCCCCCTCTCTCCCCAGGAGCCTTTTGGGGTGTCCCTGACTCCATTTTTGGGGTGTCTCTGCCCCCTCTCTCCCCAGGAGCCTTTTGGGGTGCCCTGCTGGTTTTGGGGTGTCCCTGACCCATTTTGGGGTGTCCCATTTTGGGGTGCCCCTGACCCATTTTTGGGGTATCCCTGCCCCCCTCTCTCTCCCCAGGAGCCTTTTGGGGTGCCCCTGACCCATTTTGGGGTGTCCCTGACCCCATTTTGGGGTGTCCCTGCCCCTGTCTCTCCCCAGGAGCCTTTTGGGGTGCCCTGCTGGTTTTGGGGGGCTCTCTGGCGGCCGGGCTGGGCCTGGCCCGGGGTCGGTACCGGGGTCGGTGTCGGTGTCGGTGCCGGGAGGAGCCGCGAGCGCCGGGAGCCGCCGAGGACCGGGAGCGGCTGGTGAAGGAGCCCAGCCTCGCCTGAACCCCCAAATCGCCTGAAATCACCCCAAAAACAGCCCGAAATCACCCCAAATATAGCCCGAAATCACCCCAAATATAACCCTGAAATCCCCTGAAATCACCCCAAATATAGCCCTGAAATCACCCCAAATCACCCCAAAAATAGCCTGAAATCCCCTGAAATCACCCCAAAAATAGCCCTGAAATCACCCCAAATATAGCCCTGAAATCACCCCAAAAATAGCCCTGAAATCACCCTAAATCACCCCAAAAATAGCCCTGAAATCACCCCAAATATCGCCCTGAAATCCCCTGAAATCACCCCGAATATAGCCCCAAAATCACCCCAAAAATAGCCCCAAAAACACCCCAAATATAGCCCTGAAATCACCCCAGAAATAGCCCTGAAATCACCCCGAAATCACCCCAAAAATAGCCCTGAAATCACCCCAAATATAGCCCTGAAATCACCCCAAATATAGCCCTGAAATCACCCCAAAAATCACCCCAAAAATAGCCCCAAATCACCCCAAATATTACCCTGAAATCACCCCAAAAATAGCCCTGAAATCCCCCCAAATATAGCCCTGAAATCACCCCAAATATAGCCCTGAAATCCCCTGAAATCACCCCAGAAATAGCCCTGAAATCACCCCAAAAATAGCCCTGAAATCACCCCAAATATAGCCATGAAATCACCCCAAATCACCCCAAAAATAGCCCTGAAATCACCCCAAATATAGTCCTGAAATCACCCCAAAAATAGCCCTGAAATCACCCCAAAATATAGCCCTGAAATCACCCCAAATATAGTCCTGAAATCACCCCAAATCACCCCAAAAATAGCCCTGAAATCACCCCAAAAACAGCCCTGAAATCACCCCAAATATAGCCCTGAAATCACCCCAAAAATAGCCCCGAAATGACCTCAAATCATCCCAAAAATAGCCCTGAAATCACCCCCAAATCACCCCAAATATAGCCCTGAAATCACCCCAAATATAGCCCCGAAATCACCCCAAATATAGCCCTGAAATCCCCTGAAATCACCCCAAATATAGCCCTGAAATCACCCCAAAACACCCCAAATATAGCCCTGAAATCGCCCCAGAAATAACCCTGAAATCCCCTGAAATCACCCCAAAAATAGCCCTGAAATCACCCCAAATATAGCCCTGAAATCACCCCAAATCACCCCAAAAATAGCCCTGAAATCACCCCAAATATAGCCCTGAAATCACCCCAAAAATAGCCCTGAAATCACCCCAAATCACCCCAAAAATAGCTCTGAAATCACCCCAAATATAGCCCTGAATTCACCCCCAAAACAGCCCCAAATCACCTCAAATATAGCCTGAAATCACCCCAAAAATAGCCCTGAAATCACCTGAAATCACCCCAAATATAGCCCTGAAATACCCTGAAATCACCCCAAAAATAGCCCAAAATCACCCCAAAAATAGCCCTGAAATCACCCCAAATATAGCCCTGAAATCCCCTGAAATCACCCTAAAAATATCCCCCAAATCACCCCAAAAATAGCCCCAAATCACCCCAAAAATAGCCCCAAAATCACCCCAAAAAATTCCCAAAAATCCCCCAAAAAATCCCCAAGAATCCCCCAAATCCCCTCTTGACTCTGATCCCTTCTCTGATTTTTATGGATTTTTGTAGGGAATAAATGGAATTTTGGGATGGGCGGGTGGGAAAAACCTAAAAATAAAACCCAAAAAAATAAAAATAAAAATCTCCAAAAAATCCTCAAAATATTTCCCCAAAAATTCCCAAAAAATCCCAAAATTGCCCCAAAATTTTTTGGGGACCCCCAAAATTGGTGTTGCCCCCTCCCCAAATTGAAGCACCCGAGCTCAGCCGGGACTGCAGCGTTTTTGGGGGGTCCCCGGGGGCACTCGGGGGGGTTCTCGGGGCTGGGGAGGGGTCCCAGAGATTTTGGGGTCACCAGGGGTGACCTAAAGAACCTTTGGGGGCTGCGGGGGTCCCCCCAAAATTTCCTGGGGACCCCCAAAATTAGCGCCGACCCCTCCCCAAATTGAAGCACCCGAGCGCAACCGGGACCTGCAGCGTTTTTGGGGGGCTCTGGGGGGTCCCCAGGGGTGTCCTCGGGGGTGAGGAGGGGTCCCAGAGATTTTGGGGTCCCCTCGGGTAACCTAAAGAACCTTTGGGGGGTGCGGGGGTCCCCCCAAAACTTTTTGGGGACCCCCAAATTTGGCGCCGTCCCCTCCCCAAATCAGAACCCCCGACCGTATTTGGGACTTGCAGCGTTTTTGGGGGGCTCTGGGGGGTCCCCAGGGGGATCCCCGGGGGTGGGGAGGGGCCCCACAGATTTTGGGGTCCCCAGGAGGAGCAGAGGAACCTCTGGGGGCTGCGGGGGTCCCCCCAAATTTTTTTGGGGACCCCCAAAATTGGCGCCTCCCCCTCCCCAAATCGGAACCCCCGACCGTATTTGGGACTTACAGCGTTTTTGGGGGGTCCTCTGGGGGATCCCCGGGGGTGGGGAGGGGTCCCAGAGATTTTGGGGTCCCCAGGAGGACCAGAGGAACCTTTGGGGGCTGCAGGGTTCCCCCCAAAATTTTTTGGGGACCCCCAAATCGAACCACCAAAGCCCAGCCGGGACCAGCAGCGTTTATTGGAACCGCTCTGGGGGGACTCGGGGGGTCCCCGGGAGGACTCGGGGGGTCCCCGGGAGGATTTGGGGGGTCCCCGCGGGGGTCCCCGGCCGCCCCCTCCCCTATTTCTGCGCCGGGATCATGTCGTCGATCGGCTGCTTCTGCTCCAGCTTCTTCTCCATCTCCACCATCAGCTTGACGCCGTCCACCACCATCTGCACCTGCTCCACCTCCGAGAAGCCCAAGCGGTCGGCGTTGGAGATGTCGAACACGGCGCCCACCGCGGCCGTGTCCACCCCCCCTGGACAGATGGACACATGGACAGATGGACAGAGGGGTGGTCAGTGAGATACGGACACCACTGACCACTCATTGACCACTGCTGACCATCCCCTGTCCACCCAGTGTCTGATGGCTCCATGGTCCCACCGCGGCCGTGTCCACCCCCCCTGGACAGATGGACAGATGGACACACGGACACAGGGGTGGTCAGTGAGCTACGGACACCACTGACCACTCACTGACCGCTGCTGACCACTGCTGTCCATCCCCTGACCACTCCTGTCCACCCCGTGTCCATCCACTGCTCAATGGCTCCATGGTCCCACCGCGGCCGTGTCCACCCCCCCTGGACACACGGACAGATGGACAGATGGACACAGGGGCGGTCAGTGAGCTACGGACAGCTCTGGACACCGCTGACCACTCCTGTCCATCCCCTGACCACTCCTGTCCATCCCCATCCATCCCTGTCCATCCACTGCTTGATGGCTCCATGGTCCCACTGTGTCCGTGTCCACCCCCCCTGGACACACGGACACACGGACAGATGGACAGAGGGGTGGTCAGTGAGCTACGGACACCACTGACCACTCACTGACCGCTGCTGACCACTCCTGTCCATCCCCTGACCACTCCTGTCCATCCCCTGACTGCCCAGTGTCCATCCAGTGTCTGATGGCTCCATGGTCCCACTGTGTCCGTGTCCACCCCCCCTGGACACACGGACAGATGGACAGATGGACACAGGGGTGGTCAGTGAGCTCCGGACAGCTCCGGACACCGCTGACCACTGCTGACCACTGCTGACCACTGCTGTCCATCCCCTGTCCATCCCCATCCATCCCCATCCATCCACTGCTCAATGGCTCCATGGTCCCACTGCGGCCGTGTCCACCCCCCCTGGACAGATGGACAGATGGACACAGGGGTGGTCAGTGAGCTACGGACACCACTGACCACTCACTGACCACTCACTGACCACTCACTGACCACTCCTGACCACTCACTGACCACTCCTGACCACTCCTGACCATCCCCTGTCCATCCCCATCCATCCCTGTCCATCCAATGCTTGATGGTCCCACTGTGTCCGTGTCCACCCCCCCTGGACACACGGACAGATGGACACACGGACACAGGGGTGGTCAGTGAGCTACGGACACCACTGACCACTCACTGACCGCTGCTGACCACTCCTGACCACTCCTGACCACTCCTGCCCTACCTCAGGTGAATTTTGGGGGGTTCCTGCCCTACCTCAGGTGAATTTTGGGGTGTTCCTGCCCTACCTCAGGTGAATTTTGGGATGGAATTTTCCCATCCAGGTGAATTTTGGGATGGAATTTTCCCCTCCCAGGTGATTTTGGGGTCCCACCTGTGCCCCGCTTCTGCAGGCGCAGCCGCTTGAGGATCTCCTCGAACTTGGGGTGAATTTGGGGGGTTCCTGCCCTACCTCAGGTGAATTTTGGGATGGGATTCTCTCCTTCAGGTGAATTTGGGGGTGTCCCCTCCCTGCCCAGGTGGCTTTGGGGTCCCACTTGTGCCCCGTTTCTGCAGGTGCAGCCGCTTGAGGATCTCCTCGAACTTGGGGTGAATTTTGGGGGTTCCTGCCCTACCTCAGGTGAATTTTGGGGTGTCCCCTCCCAGCCCAGGTGGTTTTGGGGTCCCACCTGTGCCCCGTTTCTGCAGGCGCAGCCGCTTGAGGATCTCCTCGAACTTGGGGTGAATTTGGGGCTGTCATTTCCCCCATCAGGTGAATTTTGGGATGGAATTTTCCCATCCAGGTGAATTTTGGGATGGAATTTTCCCCACCAGGTGATTTTGGGGTCCCACCTGTGCCCCGCTTCTGCAGGCGCAGCCGCTTGAGGATCTCCTCGAACTTGGGGTGAATTTTGGGGTGTTCCTGCCCTACCTCAGGTGAATTTTGGGGTCCCACCTGTGCCCCGCTTCTGCAGGCGCAGCCGCTTGAGGATCTCCTCGAACTTGGGGTGAATTTGGGGCTGTCATTTCCCCATCCAGGTGAATTTTGGGATGTCACCATCCCCACCAGGTGAATTTTGGGGGTTCCTGCCCTACCTCAGGTGAATTTTGGGGGTTCCTGCCCTATCTCAGGTGAATTTTGGGGTCCCACCTGTGCCCCGTTTCTGCAGGCGCAGCCGCTTGAGGATCTCCTCGAACTTGGGGTGAATTTTGGGATGTTCCTGCCCTACCTCAGGTGAATTTTGGGGTGTCCCCACCCTCCCTCAGGTGAATTTTGGGGTCCCACCTGTGCCCCGCTTCTGCAGGCGCAGCCGCTTGAGGATCTCCTCGAACTTGGGGTGAATTTTGGGGGTGTTCCTGCCCTACCTCAGGTGAATTTTGGGGTGTCCCTGCCCTACCTCAGGTGAATTTTGGGGGTTCCTGCCCTACCTCAGGTGGCTTTGGGGTCCCACCTGTGCCCCGCTTCTGCAGGCGCAGCCGCTTGAGGATCTCCTCGAACTTGGGGTGCTCCTTCAGGTGAATTTGGGGTGTTCCTGCCCTACCTCAGATGAATTTTGGGGGTGTCCCCTCCCAGCCCAGGTGATTTTGGGGTCCCACCTGTGCCCCGCTTCTGCAGGCGCAGCCGCTTGAGGATCTCCTCGAACTTGGGGTGCTGGCTGAGGTGCTGCAGGCGCACGTGGACGCCCCCGCGCAGCCCCGTGCCCAGGTTGGAGGGACACGTCAGGATGTAGCCCAGGTGCTCCGTCCACATGAACGGGTGGCCCGCCTGCTTGAAGATCTCCTCGATCTGGGGACAGGTGGGGACAGAGAGGGGACAGGATGGGGACAGGGAGGGGACATTAGAAGGGACAGGATGGGGACATTGAGGGGACAATGAGGGGAGAGTGAGGGGACAGGGAGGGGACAGGATGGGGACATTGAGGGGACATTGAGGGGACAATGAGGGGACAAAGAGGGGACAGTGAGGGGACAATGAGGGGACAGTGAGTGGACAGAGAGGGGACAGAGAGGGGACAGGATGGGGACAATGAGGGGACAATGAGGGGACATTGAGGGGACAATGAGGAGTCAATGAGGGGACAGGGAGGGGACAATGAGGGGACAGTGAGGGGACAGAGAGGGGACAGGGAGGGGACAGAGAGGGGACAATGAGGGGACAGGATGGGGACAATGAGGGGACATTGAGAGGAGAGTGAGGGGACAATGAAGGGACATAGAGGGGACAGGATGGGGACAATGAGGGGACAGGATGGGGACAGGATGGGGACAATGAGGGGACATTGAGGGGACAATGAGGGGACAATGAGGGGACAGAGAGTGGAGAATGAGGGGACAGAGAGGGGACATTAGAGGGGACAGGATGGGGACAATGAGGTGACATTGAGGGGACAGGATGGGGACAGGGAGGGGAGAGTGAGGGGACAGAGAGGGGACAATGAGGGGACAGGGAGGGGACAATGAGGGGACATTGAGGGGAGAGAGAGGGGACAGAGAGGGGACAGTGAGAGGACAAATCCCAAATCCTCAGTGTCCCAGATGTCCCCAGGTGTCCCCAAATGTCCCAAAATGTCCCCAAAATGTCCCCAAAATGTCCCAAAATGTCCCCAAAATGTCCCCAAAATGTCCCCTGACCTTCTCGAGGCCGACACCTCCTTTATGTTGCCGCCCTTCTCCATGGAGATGTGACCCCAAAACCTCCATGTCCCCAAATCCTCAGTGTCCCAAATGTCCCAAAATGTCCCCAAATGTCCCCAAAATGTCCCCAAATGTCCCCAAATGTCCCCAAATGTCCCCAAAATGTCCCCTGACCTTCTTGAGGCCGAGACCTCCTTCATGTTCCCGCCCTTCTCCATGGAGATGTGACCCCAAAACCTCCATGTCCCCAAATCCTCCATGTCCCAAATGTCCCCAGGTGTCCCCAAATGTCCCCAAAATGTCCCCAAAATGTCCCAAAATGTCCCCAAAATGTCCCCAAAATGTCCCAAAATGTCCCCTGACCTTCTCGAGGCCGACACCTCCTTCATGTTCCCGCCCTTCTCCATGGAGATGTGACCCCAAAACTCCTTCATCCCCAAATCCTCAGTGTCCCAAATGTCCCCAGGTGTCCCAAAATGTCCCCAGAATGTCCCCAAAATGTCCCCAAAATGTCCCCTGACCTCGAGGCCGACACCTCCTTCATGTTCCCGCCCTTCTCCATGGAGATGTGACCCCAAAACTCCTTCATCCCCAAATCCTCAGTGTCCCAAATGTCCCCAAATGTCCCCAAATGTCCCCAAAGGTCCCCAAGATGTCCCCAAAATGTCCCCAAATGTCCCCAAAATGTCCCCTGACCTTCTTGAGGCTGACACCTCCTTCATGTTCCCGCCCTTCTCCATGGAGACGTGACCCCAAAACCTCCATGTCCCCAAAAACCTCCATGTCCCAAATGTCACCAAAATGTCCCCAAAATGTCCCCAAATGTCCCCAAATGTCCCCAAATGTCCCCAAATGTCCCCAAAATGTCCCCAAAATGTCCCCTGACCTTCTCGAGGCCAACACCTCCTTCATGTCCCCTCCCTTTTCTCCATGGAGATGTGACCCCAAAACCTCCATGTCCCCAAAAACCTCCATGTCCCAAATGTCCCCAGGTGTCCCCAGGTGTCCCCAAATGCCCCAAAATGTCCCCAAATGTCCCCAAAATGTCCCCTGACCTTCTCGAGGCCGACACCTCCTTCATGTTCCCTCCCTTTTCTCCATGGAGATGTGACCCCAAAACTCCTTCATCCCCAAATCCTCGGTGTCCCAAATGTCCCCAAATGTCCCAAATGTCCCCATATGTCCCCAAATGTCCCCAAATGTCCCCAAATGTCCCCTGACCTTCTTGAGGCCGACGCAGAAGCGCCGGAACACCTCCTTCATGTTCCCGCCCTTCTCCATGGAGATGACGCGCAGGTGATCCTCCTCGTTCACCCACACCAGGAACGTCTTGTTGTCGTTGTGCCTGGGGACGGGGATGCCAGCTGTGCCAGGTGTGCCCAGGTGTGCCCAGGTGTGCCCAGGAACCCACCAGGTACCAGCCAGGTGTGCCCAGGTGTGCTCAGGTGTGCCCAGGTGTGGCCCAGGTGTGTCCCAGGTGTCCCCAGGTGTGCCCAGGAACACCCCAGGTGCCCCCAAGAACCCCCAGGAACCTTCTGGGTGCCCCCAGGTGCCCCCAAGAACCCCTCAAGAACCTCCTGGGTGCACCAGGTACCTCCAGGTGCCCCAAGCTTCCCCCAAAACCCCCCAAAATGTCCCCAAAACCCCTCCCAGGTACCCCCTAGGTGCTCCCCAGGTGCCCGCGGTGCCCACCAGATGCCCCCAGATGCCCCCAAGAACACCCCAGGTCCCTCCGGTTGCCCCAAGCTTCCCCCAAAACCCCCTGAAATGGCCCCAAAACCCCCCCAAATACCCCCAAACCCCTCCCAGGTGCCCCCGGTGCCCACCAGATGCCCCCAAGAACCTCCCAGGAACCTCCTGGGTGCCCCCAGGTGTGCTCCAGGTCCCTCCAGGTGCCCCAAGCTTCCCCCAAAACCCCCCGAAATACCCCCAAACCCCTCCAGACCCCTCCAGGAGTGCCCCCAGGTGCCCCCAAGAACCCCTCAAGAACCTCCTGGGTGCCCCCAGGTGTGCTCCAGGTACCTCCAGGTGCCCCAAGGTTCCCCCAAAACCCCCTGAAATGCCCCCAACCCCCCCCCCAAATACCCCCAAACCCCTCCCAGGTGCCCCCAGGTGCCACAAGGTGTCCCCAGGTGTGCTCCAGGTACCTCCAGGTGCCGCAAGCTTCCCCCAAAACCCCCCAAAATGTCCCCAAAACCCCTCCCAGGTGCCCCCAGGTGCCCCTGGTGCCCACCAGATGCCCCCAGATGCCCCCAAGAACACCCCAGGAACCTCCAGGTGCCCCAAGGTTCCCCAAAAACCCCTGAAATGCCCCCAAAACCCTCCCAAACCCCCCCCCCCAAACCCCCCCAGGTGCCCCCCAGGTGCCCCCGGTGCCCACCAGATGCCGCGGGCGTCGGGCCAGTCGCGGGCCATGCCCGATGCCAGCAGCAGGGGCGACACGGGTTTGTCGAAGAGGAAATGGCCCTCAATGTCCCCCTGCCCCCAGGTACCCTCAGGTGCCCCCAAGAACCCCCCAGAAACCTCCTGGGTGCCCCCAGGTGCCCCCCAAAACCCCCCGGGTGCTACAAGGTGCCCCCAAGAACACCCCAGGTGCCCCCAGGTGCCACAAGGTGCCCCCAGGTGTGCTCCAGGTACCTCCAGGTTCCCCAAGCTTCCTCCAAAACCCTCCAAACCCCCCCCCAAACCCCTCCCAGATGCCCCCAGGTGCCCGCGGTGCCCACCAGATGCCCCCAGGTACCCCCCAGGTGCCCCCAGGTGTGCTCCAGGTCCCTCCAGGTGCCCCAAGTTTCCCCAAAACCCCCCGAAATGCCCCTCAAACCCCTCCAAATGCCCCCCAAACCCCTCCCAGGTGCCCCCAGGTACCCCCCAGGTGCTACAAGGTGCCCCCCAAGAACCCCCCAGGAACCTCCTGGGTGTCCCCAGGTGTGCTCCAGGTACCTCCAGGTGCCCCAAGGTTCCCCCAAAACCCCCTGAAATGCCCCCAACCCCCCCCAAATACCCTCAAAACCGCTCCCAGGTGCCCCCAGGTGCCCGTGGTGCCCACCAGATGCCCCCAGGTGCCCCCAAGAACACCCCAGGAACCTCCTGGGTGCCACAAGATGCCCCCAAGTACCCCCCAGGAACCTCCTGGGTGCCCCCAGGTGTGCTCCAGGTCCCTCCAGGAGCCCCAAGC